TAATTGCATTCCTCATCCAAGTTCATCAAATACATCAACTAAAAAATATTATTATTATTAATAATATTATTAATATTTTAATATTAAACAAGAGACTTATACAAGGAACGAATTGGTTCGACGTCAATATGAACGTACTGCGGTATGAGACCCAAGTGTCACAATATATTTTGAGTTATTCATGTTCATGTTCTAGTAATTATATTTGTAATATCAAATAGTACATTCGAATCTCTTAATAATTCGTAGCATTTAATAGTGTAATGCCATGGTATTGAGAGCTGTGGAAGTTTGAGCCCTCAAATATCTCAAAAACCAGGCCTCAGTCCATACACTTAAGATTTGATACATTTCAGAATATCTCCAAACAGCGTATAGTTTTTGCTCTTTAGGCCAAAAAAAAGACAGATTGAAAGGAGAAGATAAATATCAAATTATTGAAGAATATAGTTAATATTTGAACCGATTTAGGTGCTTTCAATTGAATTAACAAGTTTTGCGCTTCAATTAGCTAAAATAAACAGAAACTACCGAAAATAGTAATATTTCCTGTTTTGGAACGTTTTAAACAAAGAATAGTACATGCTCACCCTCCAAATTTCACAACACCTCTCGGTAGCCAAGTTGGTTTAAGGCGCAAGACTGTAATGGTTAACAAGACATCTTGAGATCGGGCGTTCGACTCGCCCCCGGGAGATTTATTTTTTTTTCGAAAAATTGACATTTTTTATTCTTTAAAGAGGTGGTTTACTTATTTTTTTTTGATCACAGGAAAATATATCCTCTATTGATCAATTACCACGTTTTTCTGTCTTAATTGAGCTCAATTTGATGTCGTTATTGTAACATTTGATCATTTATATGGTGTTCCAAAATTTACGCAGTCAGTATCAAATGCGTGTAAATATCAAACCGCTACAATAGAACTTATGAACGTTACAAACAGTTGATTTTCCAATCAAATCATCACTCTTTGCAATGCAACGTTATTTCCTGAAATTATGAATGATGACTTCTCAGTACTTAAGAGTGAACCTTCAGCTGAGGAAATTGATAGAATAGTCACAGAGTTCATTTCAAAGGAAAATGCCCTGCCTACAAAGCTTCAATTCATAAACACAATACTTCAGCACATTTTACCAATATATCAAAGCTTGAAGACCACCATCAGGTTGAAAATAAGGCGTGCTTTCCACTCTTCTATTGGAATTTCAAACTTGCTAAAGTTTTACTCATTGACAAAAAATGAAATTTATTTGAAATTTATGAAGGATTTGCTGCTAGATCAGACATTGTTGGTTTCGGTAATTGATGCAGCCAAAGGTAATAAAACTGAGTTAGGCCAAGTGAGGTCCCTATTTGTTGGCAGTAAGATCTTTCAGACCTTTGAGGGAAAGTTAGAAATTGAGAGGTATTTGGATCTGGTCACAAAACAATTGATTGAAGCCTGTAAAGATGATAAATTTGAAGTTTCAGAATTTGTTAACCAACTTCTATCTCTTCATCCCATTGATGCTAAGTTTGTTTTCCTAAACCAATTTTTCAATGATAATTACTTCAATTACTTGGTTCAGCTTTATTCACGGATGACTCAGGTTCAGAAGAAGCAATTTCTTTGGAGATCATTTTTCCCTTACTTAGACAGATATGTTCACAACAACAACATTGATACAGTGACAAAGATTTTGAAACATTTTGTATTCACTGATTTCGAAGATCAAGTGGTTAAGCACATAGCTGAAAGCAAAAATATAAATTTGCAACAGGCGATTTCGCTTCTTGTGAAAGATCACAAGACTGCTTTCAAAAATCTACTAAAAATTTGGGGAAATGAACAATTTATCAAAGACCATCCTAGTGAATTACAAGAGGCAAATACAAAGGAACTTTTGATATTAATAAACTACATGGATACACAAACGAAAGGAAATTTTTCAAAAGATCGAACATTTTTAGATGCCATCACTTCAAGAATTTCAAGTAATGATAATTTCAATAGAGGTTTGGGTATGATGGTTGCCAAAAAGATAACTAACGGTGAGATCAACTTTGATATTGTGGATGAAATTATTATTGAGCCGGTTTCGAGACCAAATTCCAGCTCAAAAATTGATTTCACAGACTTAATACTTGGTGAACCACTACAAAATCTATCATTGAATACACACAAGGAAACAAAAGTTATGGATAGTGACGATGAATCAGATATAGAGGAGGACCAAGAAAATGGTAACATTGATACGCTTTTCTTAAAAGATTTGATTAAAAAGTTCAACGATGATAAAATTTCCAGCATTACAAAGTTGTTGGCCCATACAACCAAGTTGGTTAGACAAAAGGCAACTTTCAAGATCGAAATTGAATTTTACAGTGAAGAGTTGATTAGTGTCTTAATCGGCTTGATAAACAAGTTTGATGAAAGTAACTTTGAGGATTTGAAACTCAATGCCATAGTTAGTGTTATTGTTGTGAATCCAAAAATTGTTTCCCATACTATGAACTTGCTCTTCACAGGGGATTACTCTTTTCAACAGAGGATGATAATATTGAGTTCTATATCGCTTGCCGCAAGAGAACTGAGAGGGATTGATGATGATTTTATTGATAAACCAACGTATGATTTCCCAACAAGAAAAATTGAACAACGTCATCAACCCAAAATCGAAGAAGTCCAACGTGCCAAAATCGAAGAGATCAAGAATGATTCAGATGAGTTGATTGGCGAAGGAACAGTCAAGAGAATTTCAAAGAAGCTCACAGCTACCAAAGAGGCGGAGAAACCAAATAACTTTGCCAGATTGGCTCCAAAATTCTTTTATCCATTAGCAAATGGTTGGATTCAAGGAATAAATGTTGGTACATTCAATGAAATGTTTATGAAACATTACCTCCAGACATTAGAGTTGGTCGTCAAGGCTGCCTATCCTTGCCATGAGTTTGACGATATGTTTGCGTTATACAATGAAATTTTAGAAAATTCACAGAGTATATTAATTTAAGGAGCTACATTTTAAATGATAGAACATTAAAAAGTCTATTTTCATCTGTAAAAGATTTTGTTACTTTTTTGAAATTCAGCAATATCCTTGATTTGTGTGCTTTCTTCCACTTCCTGTGAGTTTTCTGGTAAATTGGCTGCCGAGTTTCTATATGACTTAACACCTTCTGAGACCTGCTTGACAACTTCTTTCAGCACCACAGTACAAAGCTTAAAACTTTCACCTTGAGACATGAAAAACTTGAACAGATCTTTTAGCAGTGAAACAGAACTACCTCCAGACTTTTCAACAATCTCTTTCAGCTTATCACTAGATATTCTTAGCCCGTGCATTTTCAAAAATGCTTCAAGTTGGAGCCTCATCATCTGTTGTTGAATTTCATCTGAAGACATTCTACTCTTCAACATGATTGAAATCTTTGAGCTAGTCTTTGAGCTTGGTGAAATTCTTTGTTGAAAAAATTTCATGAATTCATCTTTTTTCAAGTTGCTCATGAAGTTGATATCATCTTGTTCAGTGCTTGTTGGATCATAGGCACCGGTAAAAATCAGCTCTCTTAAATGCCTATGTGATTTACTTGATTCACCACCCTCTGAAAAGTTGGAGCTACTTACACTAGCTTGTAAATCAGCAGTTAAACTTTCAGGACCACCAGATGATTCCAAGGTTTGCTTGAAATTTTTTAAATAAGGGTTAATGATTTGCTCTTGAAACTCAGAATCACTCATGTTTTCTAATGATTTCTCCCATGATAAAAGGTATTCATTAATTTTGTGCTCTAGATATTTTGGTGTAAAACCTGCACTCATAACTGTTATATGTAACCCTATGGTAGATCTCAAAATTCTCTGACCACCCATAACAACGTAGCCCAACTGTTTTTTAGTTCTCAAATCAGGAACCAAAGTCAAAGACATCAAATAGGAATACAGCTTAGTCAATATTTCACTATATTTATCACCTCTAGGACCAGTTTGAATGAAATATGAAATTGAATTCATAGGATCTCCTTCAGATGATGATCTTTCAATAAAATAGGAGCTTCCAGGGGCTAATAAAACTGTGCTTGGTTCTTTAAACTTTGTATCTCTTGGAGAACCAAGATGATTAGTGATTTGGCTCAAAGTAACACTAAGATTATCAACAGTTTGAATATCACCTTGAACAAACAACCTTAAAAACTTGGAGCCTTCACTAAAGTCTGAAATAAATTGTTTGAAAGATTTGGCATCAATGTCATCCAAGGCATCCAACCGATCTTCTAAACTCCAAATATTTTCCTCCATAACAACTAACAAACCAGTACTGGCCAAAACAACAGATGGTGCTTCGGTAAGTTCTCTATATCTTGATCTGACAGCAACCCTACTTTTTCTGAACTCATCTGTGCTGACAGCAGAATCCAACTTCAAAAGTCTAAACTCAGAAACAATAGTTGATAAAAGTGCTTCAACACCATCTCTAAATCCACTGATTGTAAAACCAATTCTACAATCACCTTTCAAAGAAGCAAAGATTTCCCAAGTATAATCCAATAGTTCAGCTGCATAAAGTTTCTCAGCGAATTTAATTTTCAAAATCTCTGAAAGAATTTCAACATTCATAGTGTTCTCCACAGTTGATTCCATAGAAGTGTAAATTATGTCAAATGATAAAACCAAACGGGAAGAAAAGATTTGGGATGTTTCATATTTTGTCCAAATTTCATAACAATCACCTTTTTGGACCAGAGCAGCTTTTGTTGTAGACCATGATGACTTTGTATTATATGAAAGAGAGGATTGTGATGACTTGATTGAAGCTTCTATTGCCAGCTTTCTCAAAGAAGATAATTCCAAAGCAGCAGGAGGAATGAATATGTTTTTATTCACCAAATGGAACACAGGATTTTGAGTGAAACGTGGAAATGAAAATGAAAGTTTTCCAATTGTGTAGTGAAAGTTAAAATTTTCATCAACCAGAGCTGTAGAAGAGCCGAGGAGCTCAGATGCCTTCTTTGTAAATTTCCCATCTGCTAATAGTATCATGTTCATGTTTCTCAAGGCAAAAAAAGTAGACACAAAGCTCTTGAAAGCTTGACCTTTATTTGTCCACTCATCTTGTCCAATCTTAGATTCAAAAAAACCTTGCTTAATTTCTGTGAAACTTGGTGAACCTTTCAATATATTTTCAGGACCCAAGGATGAAATATTTCCTTGCAGTGATTGTGCATAAGCCGATGATTCTTCCATTGGTGAGTTATAAGTGTCCTGATGCAAATAAGTCAACAAGTCAATAGATTCCAATTCAGACAAGACTCTTCCTAGCTCCACTCCATCTTCAAACACTTTTGGAAGGTATTCTGTAAAGACAAGGTCAATAATTTCACCAACTTTCTTAGCTCCTGTATTAGTCAATTTTAATTCCAAAACCAACATATCATTATCTCTAGCTAAGTGTTGTGTGAATGCACTTAAACTAGTTATTGTATCTGTTTTCTTCAAAAAGGCATCCAAGGAACCTTCTCCTTCATCACCAACAATATTAGTCCATGCTTTTAAGAAAATCAAAGTTTGTTTTGATCCTGTGGAATCATTTGAATCTGAATGGACCGGAAATAAAAGTCTAAGTGTTGGAGTTTGATCCTTTTCAATCAGGATGCAATTACTCTGCTCTTTTTGAGTGAAAACTTGGGTCTCATAATTCCAAGCAGATGTGATATCATAATCTCTCATATTCTGTGGGCTTGAAACAATTGATTCTTTGGCTTTATTTGAAAAAAGTTTTAATTTCGACCTTTTAGACAATTCTGTAGAAGATCTTATATCAGCAAAGTTAGAAATCGCGAGCTTTTGTAGCAAATTGATTGATTGTGATCCTCTAATGACTAAAGTCATCTTTTCTGAGACAAAATTGTCTTGGTAATAACTCAGTAGATGATCTTTGACTTTCAATTTTTTGATCTTAGGTAAGTCATTCAAAGTGAAAAAGCTTCCCGTAGCAAATCTGTGAAATGGATGCTCTTGGTTTGATATAAGTCTTGTCCCATGGTACATCAATCTACCACCTGAATTCTTATTAGAGGTGTGTTCATTATCAACAGCATAGATTTCCTTTTCAAACATATTTTCAGCAAAAGTTGGAGCTTTTAAACAGGAGGCAAACACTTTTAACAAGTGATTGAAAACAGGTTCTTCAACTGAGCTATTCTTGGACTTCCATGTTGAATCTGAAGGTGTTTCAAAATAAAAACAAGTTTGTTCACCAGTTGTAAAAGCATTGCGTCGACCACCAGCTTTTGAGATACAATCATGAAATTCATTTGAATTTGGAAAGTCTTTTGAACCTAATAAAATCAAATGCTCGCAAAAATGAGCCAAACCAGGAATATCTTCTGGATCATTATGAGCACCAGCAGCAACACATAAAGCGGCGGAAGCCAAATCTTCAGCTGGATCAGATATTAAAAGTGTCAAAATACCATTAGGGAGCACAATCAACTTATGGCTTCTCCCAGAACTTGCGTAAGGAACCAGTAAATTTTCACTGAACGTTTTTATTGACGACATTTTTGTTATTGTTTGATTAGTGATTCAAGCACAGAAGTAGTAAACCACCTTCATGGTTTCGCACATGCTTTTATAGAATTCACTGCTTTAAAGATATTGTAACAAATCCATTTTGAAATGAGGTTACAGATGTTTAGCCTGTGGGTTTCAATATTGCCATATTGGGCAGAACAATGGAGGTTCATCTGAAAAATCGAAGTACCGTCTAGTTTTCAGAGCGTCAGAGATACTGACAGCCCCAATTCAGCCCAGCTTTCAAAAAGCACCATGATACGCAAAAGCCACATTGAAGAGTGTACCTGGAGCATCTTTTGATGTTTGATTATTTTCCTGTTAGTTTATGAAGTCGAAAGAATCAACCAACACTTTTTCAAAGCTTGCGGATGATGACACGTAAATGTTGGCAGATACCATTAAAATGGCTCCCTACACAAATTGATTTATCCAAAGTTTTGATGATTTGATTATTTTGGTTGTATATGTAAATGTTATCTAAAAGAGAATAAATAGGAATAAATAAGGGAAATGAAGCAAAGAGTGATCACTCTTCAACATCACCGCCAAATCCAACTGGTGTTGATCCGCCTTTAGGAAGAAGTGCTAAAAATTTGTAGATATGACCCATTGAACCTCCATCTTTTTCAACAAGTCTATGGTATCCTGATTTGATGATCTCCCTTTCAGAATCTGACTTGGCCTGATTGTATAATTGGTCAGCTCTATATTGAATACCTAACTGATGAAGCCAATCACCTTGTTGAACGGGGCCAAACACATCGATTGGAATTGCTGGATCTGATGTTGCACTCTCTTTTATAGCCTGGAAGTCCACGTCAGCTGAAAGATCAACCTCACCTGGATCGCTGAAAGGATTCGTTATCTTATGGTCCTTTATTCCACGTAAAGTATTTTCAGGAATTGAATAACTTGGTCCATAATCAACAATCAAAGCAGCACCATTTTGAGAATTGTTACGGTTTATCAATTGGGTTATTTGTCTAGTATATGAATATAGCTCAGGGGAAATCTCAACGTCTGATCCTGTAGTGACATTTGAGTACCTTTTATTAGTCTCCGGGATCTTTGATGATGGCCTCTCTTTTGGAGACACAGTCAAATGGAAATCATTAGTTTCAGGGTGTTGATCCACCAAATATTCTCTCCACCCTTCCTCTGTCTTCTTGAATTGATTGATTGGTAATGCATCATAAAACTCATGAGCTAGGATGTAATTTGCGTCTTTATCATTTGTGATTTCCCAAACATCTTTTTCAGTGTCAACCCATGTGATTTTACCGTTCCACTTATGGTCAGTTGTCCAAAATTCTTTATTGACATCCAACGTTGAGTCAGAAAGTAAGGTCCATTGTGCTTTTTTCAATACATCTGAAGCTTCAATAAGAATAATATTTAACGTTAAGTCACTAGCTTTCAAAGTCTGTAGTAATCTTGAAAAACTTTTAATTACATCAAACATCAAAGTACCTTTCCCAGGGCCAAATTCTATCAAATTAATATTTTTGGGCTTTTTTTGAGATATCCAAACAGTGAATAGCCATATACCAATCATTTCACCAAACATTTGAGAAATCTCTGGGGAAGTGATGAAATCACCTTTGGGACCTAGTGGATCTTTGGTTGTATAGTAACCAAAATCAGGATGGGTAAGACATAATCTCATATAGGCTGAAAGAGGAATGGGACCTGTGGTCTAAACAAGAGTCAGTATTGAACTTTCCACCATGAATGAAGCAAATGCGAATACTCACCTTGATCAATTCTGTAAATATTTGTGATAAATTGTTCAATTCAATCTTCTTTCTTGCAGTATCATATCTTGTGGGGAATGATTGTTTATAAGCCTTCGGAATCACTTGACAGCGCACCGCACTCGTTGAAAACTGACGAAGCAGAGCTGGATTTCTTGATCTCAACAACATTTAGAGTTGAAAACAATAAAGATTCACTAGAGATTTAGCTTTTTTGATGGGTTGTTGAAGATGTTTTTTTCTGGCTACCATCAAGAGATTGGAGAAACGTCCAAAAAAAGTCGTGTCATTCTCAAAATTTCTACATACTTTTAAAACGGTTTTGATATTGTACAAAAAGCTTCTATTAAATCATGATTTTCTAATGACTGCGTACCAATTATCACGTTCATAGCCATTGGCTACAACTTCACCACCAGCATCTTCAGCGTTTTTCTCTAGTTCGCCCTTTTTGTAAAGGTGGTAGTACCTAAACTTGGTATTATCTTCCTCTTTCTTTGGCTCTTCTGTCACTTCTGGTTCCTTCTTTTCAGGCTCATTCTTTGAATCTCCAGTAGGTGCTTCCCCTTCTTTACTTTCAGTTTTTTTACTTCTTCTTTTCTTCTCTTTAGGTTTCTTTGGTTGTTTCTTTTGAAGAACCCATGGAACTAAAACATCTTGTGGATCACCTTCTTTATATCCTCTTCTTGAATTTTCTTGCTCCAAGGCCCAAACATAAATGAGTGCCTCACCGCCTTTCTTAAGCTTGGATAATATATGCTTTATAGCTTGTGTACGTCTTTCCGGAGTTGAGAAATGATGAATGACAGCAATACTTATAGCAAAATCCTGCATTAGTTAGCAAATTTATTCCTTCACTAGCAAAAAAAGATTAAATACTCACAAATCTATTATCTGGATGAGGAAGCGAAAGCCCATCACTTACCATAACTTCGTGACCTAAGTCTTTGGCACATGATATCAAACCATCAGATCTATCACTTCCTATCATCACCACATTTTTATTGACACCCAAGTATTTACCATTCCCACAACCAACATCAATCCCTATACTTCCAGGGATTCTTTCTGTGAGAAATTTTTCCACTATAGGCCATGGCTTTAAAAGATTAGTTACATGTAATTGTTGAAAGTCGAGTTTCATTTGAACATACTTTATATCTAGTTTGTGAGAAGTGTGATGCGATTTCGTTGTAAACAGTATGCACATATGTTTGCTCTTTGGCAACAGCATCCAATGATTCATCCATTTTGACACCTTTTAGTACAAACTTTACCAGTTAAATCTCAATAAAACATTTACAAAACTACCAAAAAGCTCATCTCTACTTTTCCAATAAAAAAAAAATCGGAGAGTTGGCACACGACAAAATGGCAGACGCGGTTTTGGCTCAAACTCGAAAAAACAGATTCATCAGCAAAAGCACAACAACAACAAAATTACAAATCAACAAATCAAACGAAAAGGCCTTACGATCACTTCAATATGTCCGAGGAGAAAGTGGACAGGAAGAAAAGAGTAGAGCAGATCATAAACTCAGAACCAAAGCAGTCGCTTTCCACAAGACAATTTGTTGTGCTGTCAATATTGGCCCTATACTTATTCATTGGATTCCCATTATGGTTCAAGTTGACAGAGATTTATAGAGCTCCTTTACCTTCAAAGTTCATAACAACGCTACAAAACAATCAAAATTTCGATTTAAAGATTCAACGTGAAGTCTTTGTGAAAATCACAGATGGTTTAAAATATCCAGATTTGGCTGAAGCTACTCAAATACAAATTGACCATGAATTGACCAAATACAGTCAAGACCCAGATGAAAGATTGATTGTGGATTGGAATGTCACGATAAGATTTGATGAACCAGGTCCAGATGATTATGTTCTTGAACTAGAATTGGGTGATGGTGAAGGTATTGCAGTTGATCCAGCAAAAAGAGAGACAGTTTTATTCTATACTTTGGGAAGTGTTAAAAGCAATGATTTGCCATTTTTCGTTGCACAAACACTACTTTATCATATTTTCAGCTCGGAAATTGAATCATTCAAAGCTAAAAATCAACGCAAAGATATCAATTCCATTACTTACTCACCAATGGTTCACCTTTCTTTCAAATTGTTAACAGGAGATGGTAGTCCAATTAATTGGAGAATTGATAAAGCTCTAGATGAATATTTTCAACCTGTTATAGGTCTATTTCAAAGTTATGTTAATTTCACTATTGATTCTGAAATCAAGTATTTTACAGAACTAAACCTACCCAATGCAACTGATACTATCAAATTAAGTGACCTTTCCACAATTGTTGATTTTTCTGAATGGGATGTTTCATCAAATATGTACAATTATCCAACCTTGAACTTTGTGCTTTATTATCCTTCCAAGAGTGTCTCACCATTGAATTTCAACTTTGACCCATCCAAGAATGCATTTTTAATTCCACAATGGGGGTCAATCATCCTGCAACCTGAAGCATTAGAACCAAACACTTTGATTACTGAAGATGGGTTACGCCCAGTCTTGGAAAAATTCACATCTGAATTAGTTAATCTTTTAGGTCTTCCAAAACATCCAAAGACCCCATTAATCAGAGTTGATGCTGTCAAAGTTCATACTATTGTCTCAAATCTAATAAGAGCTACTGATTCCTTGTCTTCATTGTTAAAATTATCAAAATCATTACCAAATATTTCCATTCCGAAGACTGTTCTAGATAATGTTAAAAAGGCCTTAGAAGCCAGACAAAGAGCCGTGGAGAAAGTTAATATCGAAAGAGATTTTGATGGAGCATTGCTAGAGGCCAATAAAATGTTGAAATATAGTGAAGATGCATTTTTTGACAGAGAAATGGTTCAACAAAATTTTTTCCCACAAGAACACAAAATTGCAGTATATCTACCTTTATTGGGTCCGTTATCTATTGTATGTGCCCTGGGACTGATCAGAGTCTTGATGGAGCTCAAGAGATTTAGATCTATTAAAGCATAATGTGACTAATACACTATAAAAGATTGATTTGTTTGAGTTTTAAAGATTTTGTAGTTTATTGAATTTAGTGACACTTATATCTGCCAAATCATGATTTTCGCGAATGTTTTTAAAGCTGATTTGAAGACCTGGAACAAGTACAACAACAACAACTACAAACAGATCAGAAAAGCTAAGCAATTCAATAATGAGCAACAATATCGAAGATGAAGATCTTGACCTATCAGATGTTCCAATGGGCGAAAATGAAAATGAAATTTCTGATGTGAATTCATCGCAAGGTGAATCTGACGCTGAAGAATTATTTTCTGACATGTTGGAGGAAGAAGCTGAATTCGTTTACAAGAAAATCTTTGAAGATGTGTTATCAGGTAAGAAAGTCACATTAGATGAAGAAGATATACCCGAAGAGCCAGAAGAAGAACTAGACGAAGAAGAAAGACTGAGGCTGTTGATTGATCACTTGGATGCAACACAAATGTCAAGATATGAATTTTATAGAAGAACAACGGTAAATAAAGGTGGTGTCAAGAAAATTGCAAATACAGTACTTAACCAAAGTGTGTCAAATAGTGTCGCTATTGTATTAAGTGGTGTTTCTAAAGTGTTTGTGGGTGAAATAGTAGAGAAGGCAAGAAGTGTTAAACTAAGGTACGATAAAGCTAATTTATTAATAAAGTTGGATGAAAAACAAGAGCTATATGAAATTATGAAACATGATACAAAGAAATTGAAAAAAGAAGAGGAGAGTTCAAATACAGTTGAGATTATCAAGTTGAAGAATGAGATTGAAAGAATCAAGTTTGAATTGAAAAAAATGGATTTGAAGAATGTTGATGAAAATGGTCCATTATTACCTGAACACATTAGAGAAGCTTGGAGACTTTATCAAATAGAGAGCGGTACCTGTCCAAGTAGTCAATGGAGAGGTCAAGGTGAAAAAGATGGTATGATGTTTAGATGAATCAGATTGTGTAATTACTCATTTATTATTGGAACTGTAGCTTTAAATCAGACCATTCAAATCCCCAATTACATACGATTAAACAATAGTGTTCTAGCAAAAGCCTTAGTTCTTCCAATTCATCAAGGAATTCCAATCTCGATATTCTTATTTTTTCATCATCACTAATCCAATTGTTCATGATATTATTCATATTATCAATTTTCACATCCTTTATGCCCAATTCCTGCAACCTTTGTGAATATTTTTCTAAAGTATTGAATTCTAGTAGAGAAGGCATGGAAATATTTCTAATTTTCAAATTATCAATCATAACACTTCCAAAATTGTCCTCACCACCTATTGGATCATAAATTGCAAACACCCCTTTAGTGAAATGAGATCTGATTGATTGAATAATGTTGGTGGATACCGATGATTCTGTATAGCAAAGCATGCATTCTGAAATGATTAAAGTTGGTGCATTTAAGTCTAGTTCAGTGGAGATTATTGTTTTCAAGGTCTCTATATCACGAAGATCTATGGATATTAGTTTGTATTTCTCTGAAATTAAAGTATCATCAAGTTCAGTATAAAATATTTCAAAATCATCAACTGGGACAAAATCAACACCAACGGCATTAGCCAAGACTTGATCAGTTGTGATGATTGCCTTTTTCAATTTTGTAGAATCTTTAAAGTCAAATTCAACCCAATTGATATTTTCCCTTGAAGCCAATATTTGGAAAGCCCTTGTATCTGAACCAGCACCAAGGTTTACAATTTGGACTTGTTGTCCATCAAATTCACGTAGGAACTCCTCTATCACATAGTCAATTGATTTTGTTCTGATATAAGTACCACGGTTGATTATGGGTAGCTTCACACTATTAACAATTCCATTGAATACTCTTCTTGATGATATTTTGTTTTCAAACCTTAGGAATTTTTCTAACCCATGAATCACATTTTGTAGATACTTGTCATCTAGATAGTGTTTTTTGCAAGCTGAAATTCGACAAGATAAGGCATCATAGTCTGTTGATCTTATGATTTTCTCATTACGATCCATTGTTGGTGATGTTGTGGATTTAATGATTGTGTACAACTTTTTAGAACAAGTACTTTTCACAAAGGTTAAAAATCTTTTGTTATTTGAACATTCGCGGCGATTAAGACCGATGGATTATTTCAACTACAAAAAGTTCAACATGATCAAACCAAATTGGATGTGTCTGGTTTATTAGACCTTAAACAGGTTTCTCTCCTGGTTTCTCTGTTTCAGTGGACTTATACCACCCAGTTTATCCAACAGTTTAACTTTCTTTAATGGACTGAATTTTGGTTCTTCTTCATTATCGACATCTTCGACGATGGCTTTACCACCAATTTTTCTTCTTCGTTTAGCTGGTTGTTTCTTTTTGGTGTCCTGTTCCTCATTGTCTTGTTTTGATTCCTCAGAAGGTGGTTCTTGTCTTGGGGTATTCTTTGTTGCATCTAATTTTCTAATTGAATTTCCAAATATATCCTCATCATCATCGTCATCATCATCAAATAATGAGGGCTTCTTTTTGGAATTTGGCTTTGTAGCACCATTAGACGGTGGTTTAGCTGGTGATATCAAGTTCTTCAAACCACTTGGCTTTCTACTCTTTAAATCCTTCAGTGGTGATACTGCATTTGGAGCACCTGGAGTTGATGTTGCCAATAAATTTTGACTATTTAATGGAACTGGTGATTGAAAATTGTTTTGTTGCTTACCATCTTTTGAAGGTGATGTAGCCTTGTGAAGATTTTTGTTTAAGAAAGGTGATGTTGAAAAATTTGAAACCAAAGGTCTTTTCAAACCTAACTTTTGATGGTTATTTAATGTTTTCGATTGTGATTTAACAGGAGATAGTATTGATGAAGGAGGCTGAAGGGCTTTCGATGGTGATAATGTGTTTTTATCTTTCAAGTTTTTAATGTTTTTCTTTGCATTTTCTAACTTTGATTCCAACACAGCTTTTTGGGTGACAAATTGTTGTTTTACTTTACCAATCTCGTTTCTAGATTCATTTAGTTGACTGTTTAGTTTTGTTATTTGGTTTTTCAATGATAATGTTTCCTTTTGAAGGGATGTTTGATTTGCAGATTTTTTCTTCCAAGTATCAATTTCAGTATTCAACATTGATATTTTATTCTCAAGTAACTTTTTCTCATGTTGAGCCTTGGTTAGATCTTGCTTCACACTTGAATGGTCCTTTGATTCCTTGTGATTAGAGTTTTCAATATAGAGCTGTTGAGATAGTACCGTTTTCAAAAGAAGGGCATTTTGTAATAAAGAACGACGAGTGGACTCCTTACTGATGACCGACTCTACGGCTGATCTAGCCTTCTGATACTGAGCAAAGTTAGTGATCACCTCGTATTCCATCTTCCACAAATCGGCTCAATTGGATCTGACTGTTTATGGATCTATTTCAAACTGATCAGAATTACGAATTGTTTTTTGTTTTTGTTTTCAAGTTTAAAAAAATTGAAATCGAGAAAAAAGGTAAACAAAGGAGTGGCAAAACCAGAAATACAAGTCACGTGAAAGATAATAAAATAATTTAATGAAGATAAAGAATATTCAAAGCAATAATTAATTTAAAAGAAAGCTAGCACAAAGATATCAAGATTTTACTTTATCCTTTGGCAAAGATCAGTAATTTTTAGAGGATTATTAACCATCAACTTGTTCGAAATGCTTTGATTTGCCGGATTTTCCCCAAAGCAGAAATCAAACCACCGGATCTCATTTATTGTCGATAATCAAATTGGAAATTATGCCTTGAATTTTACTAATCTTTCACAACTTTAAACACCAAAACATCCCAAATTTAGAGCCATTGAGCTCTGTTAATAATCGTTAATACTGCATTTTATCTTGTCAACATCCTTCGGATCATGTTTTCAAAGTCATCATTCACATTATTTCTCATATATTTAACGTGTTTGTTTTCAACCGTGTTTTCAGCATTGAGCCCTGAAGAATTACAACAATTGCAAGGTGATCATGGTATAATACACTTAAATTCAGATAAATTTGATCAGATATTGAATGGACCAAGAGATTATTTCCTTTCTTTATTATTCACAACAACTGCTGAACATATACCATGTGACACATGTAAGAAATTTGATCCTCAATATAAAATTGTATCAAAATCTTATTTTGCTACAAATCCTGGAAGAAATGATTTATTTTTCCTTGTTGCAGAGTTTGGTGATAATGAGTCAAAATTTAGGGAGTTGAAAATGGATAAGGTTCCAAAACTTTGGATTTTCCCTCCAACTTCTAAAGAATGGTATAATGTTACAAGTCCTCATTATCAATACACTATTAGCGAAGCTGCACTGAATGACCCCCTAGACTTTGCAGATTTCATTGCAAAAGCTGCAAATTTAAGTATTGTGATTCAACCTGATTTTGAGTTGAGCCAGTTTTTCACTTATTTTTTGGGGACTTTTTTCTTTGTCTTGATTTTGAAGAAACAAGTATTGGGAAGAATTAATAAAGCTGTTGTTTTGAAATTTCTTGTTGTCTTTGCGACTATTGTTTTAATAAGTGGTTATATGTTTACAGTGATAAGGGGTATCCCATTAATTGCTAAAGATGATAAGGGAAATATAATGTACTTTAGTGGTGGGACACATTGGCAATTTGGTCTTGAAACATTCATAATTTCAAGCATTTATATTGCACTTGGTGCACTCATTGTTGGGTTAGTGAGTTATATACCATTGATTGAGAATGAACAACTCAAGAATTCTTTAACTATTGGATTTGCTTTTGGTGTCCTCTATATATTCAACTATCTAACCAAAATATTTTTGGTTAAAGATCCTGGATATCCTTACCAAGTTACCAATTGGTTATGAAATGTATAGAATGCAAAATAGAAATGGACATGACTACGTGATTGATAGAATAATTAGCAAAAAAAAGTAAACTTGTATAAAATGTATTGTATTAACCTTTGTATAACCTGTTGAAGATAAACATAAACTCAATGAACCCGTAATAATAAAACTAATATACATATATGTGAAACAAAATGACATGATGAAGACGTGACAAAAAAGAAGAAAATGCAAATAGAAAAACAATGGGTATATTCTATTCAATGTGTTTATCATTCTCAGCATCTTTATTGATGACAAAGAATGAAATGCAAATCATGGATGCTGCAATGACATATAATACAGTGATTTTTTCACCTTTGAAGATGATATCACCAATCATAGCAAATGGAATTGTTGTTGATAAACCAACAGTGACAATTAATGGAGATGTGAGTAGCATAGCTTTGACCCAACAAAAATCTGAAATGAATGTGATTAAACAATTGATCAAAATGATACTTATAACAAAAGTACCACTTGGTAATTCAAATTTCTCCACACCTGTATAATGGAAAATGATTAATGAAGGCCATAAAAAGAATAAATTGAAAACACCAACAAACCCGAAAAACACCTTCATATTTATTCTTGATTCATCTCTGATTCTATATTTCAATAATGTAGCATAAACACCATAAAGTAAAGCACCAGCTAGAGCTAATGAGTTCCCAATGAATATACTTAATGGAGTACGTTCAATATCACTTGAGACTGTATCACTATCTGATTTTGTAATCACAATGACACCAATAAATGACAAAACTAACCCAAAAATTTTAACATTACTAAAAGATTCAGTTTTAGCTAGGGCACCAATCAATAATGTAAAGAAAGATGAAGTTGAAGATAGTATCGTTTGACTTCCAACACTTGTATAGCTTAAACTAGCATTTGTAGCTAAATTAGCTAAATACCAAACAACACAAAATTGGGCACTTAGCTTTATAGTTTCACTTAATGATAATTTTGCATTATATTCAGATTCTGCATTCAATGCCAATTCTTCATCTGATGAATCCAAGAAATCTTCTTCAATCTCTTTATATTTCAAGCTTCCATTCTCAATGTAACCTTTTATAACTTTTTTCAAATAGGGTATAAGATAGAAGATAAAAGTTGCTGTGTTTATATAAGTGATAAAGAATGGTTTTCTGTATAAGTCATTTTCAAATATATCACTAATCAAGAATGAAGACAGCACCCATGATAATACCACGACTGCCAGCATTATTAGCCCCAGAGTCCATCTTTGCCTTCTGTGGGATCTGTTTTCATTTACCAAGGAGGTCATAACTGGAATTCTATATCTTTTCTTTCTTTGATTCTATACGAGCATATGAAACTGTTTATGTCCTTTTGAGTTTTTCAATGACTAGATATGAGATGGAATAATGATAAATGCTGAAGTGTTAAGGAAGATGTATGTGCTTTCTAATGATGGGAATACGGCTAGTTTCAAGCTCAAATATTGTGGCTTCCAAGTTCTGAAATCAATTGGTCAAATTGTCAATCGCGTGCAAGTGGTTTTTTTCAGATACAAAAAAATTGATAACAAATTTTCAACTTTTTGACTCCGAATCACGTGAAATTGGGTATTCGCGAATTGGTTCTACAAAAATCGAGTTTCCTCAAATGTCCATAATTCGTTTCATTAAAAGTTCAAGTCATCACTATTTATAGGCTAAGTATCGTTCGGGAGTTGGCGAGACACTGGTCTGTATTGGAATAAGAGTTGATTCTGCTTGCCAATAGCACAGCACGGTCTGTTTTCAAGGCCAATTGGGTACTCAAAAGATCTATTTGAGTAGTGAGAAATTGTTTTTCAACATCTTGTTTTTGTTTCTTGAATGATAATTTCGACAGTAATGATTTGTTTTCCTTTTGTAATTGAGATATTTTAGATAATAGTTCTTGAATTTGTTGTTTCAATTGAGATATTTCAATCTTGCTCTGTTCTAATTCTTGTTGTGTTGATAAAAGTTCAGTTCTCATTGTGTTTATTTCTTTCCCATAATTTTGATGTATTTCTGAAAAGAATGAATCATTTGTTGATTTCAATTGATCAATATTTGTCTGGATAGATGATATAGAGCTGTTTTTAGATCTATAGTTAACTGCTTTATTATTGCTGAACATTGATTGATTAGTGGCGGAAGAAGTTGAAGAAGTTGATGAATATGATGATTGACGACGACCAAATGAGAACCTATGATGACTTGCTCTCTTTTTCAAAGTTTCATTCTCATCTTTCAACTGTTGATTTTCCTTGTTAGCATCTGATAATCTATCTAAAGCCATGGCTGCTTGGTGTGATAACATTCTAACTTGTTGCTCCAGTATCATATTACGTTCTTGTTCACCTTTCAATCCATTACTAACTAAAGTCATATTTTTTACTGAAAATTCACTATCAGTTGGCGATGTGAACTTCTGAGCATTTGTTTGAAACCTAGCACTATTTTGTTCAGTTATTATTTTCATCTGGCTTAATTGAGAAGCAAAAGAACCACGACGTGGTTGGTTTCCATGTAACATAGGAATATCCAACATTGGTGGATCAAGACTTGTTAAATCAGCATCACCTGAATTGATTGAAGATACACTTTTCTTTACTGCATGTGTCTTTGTGAAGAATCCCATCATTGATTTAGTTGACTGAGTGCTTTGGGAAAGGGAAGAGACTTGAAGAAATGGATTGTAAAAGTATTATAAACGAATGTTATTCAGTGAAAAACACTCATTAGTTAACCCTTTCAAACACATATGCCATGCAGTCGAGACCTTCCTCTGCAACTCAAAACGCCCTTAATACTCTGTACAATTGCACACATTTCTCGCCTGGAGAGCTCGAAGGAGTAAATATTGATGCAGGTTTCCTGTGCTTATGAAGTTTGAACCTTCGAGACTAAAAAAACTCGAGATTTTGAGACGCGTCTTACATGAAAAATTTCCAAAAACGAAAACAAAAACAAAAACACGACTTTTTGTATCTTGACAACAAAATGAGGATGGTTTGGGGGAGAGAAGTTTAATGCGTGTTTGATGTGTTTTATTGGCGTTGATCATTGGGTTACATAGACATTACTGTACTTTGTAGAAAGCTGGAATTGCTTCTGTTTACTGATCAAACATTATATGCGGCTCAACAATCCACAACATGCCAATTATCTTAACTAACAAATAAACACTGAAACCCACTATTAAATATCCAATAGACTCTGATATTTACAATAAAACAGATTATTTATCAGCTCATTTTTTGAATGCATCTCATATAAATTATTGTTAGTACACTTGTAAATACACATTGACTTCCCGATTAGGCAGTCAACCCTCTGTAAAATTTGTTATTGAAATGACACTAAAACCAGTTTAAAGCTGAGAATTTGGCAATATCAAGAAAACAATCAGCTGAAAAGCATATACATCGTTTCAATTGCTCTTATTGATCGTTTTTTGATCTTTATTTTCGAATACAAAAGCTGCCAAAGATACCGAATCGCAATTGGCTCTTTAAAAACTATGGGTATGTTGTTTTGTTTTGGAGTACATACCTGTTAATGATTAGCAGACGTTTTTATCTTCAACAATAACTAACAACTTTCCATCAGCAAACAAGAAGAAGTTTTCTCTACAAGAGTTTTATCAAGATTCATGTAAGTTAGAACTAGCAGCTTCGATTGAGAAGCTCCATTTCATGTTGATAAAGAGTTGTTACTAACTTTCTAAATTTAGCATTGGGTGGTGGTAACTGGGCCGATGATGAGATTGATTTAAGCTCAATTAGTGTTCCTATAGTGAAACAAAGACACCATTACCACGATGATTACCTCAATTACTCAAGCAATTCAGCACAAACATTCTCATCTTCTCACAATAACTTCAACGATTATCCCAAGTCTCCCCCTTTTATTGCAAAATTTACAAACATACCAAGTGATTTTGGTTCAGAACATATTGAAGATTTATTCAAATCAAGGTTTATGAAGTTTTTGAAGTTTAAAATCTTTTGGGAAATCAATCATGATCAATTGAATATCAGCTCTGACCCTGCAGTTTTAGCAAACAAAAGAAAGAAAGTTGCATTTGTTGAATTACAATCTGTAAATGATTTTGAAAAAGTATTGAGATGGAATGATCTCTTTATAGGTCAAAATTTTGGTAAAATATTGGTTAATGTCGGTAATTTCAATGATTTTAGAACCTATAATGATTTAAATCAAAAATTATCAGAATCAGATGACCCTTCAATTTCATTTAGTCATAAAAGAGAAAGAAGATACAGTAATGAGGATCCAAGCAATACATCAAATGGCTATCATGCTCAACAAAAGTCGAGATTTTACAACAGATCTCCAGAACTAGCTCACAGGACCCTACATTCAAACCATGTTCCTTCACATTTCCCTCCAACTAATCTCCAACAACATCAACCACATTCAAATGACTTACCACCAATTATTGAACCAAAACCTGCACCACCACCAAAGAAGTCAAACCCTTTCGGAAGTGCTAAGCCTGTGGATATTTTATCTAAACAACTGGAGATTGAAAAAAAGCTTCATGAGTTGGAAATCAATAAAACAACATTCAGAACGTTGGGTCATACTGAAGAAGACGAGCAGTCAAAACCACAATCACATCCACAACAAGTACAACCACAACCTCATGAAGAAGCAGCGAAACCAACATCAACAGTCTCAACATCTACACCACCAACCAGAAGTAAACAATCAACTCCATCTCATCATCATCTGAAATTTAGCCAACCTAATTCCCCTAAGAAACATGAACTAAGACCAGCTTTAAAACCTGAATTCGATGCATGGAAACCATTACCATCTAGTGCTGCTCACCATCCCTCTTTTGCAGAAGCCGTATCTCCACCTTCAAACCCAAGTCAATTACATCCATCTGACCCAACAACGGTTCCTGTAACATTTTTCCAATCATCAAAGAAGACTAAACAATCAGATTCTGATGCTACTGATGAAGCACCAAAACGCAAAATCTTGTTGAAAAGGAAAAATGCTGAACACCCAAGGAAAAACAGTGAAACTAGCCGCATCGTTAGAAGAGATAGTAGCAATGTTGAAAGAAATGTTGAATCTGTCCATGTTGCTGAAGATCCTAAGTTGTTATCAGAGGCTCAAACCAAAGAAAACGAATCTGCAATTGAAATGGAGGAAGAAAATGTTGATGATGTTCCTTTGAAAGAAGAAAATGCAAAACCATTGTCAGACAAAAAATCAACTCCACCACAACAAGCCAACATTCCAAAAGCTGAAGTTAGCGTGAACAAATTTGGTAGAAAAGTGTACCATAATGCCTCCTATGTGAAGAACAAACCTAAACCAACGGTGCCAGAACAATCTAAATCTGATGAAACCAGTACAACTCCAGAAACCACTACAGAACCAAAAAGTGAGGAATTGCAAAAAGAATCAGAACCATTAGCTGACACAACAAACTTCAGAGGTAGAGGTAGCGGACGTGCTAGAGGTAGGGGTAGAGGTAGGGGAAGAGGTCGTGGTAGTATTAGAGGAGACGCTGCATTCAGATCAAGAAGGGAAGGCTCACAAGGTGATGAACCTAGTAATGGAGCTGAAGAGTCAGCCAATGAAAAACCTTCAGCAGAACAAAAAAAGGAATCTAAAGAGTCAGAAGAATCCAAAACTGATATCACTGATAGTGGAAATGAGCTCAATTCTTCAAAGCCTTCTCAGCGTTCAAGGGGCGGACGTGGATATCGTGGTTCTCGTGGAAGAGGTGGTTATAATCGTTCTACAAGAGGAAAAAGTGGCCTGTTTTTGAACGTTAGCCGTACTTTCAACAATACGAAAGAAAGTAAACCAAGCGAGGAATCTTAATAATTAATTTTATCATATTCACCCTTATTTAATATATGGCAGGCTACATATGTTTTCAACCTTTTTTATTGTAGCTTCGAGAATTTGGTATTTCCACATCTTCAACACCTTTTTCCCCCAAAATCGTTATTTTTGTAAGGCTTAACATCCACACCAACTCAGCACATATAAAGCATTCAATTTCCCTTTAAGCTCAATGCTAAAACCTACTTTCATAAATCTCCAGCCTTCAAGATCAACATCCTCACTTCAAACACTTCCGAAAAACCAAACAGAAAACACACAATCCACATCATCACAAACAAACACAACATCATCAACACATCGTCAAAATTTTGAATATGAAGATATAATATATAATTTGAAAACTCCAATACCAATAAGTTACAAGATTACAGATATCCTAGCACGTGAATCGGATGTTACCATTTCGAACCAAGTCACACCGTTAACAGAATATAGAGGATTTGCATTATATTTGATCATTTCAGTTTTCCATTTGATTTGGTTATGTTGGACATTTGCTCCAGCTCGTTATTTAGAAAAGATCGGTATATATTATTATCCTTCCCGCTGGTGGAGTTTATCGCTGAGTTGCACTGTATTAATGGGTATGTTATACACTTATATTGCCTTACAAATGTGGAATGTTGAAGTAGAGACTTTGAAATTGGATGATTTGAATACAATTGTGGATGATGATGCTGTTCTAGAGAAGGATTTGGATAAATACGGTTGGTGTGATACAAATGGAGTTTACGATTTGAGAATAACTGATGTCAATAAAGTGCTTTATGACGGATATACTGGGGAAAGTTAAGTTACAAGTCTATTCAAAATTATTAAAGCTGAAGTTCTATTAATCTCCTCAAGATTCTATAAACAAATCCATTCTCATTGGTGATATTGAGAAAACGAAACCATGACGCAATGTCCATTATTGATCCTGCACGTCTAACATTGAAACATGATAACTAAAATTTCTAGTTGAAATTACTCTCAAGTATAAAACTTAGCACTTTTTTTTTGCTTTTTCTGATTTTTCTTGTTTAATTTAAAAAGGACATTCAAACACAATTAATCTTTTAGCTTTTTTTTTGATTTTTTTTTCTGATTTCTCTCTTCGAGACGACATAAACACATTAAGAAACACAAATATTGAAATAAATATAATATGACGTTAACATTGACATGAAATGATTTAAGTTGTATATATATAAGATTGCGGTATGTTGGAAAGTGATGCATTGGTTGAGCAGGCTGCCATTTCTTTGATCATGATAAAGCAGTGATTGGTGTGGATTGATTATTTGAGTTGATATTGTCTTCTTGTTGGGATTGGTTATTGGCTGAGAAACTACCATGGTTAGCAAAACTACCATGATTGCTAGTTTGGCCCTGAGCAGTTAAATTGGCAATTCTTCTCTCATGCTTACCCTTTTTCATAACTTGTTTCAAAGCAACAGAATCTAACGGATCTAGTAGTTCAAAACTACATAGTAATTCTTCACTCACACTCATAACAGCACCCCAATTATCAAATTCACCACAATAATTAGGTGCACTGAAAACGGTGACCAAAGAACGATCATTGAAGAATTCATAACCATCTTCAACAACCATATGTGCACGACAGACCAAATCAAATCCAAACCTCGCCAAAAATTTATTGATGGCTAGTTTATTAAAACAATATGACACACCTCTTTCATTATCCTCCCATTCGTTTAGTGCATCCGAAGGATCTGACCATAATAAATCATTGATCAATCCGAAATCTGGAACATCTGTTGGTCTATTAACATTTCTAATTTCATCCATTGAATTTAAAACTGGGGATAATCCTCCATGAACACAGAAAATCTTACCAGCAACAATTGCAGCTAAAGGTAATGTGTTGAAAGTATCAATGAACAGCTTCCATGTTTTGATATTACAACGACGTTTACATTCATCATAGAATCCGTAAACTCTTGTAACATTTGCACATTCATGGTTACCTCTTAACAAGAAAAAATTTTCTGGGTATTTAATCTTATAACATAATAATAAAAGAATTGTTTCTAATGACTGTTTACCTCGATCAACATAATCACCAAGGAATAAGTAATTAGCAGCTGGTGGGAAACCACACTTTGTAAACATTCTAATCAAATCACCAAATTGACCATGTACATCACCAACAATTTTAACAGGAGGTGATAATTCCAATAGAGGTGGTTGTGACAAAAAGATTTCTCTTGCTTTAGCACAAATTGTAGCAATCTCTGAGTTTTTAAGACAAATGTTTTTTGTACGTTTACCAGAATAACCTGCATCTAATAATCTTTGAATCAATTCTTCAATATCTATTTGACTACCATTGACTTGCAAAACATTATTTTGAGGGTTGATTGGTGATTGAAATGGTGTAGAGTAATTTGAAAATGAATTCTTTTTACTTGTTGGAGTTATGGGTAGATCTTGACTATCTTGGTGTGGTAAGTTTAGGGTATTTATGGCCAATGAACCATCATTTGTTGTGTTATTTGATGTATTGTTGTTATTAGCATTGCTATTTCTATTTGGGTCGCCATTCATACCATTAGAATTCTTTCTATTCTCTTGTTGAGATTTCAAAAGATCTTCCACAGCATCACTATTGTTTCTCAAGATGGGTTGTCTAGGTTCAACTTGAATCATTGAAGGTGGCAATTGAACACTAGTTGAGCCGTCCGCAGAGGTGACGTTCAAAGCTGGAACATCTGAGGAAAAACTTTGTGATTTCTGGTTTGTAGTGGCATTATTAAGCTGTTGGTGTATAGTATTGGATGAATTCTTTCTGGACATCAAAGGGGAGTGAGGTACCAGCGACGGAGAATCAGTTGCTGTTTTGAACGACGAAGCATCCGAATCTCTAGACATGGACCTTCTGGATCTGAGAGATCTAGAGGACTTTGTAGAGTTCTGTGTATCGCTTCGTTGAAACTGTGGATAGGCTTTTAGTGAATCATTTTTGTGCTTTGATGAGCTGTTACCCATGATATAGATTTGGTTGAGTGTCTCTTTGGGATAGTTTTCACTTCAATTAAGCAGAGCGGGTGTATGAAAACCTGTAAAAATGATGTTTTCGCTGTTCTAGTGTGCTCAGTTGTCTAGTGGCACTTGGGATGTGAGGTTCTAGACGTTGTAAAAGCTGCGTTGTGGTGGGTTTCAGCAGCTCAAGATGTTTGTTGATAGTGGTTAATTTGTGGTTCAAGTTGATAATTGTCAACTGAATTTTGTGTAGATTGTTTTTTGACAAGACTTTTTTTGGCGGGTGGGCTGACTCAAAGCTGACTAAGAGCTGTGATCCTCTGCCTAAAAGTTGTAGCCGCTCTGCCTAAATCGTAGGCCGAGCCCTGCCTAGAGTTTGCGCGGAAGCTTAGGCCCAGCTCTGTCTAAAAATACTTGACGGAAGAAGGAAACAAGACTCTAGAGCTTGACAAATCAATAATTACAAATGTCATGGATAAGTTGGTCAAGGATATCATGCTTAGAAATTGGTCAAAATAATGTTCCAATTAATACAAGTTTCTCTATCTTGATTCTAAATTCTGTCTGCATGTTTCATTTGAGCTCTAGTTTGTCGAAAACACTTTTACCCACTGCTGCACTTTCCTACTGTTTGGTCAACCTAATTTAATAATTTTCAAAGTCATATCACAGAGAAATAAACCATTGTCAAAGTAAGCATTCTAAGTGAACCTCATTTGTATTGTGGGACGAAGTATGTGGGAAAGGTCCATGTTCTAGAATCAAGCGTGAAACCTTCGTTGCATCTCGTAAAAAATAAAAATGGCATAAGGCTGAAAAAGCTGTCAAAGTTCAATTAAACACAAGTGACAGACTACGGTGCACTTCGAACATAACAGCTACAGCAGTCCCAAATATATAGTGATGTCAAATCTATTGATCCATAGTCTTCTAATATTTTGAATCCATGTCATAGCTTGCTCTTAATCCCGTTCAATCTATACTTCATATCTTTCAACTGTTTGGTTTCCGGTTTCCAATTCTCAAACTCTTCAAACAATTGATCAATCTCTTTATTACCATCAGGTATATGAGCTTTTGTCTCAAACAACAATCCTCTCATACACCATGGTAAATGATATGGGTTGACACCTAACGTTTCAATTGAGTATGGCTTGAAATGTAATGGGATCATATATTTCAAATCATTGGTATAGATTGAAAAATTTAAAGCCAGATCATAAACCTGTGGATCATTATAAATCTTTGAATGCCCACCTCCAGTTAATGGTCCAGCTAATGAGTTACTGATCTCTTTTATCACACCATGATCACTCAATCCAATATTGTGTAAATGGTTTGCCAATGATACCGCAGTTGAAACAAACTCAGGAGTATTTGAACCACCGTCAATATAAGTAGCTCTGAAAATATTTGGATGTCTAACGTGTAGACAAGTTGATGAATATAAAGGAACCAATTGATCATTTATAGACCCAATGAATGTAATTTTAACGTTATGATTAACAACTGATTTCAAACTATCCAAAAACTCTTTTGAATGAACTGAATCAAAATTTTGAAACTGGAATAACTCCATTAATGAATCATTCTCTATTGTCGAATATGCCCTAACAAACAATTTTTGATCTGCACCATAAAAAGGACCATTGTTAATACCAGCCATTGCTAATAAACTAATCTTCTTTGTAGATTCCATATGAATGATTCCGTCTTCGATAAGCCTTGACAATAATAATATTGAAACAGGACAACCTTGGGAATGTGCCGCAATATAAATATAATCCGCATTTTGTATATCATTTTCCCATTTCTTCATAACCTGATAAAAAAATTCAACCCTATCAAAAATCTTGCCCTCTTTCTCTAATGCAATTTTTTGAATAGTTATATCTAAATTTTCCCTCTTGGCCCATCTCAAGACTGCCTTTTCAGCTTCCTTAGCAAATTTAATAGATGTACCTGTTGGTTCACCAATCAATGGCCTTAGCACTTTTGTAGGAAAAAATCCATGAACACCAATGATCAAAACTTTCTTTAGATCTTTAACTTTTGTTGTATTCAATCTATAAAGATGTTTTGGATCATCAACTCCAAAACCTAGTGTATATCTAAGATTGTTGAAATTGTTAATTACACTTTGTGTAGTGGAATAATAAGGTAGTGTCTCAAACACAGGGACAACTTGATTTGGTATACGTGGTTTTTGTTGTTGTTTCTTTGATGCCTTTTGTTTATCTTGTTCAGTAGCTTCACTAGGCTCGAATAAAACAGCCTCTTCAGAAAGTAATACATTTGATAATGATGGTTTTTTATCAATAGTGGTTGAGTTTGAAGTTGAATTCCAAAATGACCAAGATCCTGCTCTTTCTGATTTGACATCCCCCGATTCAGGCTTAGTTGTGTTTTCTCCATGAGCGACTGATTTTGGGGTATCTGAATCTCCAGCAATGGGTTCAGGACTAGTACTAGCAGCAGCAGCTTTCTTCAACGATGTTAGTGATGGTTTCCTCCAACTCATCCAATTTCTCTCTTCGGTCTTGTTTTCAGGTTCTTTTGTATCCTTTTGTGGCTTGGTGCTCTCTTCATCACTTAGGTTCTGGTTTAGTTCAGTAGGTTCTGATGTTGTTGGTGGTGGCGGTGGTGGGTGTTCACTTTGAGCTGATTTCCCAGATTTGATTGAAGCAGCCGAGGTTGTTGTAAGATTAGTGGTGTTTGGTCTTGAACTTTCCAGTTGAGATGATCTTCTAGGCCAAATTGACCACGTATTATCAGTTGTTGATGGTTTTTTAGTTCTCTGTGTTGTATTGGTATCTGATTCTTGTGTTGTTGACGAAGTTGGTTCCTTTGATGAATCCTTGGTATAAGAGGAATGTAATGAGGTTTGTGAAGTTTTACCTAGAATACGCGAGCTTTGTCGCTTCAAAGAACCTGGTTGTTGAGATGGTGAAAGCTCCCTTGGTGGTTTATTATCTTCTGACATTTTTGACTTGATTAAATTGACTACTTGAATAGGATTGAACCTTTTTGGCATTCAAAATTGAATGGCAAGCTTTTGGTTATCAGTATTTTTAGAAGAGCAAGCTTGATGTGTCTTTTAGCTGACCAGCAGGTGTAAATATTCCACTTTTAGACTTGATTTCCTCTTAGATTAGTTTGAATTCTTGAGATCCTGGATGCTTTTCTGATAAATAGTTGACAGTTGCTTATTTTTCTCACCAGGAGATATGAAACTTGATTGAAATTTGAGATCAATCAGTGATGAGTCTTGACACTTGAGATGTAAGTAACTTTCAATCTTGCAATGATTGATTCAGGTGCAAGAGTAGTGAAATGACAATTCTGAATACGTAGCTTAATCAACTTAAAACGTGTTATCTGATATTTTTTGAATAGTTGAAAATCACCAGCCTAATTTTATTATGGGGAAAGCTTCATACAAAAACATAAAACGAATTCGCGGAACTGAAAATTGTAAATATTCAAACGCGTTCTTCATAATTGAGCTGACTTTGCACTGACTTTGGGGAGAACAGTATAAGAAACTACCGAAAAAAGACCTGGAATGCTTAATGAGAAGAGAGTGTTCGATGCTGCTGTGAATTCTGCCAGTGGTGCTGCTAAAAAGCCAAAAACTGCAAAGCCAATCACTGATTTCTTCAGAAAGTCATCAACAACAACTAAAAAAGCTACAGAACAGAGTGGTCCTGATGTCAAAGTGACCGAAACCACTGAAACTAGAGCAAATGAGAAATTGGAAATTAACATTCCTGAACCATCTGATTTTAAAAAACAATTCATCACAAAGTTAACGGATGAACAAAAGGAACTATTAGATCTTGAAATCAACACATTAGAAGATTCTTGGTTTCAAGCATTATCCAAAGAATTTTTGAAGCCATACTTTTTGGATCTAAAGAAGTTTTTGAAAACACAGTATAACGCTAAACAAACAATTTTCCCACCACAGAATGAAATATATTCATGGTCAAGACTAACACCACTGAATCAAGTCAAAGCTATTATACTTGGTCAAGATCCATATCATAATTTCAATCAGGCTCATGGGTTAGCATTCTCCGTTAAAGATCCAACACCTCCTCCACCATCCTTGAAAAACATGTATAAAGGTTTAAAGATTGATTATCCAGACTTTGTCATACCCACAGGCTCTAGTGCTGGAGATCTAACCAAATGGGCAGCTCGTGGTGTTTTGTTACTAAATACTTGTCTTACAGTTAAAGCACATGAGGCAAATTCACACTCCAAAAAAGGGTGGGAACAATTCACAGAAGTTGTGTTGAAGAAAGCTATTGAAAATGATAAGAAAATCGTGTTATTCCTATGGGGGATGCCAGCTCAGAAAAGAGTAGTCAATATGAAGTTGAATCCAGAAAAGATACATGTTTTGAAATCAGTGCACCCAAGTCCGTTGAGTGCTCGCAGAGGGTATTTCGAAGGTCATCATTACATCCAGTGCAACAAATGGCTGATGGAAAACGGAGAGCAGCCGATTGACTGGGCTCTAGCTGATGGAAACACCATTGATTATACAAAATAATAGAGAAGAAATCAAGAATTGTATTAATTTGTAGAGTTCATTTTATCGGTACGCGCCACGCATTTCCAGATCTGGCAGTCGATAAAAAAAAGCTGATGCGTCTCGAAAATTGGAAATGAAGAATTCAATCAAAACAAAACAACGGTAGCACCAAAGAACTTCAACGGACTGCAATTAACACCCCCAGTAAAGGACCATTGCCGCTGCTGCTGAAGAATACCATAAGTGATGGCTGCCACCAAGACTAAAAGTGTGAAAGCTGAGGCTCCAGTTAAAAGGGAGCTCAGTTCAGGTGGATTGACAAACGAGGAGACCGCGAGTGATGGATCTGCTGAACCAAATACACCAACTAATGAACGTGCCATTGAAAGAAGAAAACCAAAAGGTGAAATGGAGTATTTGTTGTATATTGCAGAATGGTATAATTCAAACCAATTCTCAAAAAGTGATCCTGAAAGACAAGAAGGGTTATTGGTGGGTAAACGTCGCACGGTTAAGAGAAAAGAAGATCCTTATATCGCTGAACAAAGAGCAGAAGCTGCTAGAGTAGAAGCCAATAGGGAGGCATCAAGAGCTAAATTGGCTGAGAAGAGACGATTGAATAAGATTGCACTCAAAAAGGCCGAAGCCAAAGCTGAAGCTGAAAAAAAGGAAAAGGAAAGATTGAAATTGATTGAAAAACAAAAGGCTAAAACGCTGGCTAAAAAATTAGCTGCAAAGAAAAAATTAGAAGCAGAAAAGAAAAAAAGAAAGAGAAATCTCAAGAACCAAAAAGAAGCTATAAGAGAAAATCATCATCTTCTCCTTCAAGTTCTTCAGCTACTCCAGATCCCGAATCTTCGAATCTTAAGAAAAGAAAGACCAAAGAAGTTGAAACAGAATTGGTTGATGGCTATAGACCTTTCTTGCAAGCTTCATATGATGATGTTGAAATCCCAATACGGGAAGATTTTTTCGCAAAAGAGGTTTACGAAGGTACAAATGATAAAGTTGAATCTTTAGAATACACACCAGCTTCAACAACAATAAGGAATTATTTGAAAAAATACAAGAAATATCAAGGTATCGAACCTCATGAAATTGAATTAAACTCTGTTGTGTTTCCTCAATTGAAAGAGCCTTATTACTTGATGGAATCAAGAGATTTCGAATTAGACCCATTAGAAGAAATTGGGAAGTTGATGGAATCTTTATCTATCACCTACTTCCCAGAAGAGTATAAATTGACAGTCTACAACCCATTAGATCCATACAACTCCATTGCTGGTAGACTTTCAAAAGGTATGGATGATGCTGATCAAAAAGTTATTTTAGATTCAATTAAAGAATATAATGAACTTGTTACCAAAATTCATCAAGAAAATGGATTCATTAAGCATCTAAAGGAAAAGAAAACTATTTCAAGAGCTTTCGTGCATGAGTTATTGAATCAAATGTATTCAAGAGCTGTGTCTCCATCGGTCCAAAGATTAAGAAAATATGAAGCTTTTTCAAATAATGTTTATGGTGAGTTATTACCAAATTTCTTATCAAAAGCTTTTGATCAAGTTGGTCTTTCTTCAAAATCTACTTTTATTGATCTTGGCTCAGGTGTTGGTAATGTTACAATTCAGGCTGCTTTAGAATATGGCTGCGAAAGTTATGGTTGCGAAGTTATGGAAAATGCTAGTGATTTGGCAGATTTACAACATCAAGTTTTCAATGAAAGATGTAAACTTTTCGGTTTGAATCCAGGAAAAGTTGGGTTCTTCAATCATCAAAGTTTTGTTGACAACCCAGAAGTTGAAGCTGTGGTTAGTAGATGTGATGTTATTCTTGTCAACAATTTCATATTCACACCAGATCTAAACAGAGAAGTTATCAAGTTATTTAGAAATTTAAAAGCCGGTACCAAGATTATAAGTTTGAAGAATTTGGTTCCAGCTGGTCATGTTGTTGAATTTGATGATATTGAGAACATCATTAATAAATTCAAAGTTGAATGTTTTGCTTTAGATAACGGATCGGTTAGTTGGACTGATAGAGGTGGTATATATTTTGTCTCTGAGATTATGGGTGAGATTAACCCAGATTTCCTAACTGTTTACCGTGGAAGACGTTCAAACCCAAAGGCTGAGAGTGAGGAATTAGTGGTTAAACGAAGCTGAGCTAGTTTTTTTATTTGTATTTTATTCATGTATAATAGAAATTATTAATTTTGTGCTTTTTTTTATTACTCCGACGGATGTAAACCACTTATTACCAAGTGTCCCATACCAAGAATTTTTTTTCATTTGGCACATTTTTTTTTGAAACGTTTTTTTTTTTTTTTTTTGTCGAAAATTTTTAATCCGAAGCTTTAATTCTTCCATTAACGTTTAGGGAGAACCTTTTATTTCGAACAGAATTATTTGAAAATGTCCAACGAAATTGCCGCTTTAGCTGAAGAATTGAAAACTGCTTTACACCAATACCCAAACTTCCCAAGTGAAGGTATCTTATTTGAAGATTTCTTACCAATTTTCAGATCTCCAGATTTATTCAAGAAATTGGTTAAAGCTTTCAAATTACATTTACAACAAACTTTCCCAGATACTAAAATTGATTACATCGTCGGTTTAGAATCAAGAGGTTTCCTTTTCGGTCCATCAGTTGCTTTAGAAATTGGTGCTGGTTTCGTTCCAGTTAGAAAACAAGGTAAATTACCAGGTAAACTTCTCAGTGCTACTTACCAAAAAGAATATGGTACTGATGTTTTCGAATTACAAGCTGAAGCCATCCCAGAAGGTTCAAACGTCATTGTCATTGATGATATCATTGCTACTGGTGGTTCAGCTGCTGCTGCTGGTGAATTGATTCAAAAATCAAATGCCAACTTGTTAGAATTCAACTTTGTTATGGAATTGGATTTCTTGAAAGGTACTGCCAAATTACCAGCCCCAAGTTTCACCTTAATATCTGGTCAAACTGAAAAATTGAAAAATTAGATAATGATCAAGGGAAAAGAGAGTGTTGACGATAGATATGATTGATCAGTTGGTACGTTCATGGTTTGTTATTACGGTTAGGATTTCTTCACTTCGCCTATATTTTTGTACAATATTAATTTTTTGTAATTTATGAACTTAGAGGTTAAAATAATTCATTGTAGTTATAAATTCTTCTCATTGTACGGTTTGTGCCCTGGTCCTTGAGAAGTGTGCTCTTACCGCGTTGTCTTTTTTAAAGAGACGCCAAATTAAAAACCAGAAGACGTAAACTCAAAGATATTTCAGCCAAACAACTACTTCCAAAGGGAAATGATCAAATTAGAATCAAAGGTATCAGTAACAAGCCCAGCTATAAGGTCCCTTAGAGCCAAAAGTCAAGAAGAATTACTAGAATCCTTCATCAATGTTCAACAATATGACAAGTTACTTTACTACCTAGAATCATCACTATTCAACAATGCTCCAACGTTGAACTGCCCTTCAGCTTTTGTTATCAATTGCCTCTTCACGTTGGCCACTCTTGGAGAGTACTATAATGCTGATTTGATTAGAAAAGAATTTGACAAGCCGCTATCGTCCCAGCCGCTTCATATTAGAGCGATTAATATATTGAAAAGACTAATGTGCATTGTTCAACAAAGTTCTGAAAAAGGTGATCAAACTTTTCATAGAACAGAGTATAACGCTGATGATGTGAACTATACAAAATCTCAGTTGATAAGAGCGCTAGAATTGATCATAAGGACGGATAAAAGAGACTTAAGACCTAGAATTTTGCGTAAAGATTACAAGGAAAAGAAAGAACCTGAACCTGAAGCAGATGAATTTACAAATACTCAACCTTCTGATAATGAAAAGGTCAACTCAACAGACTGGTCACCGCAAAAAAAATTACTAGAGCAACAATTCCAATTGGTTAAAGGGCCTGGTGCTGACAGTGATGATGAATCAGAAAGTGAAGGGGAAAATATTTTGGATAGAAAATCGTATATGGTTTTGAAAAATGAAAGATTTGACATTGCATTACAAAATGATAGCTTTTGGGCTGCTGTTTCATGGGCTTTGGAATGCTCAACATCAAGAGACAAGGTTCGTTTAGAAGCTTGGAAAGTTTGGAGACCAATCTTGAATATTCTGATTGATATTGCAACTATTGACCTTGAAGATTTCATAAGTGCGAAAAAATCAAACACTGATGGCACTGATGGCATGCCAGCTATGTTTACTGAAACTCTAGCCTATAAGTTGCTTATCATGGTTGGAAGATATAATCCAATGGACAATCTACTGGATGTTATCTTTCCTAAAGTTGAACAAACCATGAATAAGAGAGATAAAAAAGTGGGACCAATTTTTGCCAATGAATTAACAACTGCAAGATCTGTTCATTTAGTTGATTTTTTGTTTCAAAGACCGAATGATGAACGTATCTCAATGGAAAGTATGCTTTTAAGAAAGAAACTTTATTTTTTGACATATAGAGCTGCTAACGATGCAAATCCCGACGATTGCTTCAAGGAATCAAGATTTTCGTCATGGAAGTTGGCTAGATATTTAACTCAAAAGCTTGTTGATCTTTCATATGTTGATTTCAAAAAATTCTTTATACTTCAAGAATCTGAACTTTCTGAAACTTGGAAATTGGATACCATTCTTGATGTTTTGTTTGACTGGTTTGTACAAATCAATGGCTATGTATTTGATACACCAACGTTGGATTTTCTTGAAGATAGTGATCCTGAGTTTATGAGCTCATTTCTATGCAATGTCTTTTATGAAAAAGAGTTTTACAAAAAACACACAGAGGCTGACTCACTTTTGAAACATATGCAAACTGATTTCTCCAAGCTAAACTTTTCATTATATTTTTTGTTAAATTTGTGGTTGAAATTTTCAAATTTCCTTTCAACTGAGAAAGAGCAAAAAATCAAAGAGATCGTAAGATGGTGTGAAACAGGTGAATCCAAGAGAAGAGCTGCTCTACAACACGCTAAACCAAAAGATAAGAACGTTCATAAGAATTTGTTTTCTCTAGTACAAGCTGTTAAAGCCCAATTTAATATTAAATAAAACGAATTAAATGTTATTGCACTTAAACAATTATTCCACTCGTACATGAACTAAACAATTCAAACTCTTGACAACAGCAGCTATGTGCCATGGAATCAGTGAGTGGTATTGTGTATCGTTAACACCATATAGTTCTCCGATTGTAGCAAGGTTTCTATATTGAATTAATATCATATTCATAAATTCATCACAAGGTAGATTGCCAGGACAACTTAACACATTAATTTCAAATGTTGCAAGTTTATTCTGACTATTTGGAACTGGTTTGATCAAAAATCCAGTTTTGATACTTAATCTTGTTGGAGAATTGGCAAGCGGACTTGGATTTGTATAAATTAATGCATGAACTTTATCAGCTATATTGACAATTGAGCTTGATTCATCCGAAGTGACACGGAAGTCTGAAGGTGACTCGTGTGTGCTTGGTCTAGAAATTGTGAACAAATCAGGACTGTTTACTGGCTGTGGTGTGAAAATGGTTGAAGGTGTTAAGCCTGTGGAAGAACCGACTGTATTTGGTGCTTCAATTCTTGTCAATCCAGCAGTGTTTGCAAACGATTTTTCTTGATCGAATAGCTTGTCAAGAGGATATTGAGGATTGTCCATTGTCAACAATAATTTTGAATTCTCATTCACAGACACAACAACCAATGCCAGTTCCCTAGATTTAGATGATAATCTTTTCCATTGTAATAGCTCATCATCGGGAATCATACCATCAGTTCTGGTTAACACTAAAAATTTCTTTCCCGGTAAAGATTTTGATAATTGGACAGTGAAGTCCCACATTTCATTTGTGACTGTTTCCAAGGAATTTTTAACTTTTGAAGGACAGTACCATGCTTTACTTTTCCTCATTTTGCCAAATTGATCAGTCCATGAAGCAGCACACCACTCTTTATCGATAGATCTACCATACGCAAGATGAATGAATGAATCTTCAGACAAAAGTTTACCAGCAATATGTGTCTTTGTTAATTGAAAATTGATTTTGGATGGTAAAGGAAAGCTCAATGATGCATATGTTTCATTCTCTCCACATACATCATTATAAAGTGACAAACTCAATTTGGTTAACTTGTTGATTGAAAGAATTGAAAGAGCTCCATTATTGCTGATATAAGTGCTTGGAATAATCTTTAGCTTGACGTTGATCTGTAGCTTTCGGTCATTAGGTATTGCTAGAATTGCAGCCTTCATCTTTTCAAAAACCTGACTCAACTTGATAATTGATTTGAGATCCTGCTCAAAATCAACCAAAGTAATAACAATATCTTTGTAGTTTGACCCTTTAATCAAACTTTCATTCAAACTTCTAGCAACACTCAAAGCACTTTCTTCAAACACATCAGAGTGATAATCAACAGGTGCAACTCCCTTTTTAACCAATGAAGATTGCAACCTTTCAATATTTCCAAGCTGGCACTTGTGATATATTTGCAAAAGATCAGTCATCAAGTAATCTGATTCGGTTACTAGATTATCCGGGGAAACCAACAGTAGCCTGAAGTCTTTAGATGGTTTCAGTGATGAAAAGCTCATGAGGTTCCATAGGGACAATGCACTTGCATTGACTGATACTTCTTGGTCCAATCTTTTAACAGTGATTCTAGGTTCAGGGATTTCAAAAAAAAGTTTTGCACCATCAACACTACTTTCTTCAGTATCTTTTGGAAGCTCAGAAGAAATAGCGAAATCCATAGTATCGGTTGAAGGTCCATTTGAACTCAAGACATATTCTGGGTTCTTGAATGATGATAAAGGTGATTCTGCCTGTATTTCGTTGTCATGATTGTACTCTTTGAACATTCTGTCTGTTATTGACATACCAGAAAGCTCTGCTAAATTTGCTTCATGGATTTCTGGGAAAAATTGTGCAATAGCTCTTTGAACGCTTTCTGGGTAATCATCATTGAAAAAATCAACTTTTGGAATAGCTTCAGACAAATATCCATCATCCCAAATAATCTGCTGTAGGAACGTGTCAAGTAATGGTTTAAGATCATCATGCTTCACTGTAGGTGTATCCGAATAGAAGTGACTGGGTATAGAATGCAAGGGAATGGATCTGAGTAGAAATGGTACGCAATTTGGGGACCCATTGGCTCCAATCCCTGGAGATGGAATCCTTGTGTCTTTAGATGGATCATTCTGTTCTTCAGAAAGTTGTGGAACCGCAGACTCTAATCTAAGCTTTTTGAATTCCGGTTCAGTACTGTCAAGTCTATTCACTGTTGAATCTCTAACAAAAGGTATTTTTTCACTAGCTGATGTATCAATAGATGGTGTTCTATCCATAACGGACCTGCTTTCGGTTTTCATTTCTTGGTCTGTAACATTCATGCTTCCATCCTGACCAGCTTCATCCTCAAAAACTTCATCCTCTTCATTCTCTTCATTCTCTTCATCATCATCATCATCATCTTCATCATCATCATCTTCATCATCAGTGTCGTCATCAACATGAGCAAATTTATCGCCAGCCAAGCTTGGAATCGCAGCTTCACCGGTTGGTGTATCAACACTTGAAACAAAAAATTTACCTCCATTAGCGTACTTATTATCAACATTTGACCTTATAATTGGATTGAAATTCAAAGGAGAAAAGATACTTTTCTTTCTAGCAACATTTTTTGGTGATTGTATAGGCTCAGGAGCACCAGGATCTGTGTACAATGGAGTCCCTGGAATGGTAATTTCTTCTATGGGTATATCAAAATGGTTATCTCTAGAATCTGAATCATTGGAAAGTTTATCCTCCAATGCAATATCCGGTCCACTGTCTGTATTATCTAGACTCATTTCATTCCCGGTTTGCTCTAATGCCTCATCCAACTCTTGCTCAAGGTCCACGTCATCGTTTCTCTCCCCATCATCATTGTCAAAAAAATTGAAATCTGCATCTGTAACACCATCGCCTTCTCCAAATAATTCTTCATCCAAATCACTCCAGCTATCATGCGTTCCAGCAGGTGTTTCAGTGACTGCTGATGCTTTCCGTTCAAAATGCGGTTTTATAATGTTTGGTTCTGTTGAGGGACTTTCAAACGCGATTGGTGTATTATTGCTAGTGGGTATATTGGAAGGTGTCTTGAAGCTTGAGGTAGCTCTCAAATTGGCAAAATCATCAATCAATGAGAATTGATCGTTCATAGATTCCGCTAAACGATCTCTTGCCCCATTTGTAAATTCATCTGCTTTTTGAACAAAACATAGTTCAAGAGGCCATAAGAGGTATTTGCTATTTGTAACTGCTCTCAAATAATCTGAGACTTGAGTGGTAATTGCATTCAGGTGACCTAAGTTGGGTATCATTTTCAACCATGTTAGTTTGTCCGGGTCCAATTTGATGCTATGAAGGGCAAGCAGTGTTTCAATAATTGTGTTCTGGTTTGAAGGAGCTGTTGTCTTTGAATATTCTAAAGTTTCACCTGCCAAATAAGCACGAATACCTGATGGTGCCAAATATATAGCATAGTTTTTGTTGAAATCTATATCTGGTGATAGTTCTTGAAGTTTATTCAATTCATGGGGTTTAGTTGTGATAGAAAGAAACAAATCCCCACGAGAAGCAAGCTTGGGATCTAGTTGCAAGAATTTACTATCAGGCAATAGTCCAGAATTCCCAAATGGTACCAGTTCACCACGGGATGAAAGGTTAAGTATCAACATTTTCTTTAATGCTCTTAGAAAAGTAACATAGGTTAAAGGCAATAGTGAAGACGGATTGTGATCTGTAGTACCATAAATACTGGAAGATGTGAATGACTTTATTGGATCTTGCTTCAATTGAAATTCTAGGTCTGGTACAGGTGGGTCCTCTATATTCATACTAAAAGTCCATAGTTCTTTTGAATATAAAACCGCTAGCACTTTTGGATTCTTTTTCCTTAGCGATACCTCAGCATCTAAAATTGATTGGTCCTCGCCATTGGAGGCTGTAAACACACAATATTTAATCTCTGGAACATGTGCCTTGAAAATGTCAGTAACACAGCTCCAAAATGAAAAGATTGAACTTACTAGTTTCAAATGATTTGTGGATACCTTGAACACCTCAATTTCGCCCGACATTTCTATATGCCATTCAATCGAGCTTTTTATAGGGGTAAAATATATCAATAGGTGAATTGGAACAATCTTAGAAGCTTGTTTACGCTTTGAAAGCGGCCAAATTGTAGTTTCGTTGTCTCTTGACTCAAAGATCTCTCCGTAATCAAGCAAATAATTAAACGTTGATTCTGTACACATTTTTTCCAATTTTAACACAGAACGCGTTCGCGGTTATCGCGATTCGCGAATTGCTTACTTTTTAAGTAACCGAAGAAACCACAACCAACTAAAATAATAACAACAACGCCGTGAAACCCATAGATTTTGCCAGTTATTCCCTGAATCATAGTCAATCAATTATTCATATCAATAGTATCCAACACCAATTGAGGACTTAGGCATATGTGCTATTAATTGGATCATTGTGTAAAAAGCAATCCCCAACATTACAAGACAAGTATAATCCATGGGCACCAATTGAAAACCCAAGCAATGGAACCTTCAAAATGGAAGATTGGTAGTACTTTTAGCAGTATCAGCTCATCAAGTAGTCCAAAATCGCCATCAGGCAGTTATTTTCAAAACCAGCAACATCAACAGATCCAATCCCGGCTAATTAACGAGAATGTACATTATAGAAACCAAGGAAAAATAGGAATTGGTGAGATTAACAGGTTTACTGTTCAATATGAGGCTAGCATAGATAATGGTAATGTTTTAGAAGATGATCTAGGTGAATATTTATGGCTCAGAGTAAGAAATATTGAAATGCAGGTTTTCAGACCTATATACTTTACTGGGCCCTTTTCATTCTATATTGATGTTACACCATATAATTTTGATCATAAAAAAGATTTTGATGAACCGATTGAATTTAATAACGATATTAAACCAGGTCAGTCTTTCAAGGCCAAACTTCGGCTAAATAAGAACAGTTTGGTGAGAGATCGTGTCTATTTCTGGACAATAGATGTTGTGGCTCAATTAGCTATGACCACAAAATTCACCATAAACTATGATTTTATGATTGGGTATGATTATAAGCTACTAAGGAAAGTTACCAGCGATACTGTACCAGATGAAGCTAAGCTCAAAATGATTAATGTCGTAAGACAAGACACAAAAGAACTTTGGCAAAAACCTCCAAGGAGACCAGATGACCATGTTCATTTAGTTGTTGTCACACATGGTATTTTTTCAAATGTTGGTGCTGATATGTTATACATCAAGGAGCAAATTGAGAAAATGTGTGATTTGAATGAAGCTTCGAATGTCATTGTTAGGGGTTATGATGGGAATGTTGGAAAATCTGAAAAGGGGATAAGGTATCTTGGTAAACGAGTTGCAAAATTTGTACTTGATTTATGTGATGCTTCAAAATACAAAATTGATAGAATAAGCTTTGTGGGACATTCACTTGGTGGACCAGTTCAAGCATATGCTATTTCACAAATTGTTTCTATGCGTCCTGAGTTTTTCAATGCTATTCAGCCAATCAATTTTATCAGTCTTGCTGTTCCATTCTTGGGTATATTGTCTGATTTCCCAGTTGCGGTTTCGTGGGCTCTTGATGTTGGTGCCTTAGGAAGAACTGGACGAGATTTGACATTAAGCCATAGATTTCCATCTTTTGTTAAAAAATTCAAAAGAGATGCAGACCCTGACGAACCAGATACAAATACTAAAATTACAGCAAAACCAATATTGGAAGTTATTCCACTTGGACCTGCACATTATGTTTTTGAAAGTTTCCAAAATAGAACTGTTTATGCAAATGCTATTAATGATGGTATCGTTCCTTTGAGAACTGCTGCTTTGCTATACCTGGACTGGAGAGGACTTGGTGACTTGCAAAAACTAAAGAAAAAATATGAGGAGCTAACACTGAAAGATGATAATGGACAACACGGGGAAAGAGCCCGGAAAGGTTCTGTTGGTGAAATTCCTGAAGACTCAAAAGAAGATAAAAGACATATAGTTGCAAATGATCAAAAACAAAACAAGGACCAAAGTCATAATGTTAGTGAAACTGAGTTGAAGAGACAAGAAGGTGAAAATAATGGAACTGTTACATTTGCTGAATCAAAAGTTGCCCGTGCAGAAAACCCCGAAAATGTGAGTGATACAAACTTGATTAAATCTTCACGATCTGGAGAGCTTGCTTCCTCTGCAAAGACAACTGTTGATACTGGCTCTTCAGGAGTTAATAATAGCTCTTCTTCAAAGACAAACTCATCATCTATCTTCAAATACCCAACATTGATTTTCAAAGAGCAACCAAAGAAAAGTAAGAGAAAGAAACTTAAAAAATACATTAGAACACAAACAAAAACTTCTACAAAAGATTTTGAAGATCAAGAAGATCAGAATCACAATAGTGATTGGGTCGACGTTAATGATGGCGATGAAGAGACCCAAGATGAAATGTCAGAGTTTAATATACCACCTGCTGCTTCAACGTTTCTATCCGCTGCCAATGTTATGATGTCTCCAATACCAAAAGAGGATTATTTAATGCATCCTGGTCAAAGAATCCCAACTATTTTCCATGATAAAAGATACACATTTGAAGACTTACCACCTCCCCATTTTGCTAAAAAACTAAAGAATGCCAAAGCATTCAAAAGTTTTATCAAAAGGGATAAGAACGTGATTGAAGAGAGGATTGCAAGAGAATGGCATTGGAAAATGGAATGGCGTAAAGTCTTAGTGACTTTAAGACCCGATGCTCATAATAATATTGCAGTGAGAAGAAAGTTTAGTAATGCCTTTGGTTGGGGTGTAATTGATCATTTGGTCGAGAACCATTTTGGTGAAGAAGCAATAGAAAGAGAGATAAAATTTATGGACAATGTGCGTACTAGCGCAAGTCAGAGAGTCAACTCAAAGATAAATGACTTCAACTAATGAATAACCTGTATTATTATAAGTTTTGTACTGTAGCTTATGTTTCGCGAAAACGGTTTGGACACATCACATCCGGACACCTTTCAGATTTGAAAAATTCAACCATAAACTTTGGACAAAATGAGCTCCAATTTAACTGTGAGGAAAAGTGAAATATATCATTAGGTTGATAGACTTTTAGTACATCAGGAATGGCCAGTATGTCTCATTGGATTGAAAAGGTGTGCATATATCCATATATGCTCATCGGAAAACTCAAATGAATCATGAACTAACACAATCGAAATAGAAGCTAAGGTTAAACAAACAGTTGTTAAACTAGTGTCAACTGCTTTCACTGGCTTTTGCAGACAAGTCAGTGTTGCTCGTGGTGCTCCAATAGTTAAGCAGGTCCGTTATGATCCAATAGGTATGTTGTTCTGAGGTTGCGTTGCCAGATTAATAGATTTACTAACTCAATCTATCTAGCGAAAAGACATGTTGTTTTCCAAGAAGCCAAAAAGAGAAAAATCGCTGAAAGAAAACCAATCAGTTTTTCAAAAGCTCCAAAACGTCTTTAATTTACAAAATGAGTATAGTGTTGGGTTAGTTACAAGCTTGTATATATATCAGAAGCATTAAAATGTACATTTATAATATTGGGAAAAGACAAAAATTGTATCAATCTCTGAAAATGAACCATCAATTCCCAAATTTCTCAGCAATAGGATTAGCATGAATGGTGACTTTTTGGATGTGAACGGGGCTCTTAGGTCTCTTTTTTTTATCAACTTCTAAAGTCTCTAACTTTGACAATGTGGAATCTGAACTACTTTCTGCACCGATCAATGTCTTTCCAAACACAGTGTACTTCCCATCTAAGGTGTTATGTTTTCCATAAGTCTGTGGTGATGTTAGAAATCTATTCTGCCCTACTTTTTCAATCAACTTACGATAAAAAATTGTGAACCATTTGTGTTAGGTCCGGTGTTAGCCATTGATAAGACGCCCTTGATTTGTTAGTAACTATCATGGGAAGCTGCTTTTGTCTTTCAACTTACTCGTTGTGAGTGCCTCAAGCTTTCATTGAATTCATCTTCAAAATAACTACCCCATATCGATTCACCACCTTTTCCTGTATTGGTCGGATCTCCAAATTGGACAATAAAGCTTTTGATGCTTCGTAATATCTTCGTACCATCATATGTTCCTTGTGCACAATGAGCTAAGAAGTTCTTTCGATGTGTTAGATCAAATTCTTATAGTAAAAAGTGTTGGACATACCTCAGCAGCCTTAGGGCATTCTTCACAAAATATTTCAAGTTTGATATCACCAACGTCTGTATGGAGCTTAATTATAAGAAGTTAGCATACGACTATAGTTTATGAATATGTTTGAGGATTGAAACTTACCGTCACGGACATCTTTGGTTTGTTCTGTGTTCACCTTATCCAAAGTCAGTTTCCTTTGCAATCTGTCAAATCAAATGTGTTTTTTTTTACTTTTCAGTTCAGCTTGAAAAAACTCGGGTTTAATTTAACTACATGAAGTCATTTCAAAGTAGATTCGTTTTTTACACTTTTTTTTTAATATACAGAAAACCCAATTATTAAACAAACAACAGACCAAGCGAGAGAATTTCCAAATCACTCATCATCAGAGTAGTTTCCTGGCGTTGCAGCTGCATAATTACCAGGAGTTGGGGCACCTTCATAAGGTGTTTCAGCTTGATAATTTCCTGGAGTCTCAGCAGGTGCGTAATTACCTGGAGTCTCTGGAGCTTGATAGCTACCTGGTGTAGCAGCGTTCCAACCAGTTTGAGCTTTAGCTCCCCAAGCACTACCACCACCGTATGCACTAGTAGCACCGTTATTTCTCGCAACATGTGAACTTCCGTTACCACCATATGCTGAGTCACCACCACCCCAACCGTAACCAGTAGTAGGCTTACGAGCACTTTGACCACCACCCCAGGCAGAAGCTCCTCCAGCATTACCACCCCAGGCAGTATTGTTACCACCACCCCAGGCAGAAGCACCACCAGCACCACCCCAGGCAGATGCTCCACCAACAGCACCAGCACCAGCACCTCCCCAAGCAGATGCTCCACCAGCATTACCACCCCAGGCAGTATTGTTACCACCACCCCAGGCTGATGCTCCACCAGCACCATGTGCACCAACAGCAGTTCTTGAACCATTGTTTCCAATTGGTGTCTTCCCACCACCAATACTTGACCAAGCTGGAGTTTTGCTTCCCCATGATGAGCTACCACCACTAGAGTAAGAAGGAGCATGTGAACTTTGAGAGCCAGTAGAAGCAGCTGATGAGAAATCTCTGTATTTTGGATTGATAAATTCTTCATAGGGTATTAATCTACCAGAGTTATCAATGAAGGCAAGTTTGCTTTTAGAAATTGATAAGATTTTATTCTTTGTATGCAATTCCACTCTAGCAATATCACCATTTGTATCCTTAACAATACCACGATAACCTTTGTATTCACCCAATCTAACACTGACGTTTTGGTTAATTGTACGATCACGACCAGTTTGAACTTTAACGGGCAATGGAGGAGGAGCCATAGCACCCCCAGCTCTGAATTTTGGATTCATTCTTGTTAAATCCAATTTATCTTGCTTTTCAGTAAAGTTATTCTTAGAAGCAACACCTGAAACACTTGAAATATCATTAACGAAGACACCTGAATTTTCAGTTGTTTCTTTTGAATACATGAACAACACTGATCTATAAATATGAAGAATAACACCTTGTCTCTTGAAACCAACATTTTCTTTAACAGTGTCACCGATTTTGATTGGCTCACCTGTAGAATCTGTAGCAAATGATTGATCTCTAGTAACTTCAACTTTTGAAATAATAGCAGTTGGAGAAACTGATGAAACCTTACCATCTTGAGTCAATACCGTGAAAGCATCCTTATCAGCTCTTATTATAACTGCAACAGTTGTTGTATTTATTCTAACAAGATCATGTAGCCCATATTTACCATCAATCAAAGTTGATGAGTCAGTGGATTTTGTCAAATGATTTGCAAAGACAGTAACATCTTTATGTGATTGATCTGAAATGAAAGTGACTTGATCTTCGTTAACTGAAACGACGATACCAGTATGGCCGTTATGTTTACCTTTTAGAACACTAATATGATCACCTTCTGTGAAAATTTTTCTCAAATTACTAGTTGGGAATTCCAAATTACCACCACTGAAACTCAAAGGTTTTATTAAAACAACATCATTAGCAGATGAAATAACATCACCTCTTAAACCTTGTTGTTCACCTTGTAAAACTTGGACTCTATCACCAGTTCTGAAAACAACAGAGGAAGAATTTTTCAAAGATTGAGCAATTGAAGATAAATCCAAATCATCAGAATCACCGGTATTGAATTTTGAAACTTCTTCTAAAGAAGGTTGAACATTTTGTGTTTCCAAGAATTGGACCTTGAATAATTTGAATAAATAACCATCGATATATTCTTCACCTTTATAAGTAAATGTATTACTCGACCTTGCTGTTAAATTGGTAGGATCAAATTCTAGTGCTTCTTTTTTACTGAAAAGTCTTTGAGGTGGTCTGAATTTACTTGAAACTCTTTTACGTTTACCAGTTTCTTCATCAATATCAGCACCTTTATAATCTAATCTTGGAACAACTTGTAAAGTGACTTCTAAACCACTCTCTTCAATTGAATCAACAATGGCAAGATCACCTTTATATTTACCTCTCTTGATTCTAACATAGCTTCCTGGTGTAAGTTTTATTTCTGAAGATTTATTAGCTCTCAACAAATCTGGGAATTCTTCAACTGGAACTAAAACTTTTTGACTACCATAGAAATCAGTTATACCTTTAATAGCAACATCAACAGCAGTCAACTTATTGGCTTCAATATAAACATAGCCGGTAAAATTATCTCTTTGGAAAACTGATAAAATCTTTAGAGCATTTGGTTTACCCTCTAAAGTTAACTTTTTTTCAAAAGTTTTCTAACAAGTTCTTTTTCTTTACCTGGTCTACATCTAACAGCCCATATACTTGGATCGTGAATGGATGGCAATAAAAATCTTTGTGACACAGCACCAGAATCTTCAGCACGGTACTTGTTTGCTCTACCATATCTCTCTTTAAATTGAGCAGCTAATCTTTGGGCATCTTCTTCAGTACTCTTTTCATGAGTACGATCAACTTGTCTGTGTAATCTATCATCTCTTGAGATTGGTTCTTCATCACCATGGTCATGTTCTGGTGCAATAAAACCTTCTTTAGCTAATTCTTCATCATCTTCGTCTTCTTCTTCATCATCGTCACTGACTTCAGCTTCAACATCCACGAATTGATTACGGTCACGACGGGCCCTTTTACGACTTCTGACTCTATCTTCTTCATCTTCTTCATCATCATCTTCGTCATCGTCGTCAACATCTTCATCAACTTCGTCCAATGCATTCTCATCATCATTGTCTTCATCATTTCCTTGGTCCTCTAAGCCAGTGATCTTTTCTTCGGAGTGTTCTGCTAGGACCCCTTCATCAGGATTCAACTCTTGTTCTTCTGCAGCATCTTCATCTTCTTCTCTTTTGACATCCTCTAAATCATGAAGTTCTTGATTAGCTTGATCGTGTTCGAACTCTTTTGAATCATCACTCATCTTGAACCAGACTTATCAATAGCTAAAACTGATACAACAAGTAATGATCTTAATGAAATATGATTAAATCAGATGTGATTGATGCTGTTTATCAAATTTCCAGCTCAATGTTGAAGTGCATTTTTTGTTTTGGAAAGCACGATCGATCGAACTCTCGCAGTGTTACCCGAGAGAATGAATTCCGACTACTGTAAACGTCACATGATGGTGGCCGGAACTCGTCATTATAAGGGCAAATTTCACTAAATATGTCACTTTTTAATCAAGTATTTCAATGAATTTGTGCAAAAAAGCTGTGGTAAATGGTGAGTAGTTGGTGTCATTTCTCATTGATCTATTTACTAAGTTCTTGGGTTAGGCAAAGAAAAAAAGTTACGTTAATAAGAGGACAATAAGTCAGTTTGTAAAACCTGAAAAGATACCACCAGATATTGAAGATGAGATACTTGAAGCATTTACAAACTATTCATTAGAAGACGATATGAGAGTAGCGAACTTGAAGAGCTATTATAGTGACTTGAAAATACCCAAACTTTTCATAGTAGGGAACAAGAGAATTGATGCAAGACATATGATAATTGAAGGTACAGATATAATAGATTTTGACAAGCTATTGGTGAAATCATTTCAACTTATAATATTCAGAAACAATAAGCACATTATACAGCAAAACTGGGATTTGCTACAGAATTCGTTGAAAGAGTTTGGTAAAACTGAAAAGTCAAATGGCTTGAATTACAAGAATCTAAAGAATATCAGTGAAGATGTGAAAACTGGTATAAGTGATCCGATCTTACTAGATATGGTGGCAGTAGCAACAGATGGTGAAGGTGTGGATGTGAATTTTATTGATTTTGCCTATATCATGGGGAAGTTAGGGGAATTATCTATTTGAAATGCTTTAATGATCATGATTTATTTTATTTTTTTTAGTTACTATACAGACCTGTAACACGAATCAAATGATATGTTTGGCTTTGAAATAATTACCCAAGTAACGAATTTGCCATCCCCCTAAACTGATTAAAGCAATAATTATGACTATAGAAAAGTTTCTGACTCTTCTGTTTGTGGATTCATTGGTATCTCTTAATCTTTCCTCTCTAGCTTTCAAATATTCTAATTCACCGACGATTTCATCAGTTAATTCTTCAACTTTTCTCAATTCAACTTCAACTGGTTTCAATTTTTCAGCAGCTTGGATAGCATTCCAATCTCTAGCAGCTGAACCAGCTTCTATATCAACTTCAAGTTCTCTTGATAATTTTCTACCTCTTTGTTGTAAAACATTTTGGAAACAGACATCAAAAGCAGCTGAAGAGTGGGCAGTGAAAGCAACTCTAACATTACCAGCAAAATCTTTCTTTTTACGGTATTCATTACCAACACTGTCACGAATGTTGAAATTTAGCACTTGACCATCACCAACTGAACCTGATGAATGAATGTTGACAACAACCAATTGACCTTCGCTCACGAAGTCACGTATACACATTGGAGGTCTTGTCTCTTCAACGGCATCGATCTCAAAATGCAACGCCACGGCTGAAGCAATTATGCTTAGCAGAAACAATAAATAGCCTGTGGATCTCATCTTGTATGTTTTTCGGTTTCCAATTGTGAACCTTTGAATGCTGAACAGCTTCTAACAAAAAAGCGTTGTCTTTGATCTTGTTGTTCTTTTCGTCAAAAACCATAGCGTGGATCGTTGCGCCCACTTTTTTTTTTCAAACACCAAAACGCGAAAAAAAAGTGTGCGAAAATGTCCTGATTAGGAAGTATACCTAGTCTGGAAATTACATAGGAAATTGAAATGTCATAATGAATGAGATTTTATACTTCTATTTACAAGTTATACAATGTGTCTATGCTTGGACTCCAAGATCAACAACATTCCAATCCTTTTGATCCCCTTGAGAGTCACCAACAAGTGCAATGCTTGGTTTACCATTAACCAAGTACTTTTCAGCAACCTCTTTGATATCAGTGATATCAACATCTAGTAATTGTTCTCTTCTGGTTTGTCTCATTTCATCAGTAACACCTTCTTTAAACAAAACTTGACCTTCAGATTTAACACTAATTGGAGCATCAATGCTTTGGAAAATTGTAAGTTTGGCTTCTTCTAAATCACATTCTGACCATTCATTATCAACTGCAAATTGGCCAGCTTTTTGGAAAGTCTCCAAGCTTTGTAAAGATTTAGGATCTCTATAAGAGTAATAACTGAATAAACCATCTAGACCACTATAAGCTGCACCACCACCGTAAGCACCACCTTTTTCACGGATTTCACGATGCAAATATTTGAAAGTTAACAAGTTTGACAAAACTTGTAATCTTGCACCATCTTCATGAACGTATGGAACACCTTGCAAAACAGATGAAGCGTAGCTGACTTGGAATGGTAATTTAATGAAAGATTTATGACTTGGGTTTAATGGGAAATCTTTAACTGGAGTTTGTGGGATGCTTTCAGATGGTAATTTAGATACAAATGAAGAAATCAATTTCTCATTTTCTAAAACAGAAGCTTCATCAGATATCAAAGAGAATCTCAAATCTTGAGAATTCACCAAATATTGTTTTAATTCATTCAACTTGTCAATAATGTTCTTTTGGAAATGTTCATCATCTTGAATCCAAGTGTTTAATTTATTCAAAAATTGTAATTGTTCAATTCCATTCAAAGATTCAGAAATTGCTTTAGCTCTAGAAACAGAAGAACCAGCATAATTTCTAGCAAAAGAATGACCACTTTCGGCGACACCACTGATATTATTAGATGAAAGTAATCTGATCAAAGTTGCGAGTTTTTCTTTGTTATTGAAGTTGGTGTTTAATAACAAATTTTGCCAAATGTCATAAATATGCGAAGAGTTTTGGTTCAAGGCAACACCGTTGAAATTGAAACTGACTCTTGGGGATAAATCAATTGGTGACGAATGAACACTGACTGATGATGATAAACCACCTGTAAATAGTTTGATTTGATCTTCAATATCAGCCATACTTTGGGATTCTGTACCCAAATTGGTTAAAGCATCTGAAAATAAAGTCAAGTATGGGTATAATTCATATGGGATGTTTACATCACGACTGGCTCTGAAATATGTTAATCCATTAGTGTCTGTTATTCTTCTTTGAACTTTGCTATTCTCCACTTCTGAAAATGAAACTGGCTTCACGGTTGAGGTTCTAGGTATGTCTCTAACTCTTAATGTCGGTAAAGAGCTTAAATCTTCAACTTCACCTTGCTTCTTGGCTAAATGTCGACCACGTTCAAAGATAACATCGCGGTCTTCTTGATCCAGGTCTTGAATCTTGTTTTGTAATCTTTCAACTTCTTCATTTTTGACTGACTCATCAAAAGTTTCAGTAGCTTTCATTTGAAATCTTAAAACTGGTTTGTTCAAGAAATATTTCTTGATCAAATTTTGGAACAAGTCACCTTTTTTATAATCAATTCTAAATTGACTGATAATATCATCCCATGCTAAAACATCAAATGGATCAACTTTGTTAACCCAGCCTGGTAAAATTGAATACAGTAAACTCATACCAAAATCAGATTTTTGATCTTTTTTACCAAGTTCTAATTGTTGAATGATTGCTTCAATCTTGGAATCCTCAAATCCTTCTTCACTATGTTTTTCTAAAACTTTGATAACTTCATTCTCTAATTCTTCAATTGATTGTAAACCATGTAACCCAATAGTAAAGAAATTTGATGCAGTCATTGATTCCATTCCAGAATTAACAGAAAAATCATCACCAAGCCCAGTCTCAATTAATGCTTTGTATAATGGAGAAGAATGACCATCTGTCAACAAGTTTGATAAGATTTTCAAGCAAAAGGTTTCATAGACATCAGAAGGATTACCACATGGCCATGTTATAGAAGCTTTCAATTGTTTTTCAGGTGGAGCCATTGGATCAACAGGCCCTTCAACAATAACATTTGTGGATTTTTTCAATTCAACAGGAGTTTTCACAATGTTTTTGATATTTCTTTTTCCAAATGCGATGTATTCTTTGTTTAATGCTTCCAATGTTTCCACAATTGGTAATGAACCATAAGTAAAAGTTTTAGCATTTGAAGGATGATAATGTTCAGCATGGAAATCAAGTAAATCTTCATATGTTAAATCTGTGATTTTGGATGGTGCACCACCAGAGTTTTTCAAGCTTGGGTATAGAGCTTCTTGAAATTTAATCCAGAATAAGTAAGAAGAGTTTGATTCTTGTCCTTTCATTTCGTTGTAGACAACACCTTTGAAAGTTAATGGAGAAGATTTATCATCAACAACTTCATTTTCTAACCTCCAACCTTCTTGATAGAAATCCTCTTTCTTCAATAACGGATTAAAAGTAGCATCGAGATAAACTTTTCTCAAGTTTTCAAAATCTTTATCATTTGTAGTGGAAAATGGGAAGAAAGTGTAATCATGACCAGTCATTGCATTCATGAAATTAGCTAATGATCTATTCAGCATCTTGAAGAATGGATCTCTGACTGGATATTTATGGGACCCACAAAGTGTAGTATGCTCAAGAATATGTGGAACCCCTGTTTTGTTAGGAGGATTTGTTTTGAATCCAACTGAAAACACATTATTTGGATCATCTCTATCAATATGTAAATGGTTTGAGCCGGTTCTATTATGAACAAAATCAACAGCAGTCAATGATAATTCTGGAACTGGTAATACTCTTTTAATTTCAAAGCCATGAAGAGTTTGACCAACTGGATAGCGACGCAAGCTCTTTGCTTGGTTATAAGAGGCAAGACCACGAACACCTTTGGCAAAATTGCCCTTTTGCAATGTCCTTAGCATCCTTGTCTATGATCTTTTTAGTTTCAGCTTTGAAGAAATATATCGAGTTCTAGCCATTTTTCGCCTTTAATCATCATCATTAATCCAAAATTCGCGGTGTATGACATAAGCGATTACCAATCACCGCGAATTGTTTTTTTAAAGGGAAGGGTAAAATTTACAAATTTTCAAAGGGTTAAAAAAATAATAAACGTGAATTTTCAATATAATTTGCCACTTTTTAGAAAGAACTTCATCAAAGAAATCAGTCCTTTAGTTGATTTTATATATAAAAAACAAAATGAGTGAACCATTATCAGAAACCAGATTATTTATCAGACCTCTTCCATTTGACGGTAAGTACTTTTTTTGCATTTCAGCCACACAGCGGGATTCTTTCAAAGATTTGAAGTTATTGCTAAATATTTTCACTCTTTTATAATCACTTTATCTATGCTTTTGCCAAATGGATAGTGAATATGAAGAAGCTTTTGTCGGACCCTTGGTGAGATTGTTTTTAATTCAATTGAAAAATATGAATATAAGGAAATGAGGATATTAACTAGTTTTTTTATTACAGTTCGTGAAGAAGAAATTAAAGATTTCTTTGGACCAATTGGTGAAATTAAAGAAGTTTCAATTGCCAATGGTTTTGCATTTGTTGAATATGAAAATGCAGATGATGCTAAAAAAGCTGTTGAAGAATTAAACAACAAACAATTTATTGATGCTCCTTTAGAAATTCAATTTTCAAGAGCTAGAAAAGAAAGATTTAGAGTTTTAGTTTCAAATATCCCAGAAGGTTCAGCATGGCAAGATTTGAAAGACTTTGTTGTCGATCAAGGTTTCGAAGTCACTTATGCTAATGTTCACACCAGAGATAATGATGGTACCGGTGTTTTAGAATTCCCAACTGAAGATCAATTAAATGATGCTTTAGCTAAATTAAACGGTGCTGATTTCAAAGGTGCCGCTTTAGGTTTAGAAAGAGATTTAAACCCACCACCAATCAGATCAAGCCGTGGCCGTGGTGGCTTCGGTTTCAGAGGTGGTTTCAGAGGTGACTTTGGTGGTAGAGGTGGTTTCAGAGGCCGTGGTGGTTTCGGTGATCGTGGTGGATTCAGAGGTCGTGGTGGTTTTGGTGACCGTGGTGGATTTAGAGGTCGTGGTGGTTTTGGTGACCGTGGTGGTTTCAGAGGTCGTGGTGGTTTCAGAGGTGACCGTGGTGGATTCAGATCAAGAGATGAAGGTAGAGACTTTGGTGAAAGAAGTTTCAACAGAGATAGATCACCAGGTAGATACTAATTTTAAACCTAGGGTTTATCATTTCAATTCATTATGAGGAAAAATTTATGATTGTATCGTTATGGGGGAAAAAAACAAAAAGTGTTGTTTTTTAAAACTTTTAAATTGCTTGACTGTATTTTTTTATTACCATTAGTTGTTGTATTTTATTAGTATTGTTTTGTGGACTAAATGTGAAGAGAAAGAAAATCAACACTAGAGTTAAATTATTTTTTGTATCAAAGATCCTTTTTATTTCTATAGTTATTATTGAACGAATGTGTGTGGACAAATTGTAAATGGGAATATGAAATTCAATTATTATTTTTTTATTTTTGGAAAGAACATTCAATGAAACTAAAATTTTGAACTACTGTTGAATCAAAGGAAAACTTGTGGAACTTACATGAGGTTAGACCAAGATCAATCAAACATAAAATCATCCAAGAACTAATAAATGAGGTACTAACAAATTCTAGGAACTAGTCAATTTGAAGGAATCAATTTTCAATTGATATAAAGGTTGATCTCCTCTCGATCATTACATATATGTTGTTTGTCTATTATTAATAGTACACTACAATAAATTTTGATTAATAACACCAGAAAATCATCACGTAGATTATCAAACTATTAATGTGAGTTTATATCAATATTCATCTCGTAGTGGAATTCATCAGAATGAATCAAGACCCCATCTTGATCATATTTTTCAAAAGCTTCCATAGCCAAACCTAACAAACGATTTGCATTAAACATATTATAATCCATTGCACCCATCATGATCATCCATTGATTATAAATTTCAACTTTACCTGTAGCTTCACCGTTAGCTCTGATAGCAGCAGTCTTGGCAACACTTGTAGCAAAGTTCATTGTATTCAAAGGTGCAACAGGATCAATCAAATACAATGGCTCATTTAAAACTTTATTCATAGAGCTAAGAACACTAGTGAATGAAAATCCTTTCAAAGTTCCGGTTTTCTCTCTAACACCAAACAATGGACCAGGTCTAAGAATGATTAATCTATCAAAATCTAAAGCTTCAAGGTTTTTTTCAATTGCATTTCTCATTTTAGTTCTTCTCATCAATAATCTTGGAATAGGATAACTAACACTGAAATGACTAGTAAAGATAAAAGTTGAAACACCAGCTTCTTTAGCAGCAATGGCAATTTGATAATTCATATTATTATGGACAAGGTAAAATTCATCATTAGTTCCTGCAGATTGACTATCGATATACATATTATTTGATCTGAATGAAAGAGCTGAATAAACAGTTGTTAAATTTGGAATCAATGCAATTTCTGCTGGCCAGTTTTCAACTTCGGTAATTTTAACAATAACTCCAGGATGTTCTCTAAATAAGCGACGACGGGTCAAAACATAAATTGTTTGTTCTTCTGTGGCAATTCTTTGGACATATTTAATGAATCTAAGACCAACTAATCCAGTAGCACCAACAATCAAGATACTGCTTGGGGCTCTAATTTGAACATCATCTTGTGCTTGGGCCCTTTCAATCATTGGTTCTTCTGTAACATTCAAATGTTCTTCTGCTTGAGTTGATTTTTCAACAATTGGATTTGGTGATTGTTCTGGGACTTGTTCTGGTTTGACTGATTGGTTTTCGATTTGTTCCATTGTATTTCAAGATAAGTAGCAAGATAGTGTAGAGATTTCAGCAACACTTGGTTGATATATCTTCCAAACAAAAAGAAAGAGGATAAAGATGATTTTTTCTCTTTTATAGAAAATCATCACTAAAACACAAAACAAAAAGGATTCAAACTGTTTTTTTTGCGGATCGCCAATGTCACAAAACCGGTATCACAAAACAATGAAATGAGATCTAGGATAGATACGAAATCAATAACGTCAACGCAGTGCAAATATCTGAGGCTGAAATACCAAATATTGTGAAATCACAATAAAACTAATCATAAACATGTCAACAACTCCAACATCCACAAAAACCAACTCTGAAGCAAAAATATTGGTATTAGGCGGTACTGGACTTGTTGGGTCAAATTTTTTAAAAGAAGCACAAGAATCATCTTTCATTATTAAAATCATCACTATTTCAAGAAGAGAATTACCACCGCAATTTGGATCATTATCAAAACTTTCATCAATTGTTGAACCAGACACTGAGAAATGGAATGATGTTATTTCACAAATGGAATCATTTGATATTGTATTTTCAGGAATTGGAACCACCAAGGGAGATGCTAAAGGATTTGAAAATCAAAAATTAATAGATCATGATTTGAATTTGAGATTAGCTAAAGCTTCAAAGGCAAAAGGTGTTAAAATATTCATGATGGTGACAAGTTTCAACAATCCATATCTAACATTAGCATTTCCATATTTTGCATTAAAGAAACAGATTGAGGACGATATTATCAAGCTTGGTTTCCAAAAGACAATTTTTTTGAGGCCAGGACCTCTAGTTGGTGATAGATCACTTTTAAAACCAAAACAATCATTTGCAAGCACCATGTCCAGTATCATTGCTAGTATTACTTATAACACACCATGTTCCACATTGTTGGGAGTTTCAATCAAAGCACAAGAGGTTGCAGAAGCTGGGATGTTCTTATTAGAAACGAACGTCCATTTAGAAGGTGTTCAATATGTAACTAGTCAAGAGATGTTTGAATTGGCCTATGCCTTGGAAGGGATTTGAGGAGTGTTGATTTGAAATAGAGCAAGGCCATGGTGGTACACTTTGATGACCATTTCACATTTCAGCAGCTATCCTGATTTTAATACCACTGTGAATCAATTTGAGTGTCTTTAATGTCCATGTTGAAGTTGTTGATGATGTTGTTGAAATCAGTTTAACGAAATTTTGTAGTATTTCAAATTGACCATTCGCGAACAGCTTAGGGAAAGCGAAACAGCAGCAGATGATTGTGTTAAAAGCACACAAAAGACTCTATAATAAAAATTTAACAATTAATAGTAAATGACTATATTATTAGTTTACTTTTAACGTCTATTATCAAAATAGTAACTACTTGTTAACTAATTTATTCAACTTCATCCAAACACCAGATCAGCTGATTTGAGTTTGATTTTCGCGAATGTTTTTTAACAGTGATGTTTACTTTTCAAAAAGATAAACAAGTTTTGTTTTGGTGTTTCTTCAATAGCTGCTGAACTGAGTAAGAAAACATGTCCAAGATCAAGGATTATGAGGAGGATATAGCCTCTTTGGAGCTGGAAAGTATGTGTACTACTGGTTAAGGAAAGAGTCTAACTAACACCAATAAAGTCTCCCAATTGAATAATCAAAAAGCAGATTTGATGAAAGAGATTGAAAAGATCAAAAAGAAGAAGCCATTATTGGCCAACATGACACAACTTAAAAAACTCATGTCTAAATCACCAACCTCATCACCTAAAAAGCAACAACCACCACAACAACCAATGAGTAAAAAAAGAAGAAGATTTGAAGAAGAATACGTGATACCTGAACCTGCAAGACATGAATATTTTGATAACTCCATAAGTAAATTCTTCACAAACATTACAACAACTGAACCAAGTCACCCCCCTGCCATAGATGACAACTCCACAAAAGTGAATAATATCATTTTGGAAAACATTTATAGAATGTTTGGAATAACGGCATTCCCAGTTTCAGATCCTTCGAAAAACATCAAAAGAGATTTATTAGGTATAAGAATTGAAATTTTCAATCAAAGTTTACTAAAATTTGAAACACCTCATTATTTAATACTTCAAAAGAATACCAAGACAGGGAAATGGATAATTTTCAAACATACAATACCAATATTCATTCAAATTCATGAAATTTCAAAAGAATTTGATGATCTAAGTGATGCAGAACTATTTGGGTTTTTAGAAGAGATAAGGCATATCTTGAACAAGACAAGTTTTAAACATCAAGTTGTTGAAAATTTGAGGAGTACACATCCTCATAATATCCTAAATATTGAAAAAGATATTGCATTAGATACATTAAAATTCAGATTGAAAGTCTCGGATGTTTCCACTTTAGTGATTTTGAACCTTTCGTTGGATTCAATTGAATCATGCCATATTGAAAGTGGGTTTACAGAGAGTGAGAAATATAGGATCAAAAATGTGATAAAGGGAGATATCAAAACATTTGAGAAAAGAATAGCAGATGTGATACGAAGTTTGGAATCAGTATGAATTATGCATGCAATTTTTATTTAAATATATATGATCAATATTCTAATACAGTAGATCATTTAATGGTTTAATTCTTGGTATGATATGATAAAAAACAATGGACCCACATAACCTAATGCTAAACCTAACAATTTTTCTAAAAATGTATGATAAAAAACCGCAGTAATTAACAAAATTTCCAGCCAAATACCTAAACAGATTAAAACAGACCATCTAACAACATTAGTGACTGTGAGATCTAACCAAGATGAAGAATCCACTAATTCAACTTTTTGAGATTCAACATCATTATTATGGAAATAACTTTCTTCAAACTCGTATAATTCATACCACAAGATCAAACTTAAAGTAGTTATAAAGCAAAAATGTCCAGAAATATCAAATCCACCTTCCCATTCACCATATTTATAACATATTTGAGCAGATGATATCTTTCTACTCAATTGAGCCGGTGTTATTAAACAGAACCCCTCTTCTAATCTGACCCAAGTCCCATTATATTCTGTGCATTGTTCTAAAGTCTTACTTGATTTAGCCAATATATTAGCAACAGCTTTATCAATAACACAACTTCCACCAGTCATCAAGAAAATATGATCAATAATATAGAACAACAAAAACAATACCACAATCTTCATTGAGAATTTGATTGTAAAATGTTTGAATTTTTGCCATGATAATTTAACAATAGCATCATCACCTTCTGATTTCTCCCCATTTGTTGATTGAACTTTTAATTCTTGTAACAGGTTAATCCCAAAAACACCGGTGAATATGATGGCAAATATGTGATTCCCCTTATACGCAAAGTTTTTATTAAGGAAATTATCAGAAGATACTAACCACCAATTATCTTTTAAAACATCAAATAATCTAGAAGGTATAATCGTACTGATAACAACACCAACTATGAAAATGGTTGGATATATATATAGGAATGATTTGTTATTTATGAATTTCTTGAGTGAAGTTTCATAATAATGTTGATAAGTCTCCATTATGAATTTTTGTATTGTTTACCTTTTGTTTAGATCTATTTTTGTAAATAAGCCTCTATGATTCCTCCTTCAAGCTTAGATCGAGGACTTTAGGGTATTTAATGTTCTTGGAAGTGGTTTGAAATATCGTTGAAAAATGAATGGAATAGTAACTGGGAATAACCCACAAATGAGTAAGACTTCTAAAGTATGTCAATCCAGCAGCTTGTAGTATTCAATTTCATGATCAAATCTCGAAAGAATCTCAAAGGATCAAAAAAAATAAAAAAAAACGAAAAGTGTGGCCCTGTTCAAAAACGTCAATATTAATTCAATCAAGAGCCAATAATTTTGAGATCTTTTTGTAGGAAAAGTTATTTGATATTCTAGTTAAATAGTTTTAGATTATTCGAATTTTATTATTATCTAGATTTTCATGTGGGTTTCTCTTTTTTGGCGTTTGTTTCGGTTGTTATTCAAGCATGAATCAGATCAAGGCTTCACCTGTCAAAAGGGATTTAAGGATCAAAGAGTAATTATAAAGGCAAATACACGTTATATTATAATTTCTAGCTGTTCTATACTTCATAATACCTTGCCAGTATAACATAATTGACAACTGGTGCAAGATATCCAAATACTAATCCCATGATTTTTTCCCGGATAGTATGATAAAATATTGCAGTCACTGATAAAGTTCCAATCCAAACTAGTAATACAAGGGAGATTAACAAAGTAGTGAGTGTGGCTGAAGCTATTGATACTTTGAGCTTATTAGAAAGACCAAGCCCATCATCTTGCTCTTCAAAACTTTTATCAATTGAATCCATTGTGGAATGAAGGAGAATCTTTAATTCATAAAAAAGTGACAAGCTTAATGTAACAATGAAAAAATAATGACCAGAGATGTTCAAAGAACCTGGGATCCACTCTTCCCCTGGTGAGCACAAGATCTTTAAATATCTTTTGGAAAGAGTAGATACATCATCTGAATTTTGTAATCTTGGTTGACATTGACCTCCTGTTGATACTGATTCATAATTCTTTAATTTGAAAAGAATAAGCAAGATACCATAAGTTACACCATATCTTGCCCCATATAGCACAGCAAGTTTGGAATACTTTTTAATCTTCTCAATCGTCTTGTTTTTCGAATTAAAAGATGTTGGTAACAATGGAACTTTGAAATTTTGAAGTTCAGAAACAATAATTCTAACAATAAAGATAAGCACACTCAACGTGGTGAAAATTTCAAGACCATGATCTGCAAATGTTTTGTTGATAATGTTTTGATCAGATATCCAATATGAATTCTTGAGTTCATCAAACAGTTCTTGTGATAATAATGTTCTTATCAATAACCCCAAGCTTAAAACAATAGGATAAATGACAAGAAAGAATGATTTGTCAAGGAAGGCAACATGGAAGTTCTGTATCAGATGAACTATTGGTCTGCTAGCCATTTTTTATTAGAGCTAGTCTGCTATTAATAACCTAGTTACAAAATAATTCAAATTGATTTAAAAGGTTGTTCAGATCATCTCAAAGGTTGTTAAATTCTTTAAAAAATCGCTTTCAACAAAAACAAACCCTCGTAAAGTCACATGATTCTGCCCTCGCTTTTCGCAATTCATGCACATTTCGGATTTAAAAGAATTGTTATTTCCGAAATAAATCTCTTGACACCATTGCACGTGACTTTGACAACAACTTTGAATTCAATCAATCAATTTGCAATCAATTTTTATCAGAAATGGTTATTGTTTATGATTATTCGATCACATTTAATCAGATCTTGAGAAAAGTTGGTTTAGCTATTATAAAAGGTCATTGAAAGGTTTTAATCTTTGCTAAGTTCAAGCTCATCTCATTAGTTGAAAAATTTCTGTTTTATTGCTGCACCCATATTTGATCTCGTTGAACCACAATTAATAATAAAGATTTCAAACCCCCTTGACCTACATTCAACTAAATATTCATACAATACCAAATTATCAACAATATGTTAAGAATACAGCAATCCTCGAAAATCCAAGCTCAGAGAACTCTCAGCAAGTTACTCTCGTCATATATGCAAAAGAATACATACTCTACAAAAACTTCAAAAAGAAGAATACATCACCATAATCAAGATCACCCTGCAAGACCATCAAATCCTGCTATGAATTTCCCATGTCTTGACAGACTACAAGCCAAAACAGATTTGTTAAATTCTGGTCAAACCCCAACTAATTCATCAACAAACACAGAAATTAAAACAAATCAAGGTCCAGAACCGGTCTATTCAAGAGTTCAATCGGGATTTAAGAAATATCATAGTGATTCTCCATTATTCTTAGACTATGGTGGATTTTTACCAGAGTATGAAATTGCTTATGAACAATGGGGGACATTAAACCCTAATAAGTCAAATGCAATCCTGCTACATACTGGTCTTTCAGCTTCTTCTCATGCAAAATCACAAGTTGAAAATACAAAACCAGGTTGGTGGGAAAAATTCATCGGTCCTGGATTACCATTAGATACTGATAAATATTTTGTCGTTTGTACAAATGTCATTGGTGGTTGTTATGGTTCAACTGGTCCATCTTCAATAGACCCTTCAGATGGAAAGCATTATGCAACAAGATTCCCAATCTTATCAGTTAATGATATGGTTAGAGCTCAAGAAAGATTAATGAGGGAACAATTTGGCGTGGAGAAATTATATGCAAGCGTTGGTTCTTCAATGGGTGGTATGCAATCATTAGCTTATGCTCAAGAGTTTCCTGAAAAAGTTGAAAAAATTGTTTCAATTTCAGGTTGTGCAAGATCTCATCCTTATTCAATTGCTATGCGTCATGCTCAGAGACAAGTTTTAATGTCTGATCCAAATTGGAAAAGAGGCTTCTATTATGATTCAATCCCACCTCATGTTGGTATGAAATTATCAAGAGAAATTGCAACTGTTACTTATAGATCTGGTCCTGAATGGGAAATTAGATTTGGTAGAGAAAGAGCAGATCCATCACAAAAACCTGCATTGTGTCCAGATTTTCTGGTGGAAACTTATTTGGATCATCAAGGTAATAAGTTTTCTTTAGAATATGATCCAAATTCACTATTGTACATTTCTAAAGCCATGGATCTTTTCGATTTGGGTAAAGTTAATAGGGATCTAGCATCAAGCAAAAGACAAGAAGCTTTTGAAAGATATGAGACAGAAGAATATGAAGAATTCGCTGCCTCTTGTGCTTCAAGTTCTGTTCCTGATGGTGAATATAAAGTTAAACCAAAAACTAGAACAATAACGAAACAAGAGTCTGATGATGATTTACTACACGGTTTGAAAACATTTGCAAATAAACAAGTTTTGGTTGTTGGTGTCAAATCTGATATATTATTCCCACATTGGCAACAATTGGAAATAGCAAATATGTTGAAGAATGGTAATAAACAATTCTTTGGTGGTGATGGTTCAAATGTTCAACATGTTGAATTGGGTGAAGACATTAGTATGTATGGTCATGATACTTTCTTGTTAGATGTTGAACATGTTGGTGGTCCAGTTAAAAGATTTTTGGATTGAAAAGAAAGTGTATATATATTTCAATGAATTACACATCTGGTTATGTGGACTACGAATAAACAAACTGTAGATCATAATTATTTACATGCAATTTTTATTTACAAAACGAATTATACGTTGCCTTATTTACGAGCAGCTGTTTCCTTTGCACGTATTTTCATTTTGAGTGCTTTCTTCTCTAGACGTTTCTCTTTACGTTCTCTCTCCTTTTCTCTTTGAGATTTCTTAACTAATACTCTATCACCGAACATCTTGAATTGTTCCATGTATCTCTTATCCATATTGAATTCCATATGAACAACATGATCATTCAATCCTAATTTATTTATAGTCCAAAAATATCTTTCTGGATTATCTCTCTTTAAATATTTCAAAATTCTTTGTCTTTGTTGAACCAACATTCTTAAATATCTTGTGTTCTTATTATCATTCTTATTTTCTTTAACATGAGAATAAATGTTGTGAATCTTGACAGTAGCAATAGCTGCTTGAACTTCAGATGAACCTGTATCACCATCAAATCTTTCAAATTCTTTTCTAGCTAAATCCGTCTTGAACTTCAAAGCTTCTTTGGCTGATCTATTTCTCATATTCAATATACGGAAAATAGCTTCTCTTTGTTTAGCAGCGTTTTGTCTGACACCGTCACTAGTATAATCAGCTTTTATAGATGCTTCTTGTGCACCATATAATAATCTTTCAACTTCTGGTACTTTATAACCTTTACCTAAAACATTTGGTTCTTTTGCTTCAGCATTCAATCTGCTTATGAAGGCATTGTTTGGTTTACCTAAGACTGGATCAAATTTGCTATTCTCTTGAACTAACTTTCTTTGTTTCAATATATTGGCTTCTCTGCGTAAATTGGCTCTAATGTAACGAATTGACTTTTTAACAAACAATGTTGAACTTGTACTGAAAGAGCGGGTCGAGCTTAGCTGACTGGCTGGTGACACAAGCCCTATGCTTTTGATCATTAACCCTCCTGTGAACATGATGGAGAGTACTCTTTATAAATTTCTGATATTCTTCACAATAGTGTTTTGATCTTTTTTTTCGCTATACCCATTTCGTTGAAAAATTCGAATTAAATTTCAAAAATTTACCCTGAGATTATGTAATCTGTATTTATTGACACTGAGATATTGGCAGTAGCATAAAAAAGACTACACAAAGGTAATAAAGTTTCTAACAAAATAATGTTTTTATTAATTACGAGAAACTTCTAATCTCTTTTCTGTCATTTGTTGAACAAATTGACTAAAATGTTCCAAGTTTTCCATTTTGTAGCTTGTAACATCATCTGATACTAATCTTTTCACTGAAGAGTACATTTCACCAACGACAATATGAAGTTCATGCTCATTGGTTGCTGCTATAACTTCACTCAATAATGATTTATTTGAAGATCCAGTATTATCGAGTAATTGAGGGGATCCGAACATGTAGAACCCACGTTTGGCACTTGATAAAGCAGCAGTAAGCAATCTGTCATCGGGATTCAAAGATCTAACTGAAGAAAAAATCACAATCTCTGATTCACCACCTCTAAAATCTTGAACTGTTGAAATATGTGGTGATCCAAACCTAAAGTCTTTTATTTCATCACTAGCATCACTGTCACCACATCTAGTTGAAGCAACTTCTTTCAATAAAATATCTTGACCTTTTTCTGGAGTCAAAACTGAAATTGATTCACGTGGATATCCCAGCAGTCTAAAGTATTGGTAGAGTTGTATAGAATATTCTGCTTCTTGAATGTTTAGATAAACACCTGTAATTGGTTGAGTTTCATCACCTTCAACAGTAACGAATTGTACTGGATTCAATACACCAGCATTTGAAACTTGAAACTCAGCATCTGCTTTATTGATCAGTCCAGGATATTTAGATTGAAGTAATGATGTAATCTTGGAACTTCTATTGTATTGGTTGTTCAAATTGATGACATGTGCCCCAGAATCTTTAAGTCTAGAGATCAAACTGGTTGTGAAATGGGTGTTTGAATTCAAGAATTGGTGGTGACAAGTAGGTGTTAATGAATATGGGTCCCCAATTAACGCTATTCTCTTGATCTTATTAGAGTCTTGAGATAATAAAGGAAACAAGGTTTCAAATTGAGTCAACTGGGGAGCCTCACACACTATCAAGTTTTCAAAAGCAATACCAGATTTTGCAATTTTTTGTTGGGAGTGCTTCAATAAATCAGCAGCAGTGACACCTATAATCTGTGACTGGGTAGTGAACAAAAAGTCAACAATTTCATTTGTTGATTGAAGAAACTCCAAAGGACCCAAAAGTTGTACCTCATCAAAAACGCCACAGATCATACTATAATGTCCCATAACTCTTGACAGTCCAGCTTCAAATGAATTATCAGTTGATTCGCCAAGATCCCCAGACTTTGAAAACGGATATTCATCTAAAACAATTTCTAGTGACATGTTTTGCTTCACTTTGTTCAAATATTGGATCCATTTAGAATGAACTTGGTATTTGAAAAAAGAGTTTGCGGTCTCAATGTTATCACTGTAAGCTCCATCTAGCCCCATTGCAGCAGATAATTCATCGACCTTCCTCAACAGTTCATGCAATTTCTTTATTGAATCTGTAGCTAGTGACTTTTGTGATTCTTCATCCGACATGTTGAATAATAGTTGAGGGTCAACCCTGCTTCTCAAGATTTTGAATAATTGGTTCAAATGAGTATCAGATTTGGAAACGATCAAAGTTTTTGGTTTGTATCGAAGAGAACCCCAATTCTTTGCAAGCTCAGCAATGAGAGATTTCTTTCCTGTCCCTGGTGCACCATCCACTATGATTAACCCTTGAAAGAAAGATGCAACAGTTGCTTGCAGTTGGCCAGGATTCAATATAGATGTTGCGTCTGAATCATCATCTTTTGGCATCAACGTGATCTCATGTCCCTGTAGACTAACCATAAATGGAGACTTCTGTCCAGCTGATGTTTTCGAGCTTTTGGTGTTTGTCTTCCTTCTCTTTGAGGTTTGATCGTCCCAAACAATACTATATTTATTAAATGTAGCTTGTAACTCTTCAACGGTATAACCTGGACCTAAAGAACCAACTAACCCGTTTGACTGGTCAATATTCTCGAAACACCCAGCATTAGCATCACCAAATCCTAAAAAGCTTTCATAAAACCATTCAGGAAGCTTATCATCACATGATCCCATGAGTTTTAAAATTTGATTCAACTTGACATTGAAATCTGACAGATGAGGTGGGAGTTTAATTATCAAATTGAATTCTTCGTAATCTCTGATCAAATCATCATTTGAAGAGAATGCTTGAGCATCCAAGTTTATCCTCAAATTCAAACTTCTGTTGGTTTTGCTTAAAGCTTCTCCATTGTTGTTAAATTTACCTTTAACAACCCCTGATCTCAAGGAAGCCAATCCCAGTTTTCCAAATTCGCTGCTAGCCTTATTATCCTTAGTCTCAAGTTTCACCAAGAGTACAATTTCATCCTCATCTAACCTATTCCACTCTTCAACAGCAGCATGTGATATATTATTCAAATCAATTTTAACATCCCCTTCAATTGTAACAGAAAATCTTGATTCGATTGTTGTAGGAGACTTGGTGGAAAACTTTAGAGATGTTGTTTTGACAGCATGCTTACTGCTTCCAGTCAGCTTGTTTTTTGATCTGTCTTTTTTAACATCGAATCTTTGAAGTGTTCTTTTAACATGTTGGGCAATCTCAGCCAAGTAATCTTCCCTATGTGAGAGATACGTTCTAACTAATAAATCATCCATTGAAAGGTATTGAGCCTTGAGGTCTGGAAGTATCAACTGAGACCCATGAAGACTACTTGTTAAGGACTGTTCAGTTGGTAAAATGTTTGATGACTTCAAAAAAGATGAAATCTCTCTAAATGGTTCCAATTGGAAAATAAGTGCTTCGATTTTTTCAGCTTTTCCAACTGAATTGATGACATTGATCTCAAATGATTCTAATAGTTTGTCCAGCTCGTCACCTGTCAGCTTGTTTAGCTCGTTGAATACTTTTTCGTGATCTTTAAATTTATGATAAGTAGCAAATGCAAGATCACCTAGCTCCTCCTTGAACGTATGGAAAGCCATCACTTGTAGCTTGGAGATATTTTTTGAGTAAGTTTTCTCAATGGTCTCTGGCTCAAGAATTTCACCTGTGAATTCATTTATAGGGAACCGTAGATAAAATTCTAAAAGATCAATTGAAGATTCAATAGCGGCATTGTTACTGGCTCTCATTATCGGTACAATTTGACTCTTTAGTACCACCATTCTTATGAACCTTCTTGTTGGTAATTGTCCTAATAAGTTGATCAACAAAATGGAAACGCTTGTCATAAATTCATCAAAATGTGGTTTTGGGGATTTCAGGTTTGCAGTGATATCTGACAACAAGCTTGGAATCCAACTAGAAAATAAAAGTTTTTCAAATTTCTCTTTTGAGCTGAGCTGATTAGTTTTGTTCATTTGGTTTGAATATTGCTTCTCGAGGTTATAAGTTTTCAACAAAGATTCCAGACTTTGAATTTTAGACCATGTCAATATTGACACAAATGATGCAGTTTGTTTCCTTATTATGGTATCATGAAGATTCAAAAATAGAACATGAACAGCCTTAACAACAATTGATTTGACTTGATATGAAGAGACATCTTTATTAAACAATCGAATTGATCGAATCAAGAATGAATGAAGTTTTTCTTCATCTCCAAAATTTAAAGACTGCTTTCCATTTATCTTTGATTGTAAGCACACGGCAATTAGCAGCACGTTTGTATCTGTGCTCTCCAATGTGAATAATGGCAATAAATAATCATCCAATAGTGGCTCCAATTGCTCAAGATTTGGATTATCTTCGCTCTGGAGTATCAAGCTTAAAACACCATCAACAACTTTCTGATTAACTTTCTTCCCCGTATGGTTTTGAGAGAGCAAGTTCCCTAAGACACGCTGTAGTGATTCATCAAAATTAGCCATCGCTTGATATATAGAGGCTTCTGGGGCGACAGAAAGACAATGCTGATCATTTATGGTATTGTCCATACTTCTTCTATTTGTATGGTGTATTTTTTTCGCTCTCTTTCAGCCATTCGCGAATTATTTCGTCCCAATTGGGAAATTGGCTGAATACGTCCCTAGTACCTCTTGATCTGATATTTAATAATATACACCTAATATAGTTTGAGTAATTACAGAGGCCTTATCGTATTCAAGTGGTATAAATACCTGAGGCTGATGATCCTCTAATAAGCTGTATATCAAAGACTGGTGACAAGTGAAAGGGATCTTTATCACATTTTAGTTCAACTAGTATTGACCTAAAACTTGCACAGTATCCAATACAGGTTAACTATACAAGTAGATTATATTTCATGCTCTCATGGATACAATGAGTTTAACCTCATAACTGTCAAATGTTTCAAACATAATCAAGTTGCATTTATTCATAATCTATTAGCTTTTCCGAGGGCATAGCACGTGATCCTGAGATGAACCCTCGCAACTTGTGAAAAAAAATTTTAAAAGTTTTAGGCAGATGAAGCTCATCAGCAGTACTTAGACTTCATTTCAAGATAAACTCAAAACGAAGCTCAGCTATAAGATATCATTTCTTATAAAGTTCTTCTTGTTGATATTTAATCCTATAAACCTTTGATAAACATGAACAGAGGTGGTAACAGAGGTGGCTTCGGTGGTCGTGGTGGCCGTGGTGGTTTTGGTGGTAGAGGTGGTTTTGGTAGACCATCTGCTCCACAAGGTCCACCAGATAGTGTGCTAGAAATGGGTGCTTTCTTACATCCAGTTGAAGGTGATATCTTTTGTCGTTCTATCAACACAAAAATCCCATACTTCAATGCTCCAATATATTTAGAAAATAAAACTCAAATTGGTAAGGTTGATGAAATATTGGGTCCTTTAAATGAAGTTTTTTTCACTGTTAAACCATCTGAAGGTGTTCAAGCTGCAAGTTTCAAAGAAGGTGATAAATTCTATATTGCTCCAGATAAATTACTTCCTATTGAAAGATTTTTACCAAAACCAAAAGTTGCCGGTCCAAAACCTTCAAAGAAGAAGAGTGCTGGTGGCCGTGGTGGTGCCAGAGGTGGCTTCGGTGGTCGTGGTGGTGCTAGAGGTGGATTTGGTGGCCGTGGTGGTTCAAGAGGTGGTTTCGGTGGTTCTAGAGGTGGATTTGTTGGTCGTGGTGGCTCAAGAGGTGGATTTGGTGGTGCCAGAGGTGGTTCAAGAGGTGGATTTGGTGGCAGAGGTGGTAGAGGTGGTCGTTTCTAAACTTCATGATTATAATACTGTCACTTCAAAATCTGTGTTTTTCCCCATATATATCATAACTTTTTATCTTCTGATGAGCATCAATTCAGTGTATAATAATATCTTTTTAAATGGTTCATTTTTTTCCTTATGAGACAAATTTTAGCAACTCAGAAACAAGCTATGTATTATTATCAGTAAGTAAATCTATATACACTAAATTCGTAACGTCATTAATTATCCAATTCATTGGCGTTTTTTCAAAGGTCTAATATCATAAGGAAGTCCACAAGCTGAAAGGATGGATTTTCTCAATTCTGTAAAACCTTGTCTTTTGTCAAATTTTTTGTTTGTACCCGAAGCTGTAAATAACAATTCTGGGGCTTGAGCTTCCTCTAGTATCCCACTCTTAGTGATATTAGCAGTTAATTGTCTCTTTTGCAAGACTTTATCAACTTTGGTGAACACGATTTCAAAGGGAATACCATTTGTGAATAGAAAATCAAGTATACCATCATCATGGTTATTGAAGCCATCCACGGATCCAACCAACAAATAAACTTTTCTCAATTCCTTTCTATTTTGAAGATATTCCAAAACTTGTTTCCCTTGAGCAGGACGGCCTTTAACACCATAACCTGGTGTATCTATAATTCTAAGCCTATCACCTAAATTGAAAGCATTCAATGACTTTGTATACCCAGCAACTTTAGAAGCGTACGCGAATTCTGTCAGATCTTTGTTGCTTGAAGGTGTAACTAATGCATTCAATAAAGTTGATTTCCCAACATTACATTTCCCCAAAAACACAACTTCTGGTAAACCTATTGTGATACCAGGTTTTACAAACCCTGTTGAGACTTCTTCTTTCTTCTTTTTCGGCACTTTCTGATCCTCTTCAAACGTAACTTCATCATCCTCGAATTCAACAATATCACCAAGTGATCTCTCCTGTTCTTCGAGTTCAACAATTTTTTTTTGTTCTGCTTCGACTCTTGCCTTTTCACCAGGCATTTCCAAAAAATTCATAGTCATCCAGTCTAGTTGGACATGAGAGTTGAAGAAAAAGTTGTTGATCGTTTGTGATTCAGCTGCGGTTGGTGCTGATCTGAACTCTGATCTATATGTATCATTCATCAGTTCTGCGCTCAAAGCTTCTTTTTGGTTCTGTTGCTGTTCCTTCTTTCTGGCTTCTTTTGCTTCTGCTCTCTTTTGATGCTTGACTCGCATGGCTTTCTCTTTAGCGTCGACACTTTTTATGGACCTTTGCAACAAACTTGCCATGTTCAAGCCATTTCGACTCGATGTGCTGGAAAAACATCTAACGGGTATTGATACCATTGGAGAGCATAATATCCTTTGGAACATTGCTTTCCTTTTTCCAAATATGATGATAAACCACTTTTGAGGGTCTTTATTATGATAAACCGCAAAAGAAGCACAAACTATCGCTATATAGTAGGAGACTGGCTAAAACAATAATACTAGTGATTGATAAATTTTCGCCTATAGGATCAACACCGGGTAGAGTTCGCGAAAATAATCCACGTCGTCGCGCTTTTTGAGAATAATGAAAGTACACGTTAAAGAAAAATATTAACAAGCATCAGCAACAAAGTCATCCAGCATCACCAAGTTAATGTTTTTGCAACTGTTATCCTACGTCGGTATCGTTTTTGGGTTTGTGTTTCTCACATTGGCCATTGCCTCTGGGTTATACTACATCAGTGAACTCGTGGAAGAACACTCTGCTCCAACAAAGAAGTTTTTGACCAGAAGCATATACTCGATCGTTGGTGTCTATATCCTCTTGTGGCTATTTGATGGATTCCCATTCCTTCTTACAATGTTCTCCATTGCAACATACTGGGTCTACCTACAAAATCTGAACAAGTTCCCATTCATTGATTTGAAAAGTCCAATCTTTATTGCCAGTTGTGTCTTGGTCGTTGTCAATCATTATTTATGGTTCCAACATTTCAGCAATCCATCAATTCCATCACCACAGCATAGATTAGATCCAAATTATAAACCACCAAGAATTGCTAGCTTTGCTGAAGTCTCGTCATTTTTTGGTATCTGCATATGGTTCATTCCATTCGCTCTTTTTGTTTCATTGAGTGCCAGTGACAATGTCCTTCCAACTTCCAATGAGTTGTCCAGTAGCCAATTTGATGATTCAGGTAAGACTAAAAGAGGTAGAACTCAAGGTTTGGCTAAAGTGGTTGTCGGGAGAATTAGAGACTGGATATATTCAGTTTCTCGTACATTTGGCTATGAACTTGATCCACACCGTGGAATAATAGTATGAAACAAGAAAACATCAAGAGTCGATTGCATCAATCTTAAGCACATACATATCATCAATCACATCAGGAAGAAAAAAGAACACTCTTTTTAAAATGGTCTCTGTAGTTGAATTCGTTTCGTGTCAAAATCTGTCATTTTACACCGGCAGAATGGTACCTTAAAATTTGGATCAAGATTCAAAATCGTGGTCACTAAAAGAATACCAACAGTACCACTCAAAACAAGAGCGTCTTTATTGCTCAATTCAAGCTGTATTCATACTCGGTGATGAGGTTCGAAAATACTTTCTGGACTTCTGATTACATTTCAGGGATCAAAGCGTTGCTTGATACGTTAGAAAAAAGTCGTCGAGATGGTTTAGATTCGTTACAGTACTTCAAAAGTTATGTTGATCTTTTAGAGATTGAATCAACAAAGCTCAAAGAATTGTCAATTAAGTCTGGGAAACTTTTGGGGTCTAGAGAGAGAGAAATTGCTTCGCCAAAGATTTTAGGAGAGTTTGAGCAAAATCATACATCATTGGGGTCATTAACTCGTCTGAAACGCGTCCAAAGCGAACACACAAACACAATCAGTGAAGGAAAATCATCATTAGCTCTTAAAATCCAAAGTGATCTTATCATAAGGCTTCAAGATTTCCTTGATGATTTTCAAGATTTCATATCAGATTCCGATAAATCATTAACCAACCAATACAATGCCTACATTAAAGCCACCCAACAAGCGATAGCTGCTGAAAAGTCATACATCAACAAAACTAGGGAACTAGAAGATGTTGGCCTCAAGGAATCCCAGAACAACTTGATAGAGCCGAGCAAAGAGAAGTCAGAGGCTCCAATACAAAAGACAGTGGAACAAGTTGAAGATGATCAAGAGGATGAAATTTTTAAATTTCCAATGCGAGTTGGTACAACCATTTTCAAAACTATCGAAGAATTGAACGAATTCATGGTTAGTATGACTGATGAAATTCCAATCAAAAGAAGAATGATTCCAATTCCAGGGATAAATAATGAATATTGGAGCAGTGAATCTTTTTTCAAATGGGTTAGATCAAATAAGGAAAATGAAGATTCAAGAAGGAAAATAGAGCAGTTTGGTCAAGATTTGATCACACTTGGTCTGATAAGTAATTGGAACAAATTAGCTGCTAATAAATTTATTTCTGATGATGGCTACTATGAATTTACCGATCTAGCTAGATATATTGTGAAATTCGATGGGGAAAAGGTACCCACGTTGGAAGTCACACCTTCAGAAGAGACAATTGAACACAGTCATCCAAAAAATAGTGTTTTCGATGGATTGAAGAACAGATTCAAACAAAATTTAGATATTGAGACACTGAGACAAAATTCTGCTGAAGCTAAAGAGAAGTATTTGGAGTCAGTTGATAAAAGCTATCTTGAAAAGGGTAAACTAGAAACATCAATCATTTCAGTTTGTCGCAGAGCTGAAGTTTACGAAACGAATCATACAAAACTAGTTTACTTTTTAACCAAATGCTTCAATGAATTAGTTTTGGATGAACATCAAAAACAGCTTGATATTATTCAAGATATTGCTGATGATTACATTTACAATGATGATACTTTGGCTTATGAGTTGCTCAAAAAATCTATCAACAATAGAACTGGGTGGTTTTGGCCAAAATCTGATGTAAAATTTTCAAATTATGGTAATTCCAAGAGCACAGCCAATCTTGAATTGTTTGGAAATGATTTACTGAATCAATATAGAGATCTTTCAACCGGGGATCTGAAAACAAAATCTGTTCCATTTTTCTTGAAAAAAATAATTTTATACTTGGATGAGCTTGAAGGGGTTGATGAAGCTTGGGTAAAAGAACTTGATGTCCTCAAAGCCAGTAATATCAAAAGGTCTATATTATCATCCATCCCAATATATGAAAAACAATACAGCCCCGATGACCTTGATGTTGATATAAATTATTTTGTTACGTCCAAAGTTGCTTCTGAAGTTATTTCAAAAAGTTCCGCTGATGATGTTGTTAGCTTTTTAAAATTATGGTTATTGGAATTACCAGATAGTTTGATACCATTCACATCATATGATCAATTGAGAACATGTTACCTCGAAAATTCAGATGATGATTCAATCAAACTTAAAATTTTGGGATCTATCCCAAGACAAAATTTGGCAAGCTTATTATACCTCATGGAGCATATTTCATCAAAAGTCGCAAGTGTTGAAAAGTTGGTTAAAAATGAAAAAGTTCCACTATACCATCTTTTAATCAGACCAAGTCCTAAACTCCAGCATGCCAACACGGATGATTTGATTGTTTTTGAACCATTTTGTAATGACTTGCTAAAGAAAGATTTTCAAACATTGCTCTATGGTAAGCTGAATGAATTAGAGCAAACACACTTGGAAAGGGAGAAAAGGGCTGAGGAATCTTTGCAGCGCCTGAAGCAGGTGCCAAGGGAGTTGAGCCCACCTCGACCTATTTCAAAGTCAACGTCTTCTAATTCATTGACCGTTGATGGATTGAGACCTTTCAAGACAAAATCACCACTCACTTCACCAGTTTCATCACCAAAAGTTGGAAGAAGCAGGACTAACTCCAATCTGTTTTCGCCTTTGAGAAGACCATCAGATAGTTTGCACAAAAGAACACTATCCAAGAACCTTGATAAGGAAACGTTAAAGCATGATGAGACCACAAAGAATAATGACAAAAATGATGCTCGTTCTACTGATAAAAATACTGAAGAGATAGTTCAGACTAAGAACATTAAAGAGCAAGATAAAATTACATCTGCTGTTGATGGCGATGAAGTTGAGGTTATTGAGGTGGGTATTGGTGAAGAAAACATCAAGAAATAAACTTCTAAGTTAATTATAAACTTGCTCCATATTTTCTCTTTGCCAAATAACCTAAATGCTCCATGTAAAAAGGTATTTCCGTTTCAAAATGATCGTCTTCAATTGTGTAGAACTTGTCTTCTCTCTTTAAATCATTGAGAAAGTGCTTCAAGAAATCCAACCAAGAGTCGAATAACACAATCATAGGCCACTCATCAAGGAGAATATCCTTACCCCACATAACTACTTGACCTATTTTACCGTTAGGTCCTGGATTTAAATCAACACCCATATAATTCCCAGCATTATCATTAGCTAGAGCAAGGAAAATTTGATTATCGCAATAAGTTGTTCTGACAGCGTCTTTTGGGATGGCCCCTTGGTCAAAACATTCAAAGTTATCGTGAATAAAATCGAGCTCCATCTTAAAACTAGTTCTGATTTCGTCCAGGCCCAACATCCAAATATTGAAAAAAGCAGCCAATAAGCCGTTGACATAGTGTTGACCATTCACCAGCTCGAAATAACATGCAACGTCATCAGGGAGTTTGATTTCAGTTTCTGACTCGAATTTTAAAATTTCTGAAGGTTGAGCACCATCTCGAAAAACATGTTTAGTTGGGAACAATTCTTTAAAGATTTCCTTTATTTCTTCAACAACTTCTTTGACCTCAGCTCTGACATCAGATTGGACATCGGTTTCGATACCAGCCACAATTGATTCTGCCATGATCGGTTCTTGAATTTGTAGCTTCAATTTCTGGTTGTTATACAATTTCATGGGGTAAAAAAAGTTTCTCTCTTTTCAAATGACAACACACGCGAAAAATGTTGAAGTCGCGCCTATTAACCACAGCACAAATGTCACATTGTGTACATCACACTTATACAATAGTCTATGACTTCAAGATACATTATGTTACACACACAACTTTGATTAATAGCCAGTAATGGCAGGGAGCATCCAGCCCGAAAGAGGATACGATTTTCAGTTGGAATGATTATAAAAGGAGAGTGGGATCCCATGTAAATGTAAATTAGAGTATTTTAATAGATAACTGGTTTTTAGAGTAAAACTTTGTAGAAAAGGAACTCGCGAAACCTCAACAAAAAATGGTGTTTGGCTTTAATATCCGAGATCCAGAAAAACAGTATAAACAAAAAACTTACCATATTCAAATCCTCCAGGAAAAAAGCAAATTATTTGGTTGTGCCGCTTACACATGGGATCTAGCTTATATTCGGCCACTTATTAGTATTGTATTTTGAATTACTGGCTCTTGAGTCTTTGTAAGTCTCGTCGTTTTGGACTCTCATTTTGATTCCTAAAGAGTCCTACAGGTGTTACTTCGGAAAAAACTCCTCCTCCAACTACTGCACTTCCATGTTTTATTACTCTTTTGTTGTTTGTTGATTGATTGAAAACTAAAAATCATATGGTAAGTCAAGATATAAGGATCAAAGTGTCGAACTTTTTTATCTTCTAATCATTAATTTTCATTTTTTGTTCTTTATTGTTGGATCTATTTTTCTAATTTTTAATGCAATATATTTCACTGTAGTATATGTCTGTTGAGGTCTTGAGAACATAAAATAATACATATTGTTTCATAAAAGGGGGTAATTCACTTATTGCGGTATTCTTTCAACTTTTTTTCGAACAGGTAGTCCATATAGTTTCCAACTTGTTCATCCAAAAATTCAAAACTATTGTCCTCAATCTTATAAAACTCACCATCTCTATTTAAGTCATTGATTACTTGTTTCAAAAACTCTGCCCAATTGGAAAAGATAACAATTCTTTCATCAATATAATCTCTTCCCCAGATTATCACTTGACCATAGTTCCCATTTGGCTCGGGACTTAAATCAACACCAAAACTGTTACCACAACCATCAATTGCTAACCCAACCCAAAAGTTAGGCTCACAATAGACCTCTTTCACAGCACCCTCCGGGGTAGACTCATATTTATCGTCTGCAAAATCAGGGTTATCACGAACAACTTCTTTCCAAACATTCATTTCCCTTTTTATTTCGTCTAAGCTTAACATTTCAAGACCAAGAAAGACGCCTAATTGAAATAAATTTTCTTTATCATAAGGAGTTTCACCATTGACAAGCTGTAAGTAAGATACAACTTCATCGGGAAGCTTTATTTGGTATTCTGACTCAAACTTTCTAATTTCTGAGTGTGGAAGCCCATCTTGAAATGTATCAAAAGATGGGAATTTTTTGTTGATGATTGACTTAATTGAGTCAACAAGTTCTCCGATATCACAAACCATTTAAAATTGAGTTGATTTTTTATTTTATGTTGATCTGGTGTATGATTTAACAGTAGAAAGCAGAGTGGAAATGTCAACAATATGAACTTTGAAGGTTCGTCACCTATTTTTCTTGAGATCTCGGATTTACCAATATCTGCGTATTCAGACGATCTGACCAATACAACAGACCTCTAAAAAGTCTCAAATAAGCAAGGTTTATCTATAGTGCACCTCATTCGAGCAAACAAAGGCTGTCCTTTCAACTTCCACTTTTGGCTAATAGGTGAAATATGGTAAAACAGTGTATTTATCCGAGTTTCATAAAGTACTCGACCTCGTATAATTATTTTCTCATCACCGAGGACCCTGTAATCTTAAATTGTTTCCCTTTGAAACCATGTACTTTGCCGTCCCAATATCACAAGTAGCAAACTTTGAGAAATATGCCTGATTCAATACATTGCATTTGTCATTTCATCAATCAAGTTCCAATTATTTCGAGTGTATCTTCTTCACGTCTTAATTCACGAATCACCGTTCAGCTCCATCTGCTTCTATTGGCACGTAAAACATGACAGACACATCACGTACAAGAAATATCCATTTTTTGGAAACTTTTGGACTTCTAAAGCTATTTGATATGCATATTGAATCATGGGATTATTTCAAACCTTAATCGACGCTTTCGCAGTTAACAAGATTTCCGGGCGCACGCATCAACGTGTTGATCAGCAGTGCGTCGTTTGTAATTAATTATCTTCATGCCAATATGTTAATTAACTGGTTTCACTATAGCGTTCTACTTTCAGTATAATAGTAATATACTCGTATTTCAATCAAATACAATTTAAATTTTACTTAAAGCTTGCTATTCATTAATTTTAATATATATTAATTAAATAATAAAAAACTTCAAAACACGATTAAAATATAAATCATAAAATATTTTAAGCTTCAAAATGCTCAAAAACAAAAAAGTAGACTAGAATTAATATATATTAATTTCAAAATATCGTCTAAAATGCCTTTAAAGATACTTTCTATAACCGCAATCTCAAAATTTAAAAATATTTTACAATATTATATAATACTATTCACTTTTTGTTTGATTAAAATGGAACTTAAAAACTTCCTCAATGAATCACGTGACTGACACCAAACTGATTTTTTATCAACCAAAATTAAGGCGCGTATCCATCCAAAAAACAAAAACAAAAAAAAAATTGAAGGCAAAATCAAAACAACGAAGTTTAGAAAGCCAAAGATACCTAGCCATGAAAAAGCTTTTTGATAATTTTAAGATATTGATAATCAAGTCAGTCGATCTTCCAGATACTGAAGTTCAGAGTCTTGCTGAGATATTGCAACAATACTGCGTTGAATATGAAGTTCTAGAAAATGGGTCATCAATTGATAAAGAAGAACTAATCATCAAAGAATTTACTCATATTCTTTCAAACAACATCAATTTTGAGCTTTACTCATTTGCACAAGAAAATATGATTCCTGTTAGTACATCCGATTTCATTTACAAAACTGTGGAACTACAAAGACAACCCCCAATTAGACCATTTTCACCAGATCCAAAACATGTTTTGAAAGATATTCACGTATGTGTTGGCGGTCTACCATTATCAGATAAGGAAGCAATATTTGGTGGGGTTAGAGCACTTGGTGGCTGTTTTTCTGATACTTTGAACAAATTTGTTACTCATTTGATTTCAACTGATTCCGATGAAGATTGTTGTATTGCAGTGAACTCTATTGAGGATTGTAAGATCAAAATCGTTTTACCAAATTGGATTGATGATTGCTTAAAATTAAGAAAAAAGCTGGATGAAACTCCATATCTTTTAGAGGATGGTGGCTCAGTGATTGAACAACAAGAAAAATTAAAAGAAATGGATGTTATTAATAAAGATGCTAAATCCATTAAAGCTCAAGCTAAATTTTTGAATAACAAAAGATTTTACATTGGAAAAGATCTCGAATTAACACAAAGATCGCATGATCTGATTGTTGTTTTGATTGAGAATTCTGGTGGTGTTGTGGAGAATAAATTAAATGATGCCCAATTTTACATTGGGAAATTCAGAGACGGTGACGAATATAGAAAGGCAAGCAGAACAGGTCTGAACGTTGGGAATTTGAATTGGATTTATTGGATGGTTGAGCATCAGAAGTATATCTCTCCATATTTGAAATTATTACATTATCCATATGTTCGTCATGGAATGCCTCAAATGAAGAAATTTGTTATTGCTTCCACAAATTATTCAGGTGATGCAAGATTTTACATCTTAAAACTTGTTGAAGCTCTAGGAGCCGAGTTTACAACTTCATTAAAACAAAGAAATACTCATCTTATTACTGCCACACCAGTTGGTGCTAAATACAATGCAGCTAAAAAATGGGGTAACATTTCAGTTGTTAATCATTTATGGCTAGAAGAAACATATGCAAGTTGGAAACTACAATCAGCTTCACATCCTAGATATTCCCATTTCCCAAGATCACTAGAAATGAGTGACATTGTTGGCGAGACACCACTTGATATTGAAGTGCTCAAGCATTTCTATGATGATGGTAATTCTGATTATTCAGCTAATGTCATCGAAGATTCTGAAGGTGAAGATGAACATGCTAGTGCTGTCATAACTAGTTTTAGAAAAGTTCTGGTTCCAAAAAAACCAAGTGAAGTGAACGCTCCTGGGCCAATTGAAGAATCCACCAGAACTCCATCGAAAGAAGACAGTCAAAAAAAGACCTCGCTTAAAGAGGTTTCTCCAGCTCCAACTTCAGCTCCAAAGACCCCAGCACAAATACCAAAGACTCCAGCTGCTAAAATTGCTTCTACTCCAGATAGTTCAGCAGCTTCAATTCGTGCATCAAGTGGTCGTAAAGCCAAAGATAAAGCAGCTGCTAAACTTCATGAAAATATGGAGGAATTGAATTATTTTCAAAAGCAACACAGATCAAAAGATATACCTATGCTGCCTCAAGAAATTGAAGAAAGAAAACGTAAAAGAGCTTTAGAAGAATCTGAGAAGAAAAAAAGACAATCACCATCATCAGCTGGATCTGTTGAAGCGGAGGTAAAAGAAGAACAACCAGAAAATAAAGATTCAAAGGCTGAAGCACCAAAACCAAAGAAGGCAAAGAAATCTTCTTCTCCAGTACCAACAGAAAACCCATATAATATTACCGCTATTGCTACTGGGTGGGATGTGAATTTTAATAGAGCCGACACTCAAATTTTACACAATCTTGGTATCACTTTACACAAAGAATTCAAAAAGAATATCAATGCTATAATATCACCTAAGTTTATGAGAACAGAAAAGTTTTTAACAGGATTAAGTTATAAGTTGGATTATATTATATCACCTTTATTTTTACAAGAAGTCATTTCAGAATTTAAGTCCAATCCAAATGATTTGAAAAAATTACCAAAAGTTGAAGATTTTAGTATTGATAAATTGAATCCAACATCTGTGAAAGAATTGACATCAATTTCATTATCCAAGTTAATGAATAAATCAAAAACTCGTATTAATTCATATGATAGAATTTTTGAAGACATGTCTTTCAATATTACACCAAAAATTCCAGGTGGGGCAGCTACTGTTCAAAAGATCTTGAAAGCTCATGGTGCCAAAAATGTTAATGTGATCAAGACTGTTAAAGATTTGAAGAATTTAAAATCATTAGTCAAGAGTAATGATGAATCCTATGTGCTAATCTCAAGTGAAAAAAATCATGGTGATAAGTTTCAAACAATATTAAAGGATGAAAATCAGCATGGGAAAGTCATTGAATGGAATTGGGTGATTGATAGCATATTCAATATGGAAATCAATGATAAGAAAAACGTTTTGTTCAGCAATTAATTTGGATTCTATTTAGTTTCGTTTTATATATATATGAGGATGTTATGAGTTTTGTTAAAAAGAAGATGTAGAGGATTCCCCATCAAATCTAGGGTGTTAGATGATTAATTGAGTGATAGGTAACAATATCTAGTGCATTTAGACTAAACTCAGTTAACGTTAAGCTGCCAATTTGTATGGGTTTATTCCTTCGCGAACTTTACCCTCCCGATATTCCATAGGGGAGCCGCGAAAAGCTCCAGTGCTCGCCTCTTCTCAATTTGATAAAGGTGTTAGAACATGGAGAAGGTATTTGAAAACACAACGAATTGAAGATACAATTAGCTTAAAAGATATTAGATAAATAACCAGACTAAAGATTTCCCACAGGATGGCTGAAAATAAAGATCCCGAACAAACATGGGACGATCAAAGTGTGCCTCAAGAGGAAAATGTCACAGAAGAACAAGACAAGAATGATTTAAACAACAATGAAGAATCAGTTGAAAACCATAAAGATACTACAAATGATGATGTCAAAGGGTCATCTAAGCTTGATATTCAATCCTTATACATCAATTCCTCTGTCAAACAACCACAAAAGGAAAGTGATGGTCAAAATGCATTCATTTCTTATCTAATAGAGACGGAAGTAAGTAAGAGTTAAACTAGCCTTGAGTAAAGTATTAACAGTTCCTTCAAGTCAAATAATCCAGTTTTCCAAAATACCAAATTTATAGTGAGACGTCGATTTTCTGATTTTTATTTTCTTTATCAAGTATTATTGAGTGATTTCCCTGCATGTGCTATACCACCATTACCGGATAAACAGAGATTGGAATATATTAAAGGTGATAGATTTGGACCAGAATTTACATCAAAGAGAGCTGTGTCATTGAACAGATTTTTGAAAAGAATTTCATTACATCCTGTATTGAAAAGATCCAAAATTTATCATATTTTTCTAGAAAGCCACGATTGGAATTCATACAAGTTGAATTTAAAAGTTAAAACAAATTCAGATGTTGCTAGTACAAGTGAAGGACTATCTGATGTTTTCATGAATGCTTTCAAGACAGCTTCTGTACAAAGTAAAGAGTTTCAAGAAATTAAAGAAAGATCTGATAAATTGGATGAAAATATAAGTAAGATTGATAGAATATTTAACAAAATTTTAAAAAGACACAGTGATTTAGAAACAGATTATTATGATTTCAGCTTGCAGATCAAGAAATTAGCAGAATTGGAACCTGAATTGGAGGTTCCGTTTTTAAGTTTTAGTGATGGATTAAATTCACTAAGCCTTGGTTTTTCAAATTTAAAAGAATTTTTGGATAATGAATATATTGTATCATTAAAAGATTTGGAACATTATATCACTTCAATTAAAAACCTATTGAAATTGAAAGATCAAAAACAAATTGATTATGAAGCATTAACAGAATACCTTAATAAATCAATAACGGATAAAAATAATTTATTAACAGGTGGTGGAACTTCAAATTTCTTCACAAATAAGTTTGAAGAGTTTACAGGAGTTAATCATGAAGTTGCAAGACGTGAGAAATTATCAAAATTGGAGAAAAAAATTGAAAATTTGACAGGTGAAGTTGATAATGCTAAAAAAGTTGTTGATTCATTTGAAAAACAAACTGTTCATGAGATTCAATACTTTGAAACTATCAAATCAATTGAATTAAAAGACACGTTGGGAGATTTGGCTGATAATAATATTAAATTTTACAAGGATCTTATCGCAAAATGGAGTACAATTGAAAAAGAATTGAAGGATCATTAAAGTATATCATATTCAAGTCATTATTTAATCATCACCAATATCATTAAAGTTATTGTATAATAAAGTTATTTATAATCTTCTTCTTTTGAATGAAGAAAGTGGTGTTTCTGTAAATTTGATGATATCTGAAATATCTATGTTATTTGGCTCCAGTACCGATTCATCAACCTCCTCTATCAAGTCTCTATTTTCTTCAAATATCTCGATTTTATCTTCACCAAACATTGATATGAATTCATCCTTGTTTAAGTAATTTGACCATATCAAATCTGGATAGGTTTCTTTATTCAAATTTCTATTTTTTTTACTCTTGGGTACTGGAGCATGAGTATTTTCATGTGTATAAAAGTCTCTCAATAACAAAATGGCTTCCCTTCTATAGAACCCAGGAAATGCATTATAGTTGTTTTCTGGAGTTGTACAATCTTTATTAATTCTCAAAACACTGCCATTACCACCAAATCTTTCATTACCACAACCGAAAAAGACACTTCTTATACCAATCTGTTTTAAAGCAGATGCACACATAACACAAGGTTCCACAGTGACATAAAGATCTATATCTTTAAATATATCTTGTGGATTTTGGTAAACTTGTTGGAAATCAGGTGAACTTTTCACTTTATCCAAGATGATATTGATACCTCTAAATTCTGCGTGGGTTATACCAGACAAAGAATCATTGGTATTATTCGAACCATAACTAACTATTTGACCATCATAAACAAACACACACGCCACCGGGACCTCGTTGGTGTGCAGTGCATTGTTTGCCAGTCTCAAGGCATATCTCATAAACTCATAGTGTTTCTCAAGCTCCACCATAGCCGAGTATAATTGTAACTTGTGGAATTCCATAGTCTCAACATCTTTCTTTCTCTCTATCAATTTTTTTCTAATAGGCTCTTCTGGCGCCTCTTCGAACCTCGACGTGTCCATTTGAGGAATTCTTTTTTTCCTCTCGGTTTTTTCTGGAAAATTCGAACACCTCAAAAAACACCGAAAAACGAAAAAATCCATTCGCGAAATGTCTCTGCGCTGAAAAAAAGACACGCTGTCGAATTTTTTTCGAGTTACGTGGAAGTTTCCAACGTTTGGTATTTAAGTTGGCGAAAAAGATCTTCTTCTTCAAACTTTGGAACTCAATCAATTGCAACTACAAAGCACAAAAGATTATCTTCACTTCACAATGTTGAGAGGCCAACGTTACTTGCTCCCAGCTGCTGTGCTGTTCTACGCCTTATTGGTGGTTATAGGACCAATGTTCTCTCCAAAAGGTTTTGCCTTAGCTCAAGCTGATAATGATACCCAAGAAAACTATGGTACTGTGATTGGTATTGATTTAGGTACAACTTACTCCTGTGTTGCTGTTATGAAGAATGGTAAAACTGAAATCTTGGCCAATGAACAAGGTAACAGAATTACTCCTTCCTATGTTGCTTTTACAAAAGATGAAAGATTAATTGGTGATGCTGCTAAAAATCAAGCTGCCGCCAACCCAAAAAACACCATTTTTGATATCAAAAGATTGATTGGGTTAAAATACAACGATAAATCTGTTCAAAGAGATTTGAAACATTTCCCTTTCACCGTTGTCAACAAGAATGGTCAACCAGCTGTTCAAGTTAATTTAGATGATGATGAAAAAGTTTTCACTCCAGAAGAAATCTCCGGTATGATTTTAGGTAAAATGAAGTCAATTGCTGAAGATTATTTAGGTAAAAAAGTTACCAATGCAGTTGTTACTGTTCCAGCCTATTTCAATGATGCTCAAAAGCAAGCCACCAAAGATGCTGGTACTATTGCAGGTTTGAACGTTTTAAGAATCGTTAATGAACCAACCGCAGCTGCTATTGCTTACGGTTTAGATAAAACTGATGGTGAACATCAAATCATTGTTTATGATTTAGGTGGTGGTACTTTTGATGTTTCTTTATTATCAATTGAAAATGGTGTTTTCGAAGTTTTAGCCACTTCTGGTGATACCCATTTAGGTGGTGAAGATTTCGATTTCAGAGTTGTTCGTCATTTAGTTAAAACTTTCAAAAAGAAACATGGTATTGATGTCAGTGATAACAATAAAGCTATTGCTAAATTAAAACGTGAAGTTGAAAAAGCCAAGAGAACTTTATCATCTCAAATTTCAACTAGAATTGAAATTGATTCATTTGTTGATGGTATTGATTTATCTGAACAATTAACTAGAGCTAAATTTGAAGAATTAAACATTGAATTGTTCAAAAAGACTTTGAAACCTGTTGAACAAGTTTTGAAAGATGCTGGTGTTAAAAAAGATGAAATTGATGATGTTGTTTTAGTTGGTGGTTCTACTCGTATTCCAAAAGTTCAAGAATTATTAGAAACTTATTTCAACGGTAAGAAAGTTTCAAAGAGTATCAACCCAGATGAAGCTGTTGCCTTTGGTGCTGCTGTTCAAGCCGGTGTTTTGTCTGGTGAAGAAGGTGTTGATGACATTGTTTTATTAGATGTTAATCCATTAACTTTAGGTATTGAAACCACTGGTGGTGTCATGACTACTTTGATTAAAAGAAACACTGCTATTCCAACTAAAAAATCACAAATTTTCTCAACTGCTGTTGATAACCAACCAACTGTTTTAATTCAAGTTTATGAAGGTGAAAGAGCTATGGCTAAAGATAACAATTTATTAGGTAAATTCGAATTAACAAACATCCCACCAGCACCAAGAGGTGTCCCACAAATCGAAGTTACTTTTGGTTTAGATGCTAATGGTTTGATCACCGTTTCAGCCGCTGATAAAGGTACTGGTAAATCAGAATCAATTACCATTAAGAATGATCGTGGTAGATTATCAAAAGAAGATATTGATCGTATGGTTGAAGAGGCTGAAAAATATGCTTCCCAAGATGCCGAAGTTAAAGCCAAGATTGAAGCTAAAAACACTTTAGAAAACTATGCTCATTCATTAAAGAATCAAGCTAGTGATGAAAATGCTTTAGGTGGTAAAATTGATGAAGATGAAAAGGAAACTTTAATTGATGCTGCTAATGATGTCTTGGAATGGTTAGAAGACAATGAAGAAACTGCCACTAAGGAAGATTTGGATGAAAAATTTGAATCTTTATCAAAAGTTGCTCATCCAATCACTCAAAAATTATACGGTGCTCAAGGTGCTGAAGGTGAAGAAGATGAAGATGACGATGATGATTACTTTGATCATGATGAACTATGATTTATTCATTTCTTTGATTAATCAAAAACATTGATTAATTTGTTTTCTAATTACACTTTTATTTTGTACTTTTTTTTTCATTCTTTCTGGGTTTTATTTGCATTTTAGAAAAAGAAAACACTCACATTTGATATATTAGGGATTTAAATATTAGTATATATCAAGATATCATAATTTAATTTTAATAAAAATTAAGAGTCTAGTAATTAATCGTTTGTACAATTCTACATTTAGCACTTGACATTCATGACATTTCATCAATAATAACTTAGCTAGCAACACAGTAGATATCTCAACAAACCAATCCTTCTATGTGTTCTATGTTCAATCTTCATTCAATCTATAACTCACTAATGTATCAACTTTATGACCATTTGTACTAAAACTTTTAAATTTAACTTTTTCACCACCTTTGATCTCTTTAGAATCAGAATCAATCCATTCACTAGGGACTTTAGCATTTGCATCAGCATAAACCAACACGTTGAATGTATAATCACCTGTTTCTAAAGTTGGTAAAAATGTAACAGATGCAGTGATTTGTCTTATTATAGCCTGAATCTCTTTTTGAATTTCTTCTTTTGATTTATCATGTTGGGGTTTAGGATTATTTAGTTCTTCCTTAGTGTCTTCAAATACTTGTACATCAAATTGCCATCTTTCCACAACTTCCCCTGTATCCTTAGATATTATTGCCACTATTAATTTTGAAATCTTATCACCAACAACCCATCCTTCATCGCTTAATGTTAGTATTCAGTTTTATAACGGTTACAGTTTCATCACTTACTATGCAATTGACCCATTATCTTACGGATGTATGCCTTTATATCATCATCACAAGTAACCAACATGTTTAATCCATATTTCTTAACCATTTGGAAATCTTCTGGTGGATAAATTCCTCGTTGGTATAGAATTGAATTTATACTGAAATCGAAAAACTCTGCAACGATTTGGGAAGACCCTCTGAGTGCAACATTTGATCGCGTTGGTGCTGAGTCTGAGGACATGATTGATGGGATGGAAATTTGACTGGTTTCTTTTTGGATTGATTTTGTTGAAGGTTTTGGTGAAAGTTGATTTTTTTGTTTACGTTTTTGAAGTATTTTTGGAAACGGCCACTACTTCAGGAAAACCAAAAAAAAACGCATTCGCGGAATGTTGATGATCAAAGATTCAAATTTGGTCAGTTGATCGTTAGTTTGGTTAATTGTTCAGATAAATTGGAATTGGGATCAAAATGGTGGGTGTTATTGAATTTTAGTACTATGGGTACCTTGTACTGACTATTTGAATCTAGCACAACGTGAAAAGACAACATTTTAGTGAGGAGGTAAAGAAACAGAGACAGGCAAAAGATGCTTTAAAGATTAGAAACTATAGATCTTTGCAAGACAAAGTGTTGAATTTGAAGAATGAGAGAGTATACAGCGCAGATGTTTTCAATCTCACGACTGATTTGCTACAATTGAATCCAGAATTCTACACTATTTGGAACTATAGAAGAGATATCATCACAAACTATTATCAAAAAAATTCAAGTGAAGAAGACCTAGCAAAGCTGTTTGATCAAGAATTAGGGTTCATCATGATGAGATTGAAGGAATTTCCCAAAGTTTATTGGATTTGGGGCCATAGAGTTTGGACTTTAGAACATCATCCAAGAGTCAATTGGAAAGCTGAATTGATGATCGTCTCAAAATTATTAACGATGGATTCAAGAAATTGTAAGTGGCTGCAAAACTTTTTATCAATATTTTCAAGTACTAATAATACATAATAGTTCATGGGTGGCACTATAGAAGATACGTCATCTCCAAGTTGGAAGAAAGCACAGGAGAATCATATGCACTAAAAGAGTTTGATTTCACCACTGAAAAGATTAATAAAGATTTCTCCAACTTCTCAGCATGGCACAATAGAACCAAATTGATTCCAATATTATTAGAGTCGAAACCAACAAGTCAATTTGAATCAAGTCTTGGATTTCTACAACAAGAGTTGACGTATTTGAAAAATGCTATGTATACTGATCCTCAGGATCAATCAGTATGGATCTATTTAAGATGGCTTCTAACATCTGATATATTTATTGAAAAATTGGATCGGAAAACTTATATTGAAATCTTAAATCAAGAACTAACAAATGTCAAAGAGTTGAATCAATTAGAAAAGGAAGATAATGGGGTTGAAAATAACTGGTGTTTGAAATCAATAGTTACGATTGAAACTATTTTGAACAAGATTGAAAACAATCCAACATACAAAACAGAAATCGAAGAATCATTAGTGAAGTTGATTGATATTGATCCACTACGGAAGAACAGATATACATACTTATCAGAAAACTATTTTGAGAATTGAGTTATCATCATCATCATTGTTCATCAATTATTAGGCTTGATCTCACTATACAGTCTTTTTCTTTGGTTTCCCAACATGTATCTTCTTTCTCCTATAGAGAAATCACGATCTTTGAAGTAATCATCCTCTTTAATCAGATCTGCAGTTTGTTCTTTCAAACCTTGAGCATCTGATAAGGGTATTCTTATCTCAACAAATTTATTTTGGAAATCTGGGTATATACTAGCCAATCCTGTATAGTTGTATGAATTTATATATAATCCTAAAAGATCTAATAATGCCTCATTCACAGAATTATCAGATGTATAATAAAACTCTGATCTTATTGTGGTTTCAAAATCTTTCAGTTTTGTGGCTAATGAAATACATGCAATGGCAATTGTTTGTGGCGGAACTTTTAAAGCAATTTCTGTTTGGTATGAATCATATGCAATTAACCAGGCTAAATATCCAATATCTTTTGGAATTTTCAATGATTTTGAAATCTTGATTAAGAAATCTTCAACATGGAATAGTCTGAAATCAAATGAGATTGTTTCCAATAGTTTAAATTCCAAACTCAAAATCTTTTTACGATATAACTCAAGTTGATCTTGATTGAGAAATGTATTTCTAATTTGATTTGACACCAGAAGTATATCTCTCAACTTCTTGATTGTATCTTCATTCTTACTTGCTATGAATATTGAGGTGATGGCAATATCATAATAAATTGCTATATCAAATTTGTTGAATAAGAAGTATCGTTGGTAATAAATCATTGCAGTTTCCAGTGTTTTAGTTGGACTAGAAATTGGTGTTAGTCTCAAAGTACATGCGTATATCTCAAACACGATAGAAACTAGTACTCACAATTTCAAAGAAACACAAATTTTCATCAAAAAATTAAATATTTGATTTCTTCGTTGTTCATAAACTGTTGAACTTTCAATTGTTCGTTCCTGTGCATGTTTAATCTGTGATTTTGTCAAAAATGGTCTGGCCAATTGGATGGTCGACGTGAGCTTTCCAGCGGCAGCAGGCTCTTCTTTCTTTTGCACTAGGCTAGCTGGGCCTCTAGGTACTTCCACCATTGTTTACTTTCTTGATGTTGCAATTTGATGGCTTTTGATGTTTTGAAGCTTCTTTCAACTGCCAGAAACTCTTTCAGAAAAAAAATACATTTTCGCGAAATATGGTTTGGGCAGAAACGTATACAGAATTGAAATTTATGACAAAAAAAATGCAATTTAAAATGGACTATGTAGAGTTATATAGTTGAATATCATTGAGAAATAAGTCTGGCAGTCAAGGCTTCAAGATCTTCAATAGTCTCAGGCTCTTCAAGTTCCAAGATTTGATGCTGTTCAGCTTCTCTACCACCAACCTTATTATTGTCAAACCATTTAGCCTTCTTTGAAGGAGGTTCATCTGATGAATCACCTTCACTCCCTGAGTGTTCCATATCTCTATCCAAATCAACGTCCGGTGCACCCAAATACACAACAGGTTCATCTTCACCCCCAGAAGAATATTCATCTTCTTCCTTAGCTCTTCTTTCAGCTTCTTGTCTTTTACGTTTCTTTTCCAATTTCTTCTCTTTTGCAAGTTGTTTATCATCTAAATCTCTCTTTTTCAAAACTTCAGACTCTTTACTAATGAAATCAGCCTTCTGGGTTTCTGCATCACCAGCTTTACGGAAATCATCTTCATCTTCAAATTCATAAATTTGATGTGGATTACCTTCATCATCAAAGATCAATTTGGATGGATTACCCTTTTCATTCAATGATTGTTTCTTTGATAATGCTCTTTTTGCAGCTCTTTTAGAAGTTGGGATAGACAATTCTGGTAATTCTCCTTCATTCAACACATGGTCAGTTCTTTTAATTGACATGAAATCTTCACCATCTTCATCTTCATCTTGATTACGAACATTCCCATTGATATTCAAATAATGTTCAGATAAAACATTTTGATTCTTACGTTCAAACATACGATCATACTTGGTACGAACTTTCTTGGATTGATCTTCTTCAAACTCACCATCTTCGTTTGCTTTTGACAATGCTAATAATTGTCTTGATGTGTTTTTTAGCTCCTTGTTTTTGGTACCACCTTTTATCTTAATCTTTGGAGCTCCTGGTAAACCAAGCGATTTTGCAAATTCTTCAACAGCCAATTCTTCTGGTTTGAAAACATCTTTATCTTGCTGTATATAAATAGATTTAACATATGAAATGAATGCCTTTTGACCTAAATATTTGATTTCAGGGTCTTTGAAACATAGTGCTTGCATTTGTGATTTGATAGATTTTTTCTTTGCTTGTTTGATATTTAATTTATTTAGTTCGATTTTCTTTGTTTCTAATCTTTTGGTCATACCTTCTTCTTCTGATGGAGTCAACATTAATAAAGATTTACCAGTTTTACCAAATCTTGCAGCTCTACCAACTCTATGGATATATGTATCCACAGAATCTGGACAATCAACTTGAATAACCCAATCAATAGCTGGGAAATCAACACCTCTTGCAACAACATCTGTTGCAAACATACAGACATGTTGAGCTTTTGAAAATTTATAGACAGTTTCAGTTCTTGCAGTTTGTTTTTGTCTACCATGTAATTTCATTAATGAAACACCAGGTTGCATTGTTCTAAAAGTTTCATAAACGAAATGCACTTGTTTTGAAGATGAAAAGAAAACCAAGATTTTGGATTTCAAATGTGTTTTAATAAAACTGAATAATGTATCTAGTTTATCTTCCAAATTAACTGTGATGTAAGATTGAGTTAAAGAATCCGGCGTAGCAACTCCTTGTTCAGTTTCTTTAACACCAATATATTGTGGATTTGTTAATGATAATCTTGCCAAATCTGAAACGGATTTTGATTGGGTAGCTGAAAATAAAAGTGTTTGTCTAGTTGGTGGTAAATTGGACACTATATTATCCAAATCTTTTTTAAACCCCATATCCAAAATTCTATCAGCTTCATCCAGAACCAAAGTTTGTAAATTTGTAGTATCAAACCCAGCAGTTTGATCCATATGATGTAAAATTCTACCAGGAGTACCAATCAAAATATTCAACTTTGGAACTCTTTCTTTTTCAAAATTAACATCTTTACCACCAGTGACTAAACCAGCGGAAAAAGAATTATATTTACCAATCTTCACCAAAACATCAAATATTTGAATGGCCAATTCTCTAGTTGGAGCAATAATCAAGGCACCTAAACCATCAAACTCAGTCCATTTAGATCTGTATAATTTTTCAATAACTGGGATTAAAAATGCTAAAGTTTTACCAGAACCAGTTCTAGCAGCTGCTAAAACATCTTCACCTTTCAATGAAATGGGTATGGATTCCTTCTGAATATCAGTCATAGAGACGAAACTTGCCTCTATCAGACCTTTTAAAGTATTTGGACTAATTGGTAGATCTTTGAATTGTGAGACTTTTTGAAGTTTTGGATCATAGTCTTGGATTCTTTGCTCTAGATCTTTCAAAGCTTGTTCTTCTTTACGACGAAGGTCTTTACGCTGAGAAGTTGTAAGCTTGTGTTTGTTAGCCATTTCTTGTGTAGCTGTGGAGATATAGAATTAGTTTATTGTTTAACTCATCGCATACAATTTTTTTTTCTTCTGTATACCTTTTTCCTATCAAAAATTTTTTTTTGTGCTGCGACAACCAGAATTTCTTCATACAGAGGAGATTTGGCATCAAAAGCCGTTGATTTTGTTAGTAAAGAATAGATTGTAATAGGACAGAGAATATAACGAATGATAATTAAATTTTCACCAGAGACCTGATTTATTTTCTACTTCGTTTGTCACTTTTCCAGGGTCAAAATGGCTATTCAAGCTCATCTCAGCGACCAGGGCTGTTAACCAGTTCTCGAAAGTGGAAAAAACCATAATAACCAGTTTACTATGTAATAAACAGTCAATAAAAAGGATACCACCACGTCATGTCCAGAGAACTCAGCGAAAGGGAAAAGAGAATACGATCACACGAGCAAGGGTCAAATAGAGGTGATTCCAGATCTAATTGGGAGGAAAGAAACAATGGGTTTAGAGACAGGCCTAGACAGAGACCAAGATATCAACAGAGTAATTATAATGAAATCCAAGTTGGTGTCAAAGATAACAACGAGAAGGAGACCCCACAGCCTCCAAAAGAAAAGCCAAATTTCAAACCTTCTGGTCTCTTAGCTAAAGAATCAAATAACATTGCAGGTACACAATTGAAATATACTGAACCAAAAGACGCAGCATCTCCACCAAATTCACCAGATTATTACTTGTTTATTTTTAAAAAAGGTTCTAAAATACCTAGAGAGTATAAATTAAATCATAAGAAATTCCATCTGATAGGGAGAGATGAAAAATTAGTGGATTTGGAGACTGATGATGATACTTGTTCCAAACAACATGCTGTCATTCAATTCAGATCAAGACCAATAACTGATGATCAAGGAAAGACTACACAACAGGTGAAACCATACATTATTGATCTAGAATCTAGTAACGGTACTTTTCTAAATGGCCAAGAAATACCCACATCGAGATTTATTGAACTACAAGCTGAAGATACAATTAGATTTGGTATTTCCGAAACTGATCATGTATTAGTTGTTGGATGAGTTGTTATTGTTATTATTATAATTGTTATTATTATTGTTGTCTTTTCTGAAGAATCTTCCAAATTTTTGGAAATTTTCATTGAATTTACTAACACCAGCTTCACCATTTAATGCTAATTCTTTGAGACCCTTTTCCAGATTATCTCGTTTGGCAAATATATTATCAAATCTTGGTGAAGACGAAGTATCTGGTGATGTGATTTTTTGGCCATAAGATGATAAAATACCAGTTGAAGATGGAACATTTGATGATTCATCCTCTATAGTAACTTTTGATAAAATCGGTGAACTTTCAACCAGATTATCATGTGCTTTCATATGTATTCTAAACAGATCAATGAATTTGGTTTGTCTGTTTTTATCTGTTATCCCTTTCAATTGTAGAATCTTTATGAAATTCTCGACAGATTTATCACCAATGAGGAAAAAATAATTGGAAACTAAACCTTCTTGAGGAGCTTCTTGAGTTAACAACACCTTCAATATAACTTCCAGACGTCCCACCATTCTATCAACATGTTTTTGGTATTGGCTAGATATCTTATAATCTGGCGCATCTGTAGATAACTTTGGTAATTTCAGAAAAGTCTCTTTCAAAACTGAAAGATCTAGCAACATTTGTTCTGCAGCTATAACAGGAATAGGCTTGGTTCTAATAATACTTGTTAAAAATTGATTTATTGTACTTTCAACAATCTTGTCACAAAAATTTCGTACATAAATCTCTCTAACAAATGTAGGTAGGATGAGTGTGCAATTCTTGATGAGTATTTCTTTGAGACTTGAAATATATCTACTTTGATCACCAACATCTTCCATATGCGACCAATTTGTGTTTGCCATTTCTCTCCAGGAGAATTCACTTTCTGTTTCAATTTTGTAAACAAGCAAATTGATTGATTTGTTCATTAATTTAATAAATGATTCTTTAACGGGTTCGAAATTAATATCTTTCTTGAAACCTTCATCTATCGTTTCAATTAATTTCTCCTCCAATTGCGTAATAGTAGTGGAACAATAATCAGCAGTGTTCAAAACAAGAGTAATATAAGCAACTGACTCATCATTAACAGTTGCTGGTAATGTGGGTTTCATGATTCTGTTTGAATATTCTAAAGACCATTTAGAAAATAATCTGGCAAGGTCACGTAATGGACCAGCAGTGGATAAAGTTGCACATTGTGAAAATAAATGACGATAAGCTCTAAACAAATCAGCAGATGATGGTATCACATTTGCTTGATGTTCATCTTGTTCCTTTGAAGGTAATTTTGGAGCAGATAAGAACTCCAAAAATTTATTGCTCAAAAATGTGTTTTGATGATCAACCCATATACCCAAAAATGGTTCAAATGCAGATGAAATTGATTGGCTAAACTTTGGTAATGCTTCTATACCATCAGTGAATTCATATGAGGATGATAATGATTCATCTGGATCTTTATATTTGAATTTTGAGTTTAGGAATTTTTCAAAGTCAAGAGTCTGTTGAAGGGAATTTAACATCAAATCAACATCTGTATTTTTCCCAGATTCTGATAAAACTTGCTTGATACTATCTTTGGTGAATTCACAAAACTTGGATGTTAATTGTTCTTCAACCTTCCAATCCTCAGGGAAGTAGTTTTGAAAGAATTGTTCATAATTCTTCAACAATTTTTTAAAAAAGAGAAATCTTCTAGAGATATTCTCTAAAGAGCCTGCCTCATCTGAACTAATAAAGATTGATTTAATCTCCTTCAATTGTTGAGTACAGAACCAATTAACTAATCTTGTGTGATGATCATTTCCTATCAGGTCCAACATTTGACAAGCGCTCCTTAGCTCTGAATCTTTTAAATTCTCCTTTTGGTTCAATGTGTTTTCAAAGTCTTGGAATATTTGATCTGTGATTGTAATCTTCAGCTTATTGACTTTTCTAGTTAGATCTGCTATATCGTCTATACTTTTGTATGGTTTGAAATGATCCACCAATTCCCCCACAGCGCTCAACAGTTGAACTGAATCAGAATATTTCTTTGCTTCTGAAAAATAAACCAATTGCTCATAGGCGGTAATCAACATCTGTAGCCTTTTCAGCACTGTCATACTCAGTACCAAGTTTTTTTTAGCATCATCAAGTTTTTTGATATTGGAAGTCATTCCTTCAATCACATCTTGAGTGTTGACACCTAGCTTTTTATTCTCATCAATCTCTGCTATGATGTTATCAAGCTCTGAATGAGCAGCACCAGCGTCAAACTTATCATCACTTTGCAAATAGGTTGTGTATTCTAGTTGTATCCTTTGTATATCTTGATCAATTGATAACTTGTAAGAGTTGGTATAATTCATGAAACTTCGAAGGTTGGCTAAAGACGATGGATCCGGAAGCAATTCTTGAAGATCGTAGAGAGGATCGTAGTCAGCTGATCCTATATCACTCAATGCACTCATATTGGCCAGCTCACAATGACAACAACAAGATCCCGGTCTCAATGATAAATTCTCAAGTTGTCATTTAAAAGTTGTTGTTGTTTATTGGAATTTGTTGATTTAACATACTAAAAGTCGGATTTGAAAATCAAGTCACGAGATCCAGCTTCAAGACCGACTTTTTTCAACGAATAACGCGAAAAAAAAATGTATCAAAATCATCGAAAAATGGATCAAACACTTGTTGATAAAATTGAAGAAATTTTATAGAACTTGTCGTGTGTTGATTTGATAATTTGTTCAATTGATCATGTCACTACGTCTTCCTCAAGCTCCAAATGCTGGGCTTTTCAAACAAGGTTACTCATCACAAAGTAATGCTGATGGTGCTGTGAATAGAAATATCGCTGCGTGCAGAGAGATCTCCAAGATGGTTTTGACCTCTATAGGTCCATGTGGAAGAAACAAAGTTATTGTTAATCGTATGTATTTCCAGTGAATTGGCTATTGAACAAAGTTTCAATAGGTCTTAGTCAATTCACAATCCGCAATATGGACTTGCCACTAACACCATTAATAGATTTACAAAAAGTTTTCATTACAAATGATGCTGCAACCATGTTACGTGAACTTGAGGTTGTGCATCCAGCTGTCAAATTATTAGTTATGGCTTCAGAACAACAAGAACTAGAGATGGGTGATGGTACAAACCTTGTGCTAGTCTTAGCTGGTGAATTCTTGAATGTTGCAGAAAAGTTATTAACATTAGGTCTAAACCCAACTGAAATTATCCAAGGTTATCAATTGGCTAGTAAATTTGCTTTAGAAGCACTTGAAGAATTATCAGTTAGTAAAGTTGAAGATTTATTATCAGTTTCAGAATTGAAAAAAGTTATTAAACCAGTGATAGCGTCCAAACAATATGGTTCAGAAGATTTCATTTCAGACCTTGTTAGTGAAGCTGTCTTGAACGTTTTACCACCAAAAAATCCAAAAAATTTCAATGTTGATAGTATTAGAGTTGTTAAAATTATGGGTAGTAGTTTAGAAAATTCAAAAGTTGTTAAAGGTATGGTTTTCCCAACTGAACCTGAAGGTCATATTAAAAATTTGAAAACCCAATCAAAAGTTGTTGTTTTCACTGCTCCATTTGATGTTTCACAAACTGAAACCAAAGGTACCGTTTTATTACATAATGCTCAAGAAATGTTAGATTTCTCAAAAGGTGAAGAAGCTCAATTAGATCAATTAGTTAAAGAGATTCATGATTCAGGTGTTAGAGTCGTTATTGCAGGTTCAGGTGTTGGTGAATTAGCGCAACATTATTTAGATCGTTATGGTATTTTAACTTTGAAAGTTCCAAGTAAATTTGACTTGAGAAGAGTATGCAGAGTTTGTGGAGCTACTCCATTACCAAGATTAGGTGCCCCAATGCCAGAAGAAATGGGTACTGTTGATATTATTGAAACTAAAGAAATCGGTGGTGATAGAGTTACTGTTTTCAGACAGGAAAATGATGTTACAAGAACCTCAACTATTGTTATCAGAGGTGCTACAAAGAATAATTTGGATGATATTGAAAGAGCTATTGATGATGGTGTCAGTGCTATTAAAGGTTTAACTCAAGATGGTAGATTATTACCAGGTGCTGGTGCAACTGAAGCTGAATTAGTTAACCGTATTACTCAATACGGTGAAAAAACTCCAGGTCTTTTACAACTAGCTATTAAACAATATGCAAATGCTTTTGAAGTTATCCCAAGAACTTTAGCTGAAACTGCAGGTCTTGATCCTACTGAAGTTTTACCAAGATTATATTCTAAACACAGTAAGCCAGAAGGTTTGTCATTTGGTATTGATATTGACGGTGATTCTTCAAATGGTGTCAAAGATATCCATGAAGAAGGTATTTATGATTTATTAGCTTCAAAGAGATTTGCCATTGCAGCAGCTACTGAAGCTGCTTCAACTGTTTTATCTGTTGATCAAATCATCATGGCTAAAAGAGCCGGTGGTCCTCAAGTTCCAAAGCAACCAAGACCTGGTAATTGGGATCAAGCAGATTAAAGAGCATTTATCAAGAATTTTGTTTATTAATTTGAAATTCAGATGTACGATACCTTTTTTTAAAGAATTTCTCTTTTTGTAGTTTATAATGGTGTGCCCCATAACAGGCTCATCTCGCCGGGTAAAAAATCCAGAAATTTTTTTTTCTTATGTATGAAGACACAATTTTGAATATCAGAAAGAATCTCTAGATTGTGTTTTCATGCTTGGAGTTCCATATATTTAGTTTAAAATGGGTAAAGTTAGAGGTAGAAGAGCTCAAAAAGAGCAGAAATTGAAAGAGGCTCAAGCTGAACATGAAAGTGAAGTCAAGATCTATGACGAAAGTCCTTCAGTATCTGAAAATAAAATAGATCAAGAGGCTGTAAAGGAACCAAATACTTTTTTTGGTCTTGTTGATACTACTGAATTAGATTATTTCAAACAAGCTGAAGCTACATTGAATGCCAATGCTTTCGAATCAGAAGCTGATAAAGCCGGGTTTGTTGCTAGTGTCTTGGAGGAAAGTAAAGGGAAAGAATTAAAATTAGTTACAAACCAAATTTGTTCTAAATTAGTGGAAAGATTGATTTTGAATTGTACTGATGATCAATTGAAACAGTTATTTAAAGCTTTTAATGGTCATTTCTTGTCATTAATTTATCACAAATATTCATCCCATTGTGTGGAGACATTATTAGTGAGGACTGCTGCATTAATTGAAAAAGAATTGTTGAATCCAACTTCAAATTATACAAATGATGATGAATATGTTTCCATGGAAAATTTATTTTTATTTTTCTTGAATGAAATCAAACCAAACTTAAAAGATATGATCATTCATCAATATGCATCACATACATTAAGATTAATAATATTGATCATTGCAGGGAAAGAATTACCATCTACTACAGTGTCAAATTCAACTTTACGTAGTAAGAAGAGTAAAATTGCAAGAAAGATGATTGAAATCAAAGATAATCAAGATTTTGATAAAGCATTTCAAATCCCATCATCTTTTAAAGATGAGTTGAAAAATTTATTGGATTCTATAAGATCTAAATTGGATCAAAGAACTGCTAGAGAATATGCTATTCATAAAGTTGCGTCACCTGTCTTACAATTATTAATTCAAGTTGAAGGTATTGTTGATAGAGATAGACAATTTTGGCATTTAGTGTTTTTAAAAGATGATGAGGAAAAAAACTCTTCAGAAGAATCATTTGTTGAATATTTATTATCAGATCCTGTTGGTTCACATTTTTTTGAAAATACTATTAAGGATCAAAGATTAAAATATGTTGAAAGGTTATATAAACTCTACATGAGTGAACGAATTTTGAAATTAGCTAAAAGAGATACAACAGGAAGTTATGTTGTTCAAATTTTATTGAAAAAATTGAAACAAAATGAAGTAAGACAAATCTTGGATCAATTAATCCCAGAAATGAGTATATTGATGAATAGTAATTTAGAAATGGGTAAATCAATTATTGACGCATCAACTTTACACAAAGATTATAAAAAACCAGTCATTATTGAAGAATTGGTGAAGAAATATACACCTAATGAAGAATCAGATATTTTGGAAACAGTTTTACAATTATCAACTTCAACATTAGGAAACACAAGAGATGATTGGCCAACTGCTGAAGAAAGAAGAAGAGCTTTATTTTTAGAGAAATTGATGGAGTATGATTCAAGTTTTTTAAATTTAACAGTTGATAATTTACTATCATTACCAAAAGAAAGATTAATTCAAATGTGTTTGCATGGTGTTTTTTCACATGTTGTTGAAGATGTTTTGAAGCCAGAAGATGTTGAAATCATCAAGAGAAGAAGATTGTTAAATCAATTTGTTGGTTCAATTGTTGAATTATCTTGTAATGCTTATGGTTCACATATTGTTGATAAATTATGGGATTTCACTTTAAAATTGAATAATTATAAAGAAAGAATTGCTCAAGAATTGATTGGTGAAAAGGAAAAAGTTAAAGAAAGTACATATGGTAGACAAGTTTGGAAGAATTGGTCAATGGAATTATTTGTTAGAAAAAGACATGATTGGACTTTTAAAGTTAAAGAACAAGAGTATGAAAAATTCCCACCAAAGAAACCAGAATTACCAGCAGCTAAATCAGATAATCAATTTAATGGGAAAAGAAAATCTGAAGGTCAAGAAGAACCATTCCAAAAGAAACAAAAAGTTAGAGGTCGTAATCGTAAATAGGGGGATACAAAAAAGCATTAGAAATAAAAGACATGTAATTATTTTACTTTTTTTCCTTTAAAAAACGAATGTCATTATTGTAGCTATATTAGGATTCCATTACCAAGCTTCAACAGTTCTTCTGACATTTAAACCTAAAGTTCTAGCCAATTTATCAAAAGCTTCGTTCAAATCATCTTTTGAATAACGAGAAGCATCAATTTTAACTTCAGCTTCTAAATTATCAGATTTACCTTCAACGAAATCTTCAAATTTAGCTCTTTCCTCTTCAGTTGGTGGTAAAACTTCATAGAATCTGGCCAATTGTACTAAAGTTTCATCATTAATCTTGGTGAAAGCTTCAATATCCTTTGGATATAATTCTAATGGAGGTTCTTCACCATCGTTATTTAATTGTGGAGCCAAAACATCACCAGATTTCTTTTGTGAATTGACTAATCTTCTAATTGATCTTTCTTCAATAACTTCCAATTGACCTTGTAATTCACCAACTAATTGAACAATATCTTCATTTGTTGCAAAATCGGTGGTGTCAAAGTTTGGAGCCTTTCTTCTTTGAGAAGCTTTACCACTTAGACTTTTCGGATCGAAATCTTCAACACCTTCTCTTTGAGATTTGACTTGTAAATGTAACACTTGTTCACCAGTTTTGGTTAATAGTTGAGATTGCTTTTTAACTAAAAGGGATAATTCATTGACTTGTTGGGTCAATTGTTCGACTGTTGGTTGTTTTGCTTCAGACATGATTAGATGCAATTCTGTGATTTGAGATTGTGATTCTGAATTCTCTTTATCTTCAAATCTTTGTACCAATTCGATGTTTGAAATTGTGGATGTGTTATTTTCAAAAGGGGCCGTCAAAAGGAAAACAAAAACAAAAAAAAACACAAAATTGTGTCAAAAAACTCGTTATTACCGGATAGGGAAGTCGAGAATACACTATATACAAATTATGGTTAAATATCATAAAATATCATAAAATTGGTTATAAATTTCAAAGTCATTACAATTTAAATTCACCATTGGAATCTTCAAAAACAATTTGGTACGCTTTCCCGACATTTGCGTGGAGATCGGTGGCTTGCATGGCTCTTCCTTTGGCTTTAAATGCTTCTCTAGCTGCAACTCTAGTCACAGTGGAACCTCCAAAGCAAGCCAATAATGGTAATTGATCCTCTTGAATCTCATCTGGATGTTCCCAGAGCCCGGTCTTGTAAGCATGTCCCCAAGCTAAAAGAGTGGCAACTGTTCCTGTTAAAGAATCACCTTGACCACCAGCCCTTCTATCGGATCCTTTAGTTGTACTTTCCAAAGCTTCATCATTCTTTACGATAATATCACTAGATCCCTTTCTCAAGATTGTTACACCTCCTAGTTTCTTTGAGAGTTGTTTAGCTTCTTCAATTTGATCATCTCCGTTAACATCAACACCAACCGCATCTGCAAGTCTTTTAAATTCAACAACATTTGGTGTCAAGATAGCCAAATCATAACCTTTAATAACATCTGGTTTTTGAGAAACTAAAAACAATCCATCAGCGTCAACAATGATTGGAATTTTCTTCTCTCTCAAGTAATTGATTACAATCTCCAAAGTTTTCAACATTAATTCATCTCTACCTAGACCTGGTCCAACAATAGCAACATGAATTCTAGCCAACAATGCCTTCACTTTAGTCAAGATTTTCGTACCCAAGAATTCATCAATATCTTTCACATCATTCGGAACATTATCTTTTTCGTATAGATATGGATGCACCATTAAATCTGGAGTATATGATTTGATGACAGTTGCTGCATTCTTTTCACAAATGATATGGGATAAATCAGCACCAAATACAGCAGCAGCATGAGCAGCAAAATATGGAGCTCCAGTATAACTTGAAGAAGAGTTAGTCAATGATAATGATACAAGTACTTAGAAACTTACTCTTCACAACCTCCAAATACAACTATTCTACCGGCTTTACTTGTTAATTGTTTTGTAATATCACACCATCAAGAGAAATCACTCACCTTGACCCTTGTGGAATTGAGGTAAAAGAGGAGGAATCAGTTTTTTAGTTAAATGCAATAACTCTTTACCACTTTTTTGACTCAATTGGCTCATTTTGTAATAATTTCTACTTTAAAGAATGGATTAAATCAGAAAGTTTTTCAAATTGATAGCAAAAATTGGTAACTTCTATATAATAAACCGGATTTAGCCCCTTTTGGGTAAATTACGACACCCCGTAATAGCACACACCTCGCATTTCCTCTTTGGGATGCTCCGAAAAGCTTCGAAATTTAACCACAATTCTTCAAATTGCTCGAAATTATTAATCCTCAATTCTTAATTCACTTCCCACTTCAGAAAGTTTTTAGAACTCAATTGATTTATATGATAAAGAATATACCAATAAGAACTAATAACATGGCTTCCTTCTTATCAAGATTCACTTCCCAAAGAGCTACTTGGGTCCCAATCGCTGTCGGTTCAGTCGCAGTTGCTGCTTCATTATACTACACTAATGCTAATAAGTCCCCATTAGCAAACGAAACTCCAGTCACTTTCAAAGGTGATGATCAATGGATTGATTTAAAAGTAAGTTAATTGAGTGGCATTCTACTGGAGCAATTTACTAACTTCTCCTTTTTTTAAAGTTGGTCAAGAGTGTTGAAATCTCTCCAGATACTAGACATTTCTATTTTGCTTTACCTTCAGCTGATCACAAGAGTGGATTGATCACTGCTTCATGTTTATTGGCTAAATACGTTACTGAAAAAGGTAACAATGTCGTTAGACCTTACACTCCAATCTCTGATGTTGAACAAAAAGGTCAACTTGAGTTCGCCATTAAGAGATACCCAACTGGTAAATTTGGTAACCATTTGTTTTCATTGAAAGAAAATGACACCGTTTCATTCAAAGGTCCAATTGTTAAATGGGAATGGACTCCAAACCAATTTGAAAACGTTACTTTAATCGGTGGTGGTTCAGGTATTACTCCATTATATCAATTATTACATGAAATTACTAAAAACCCAGAAGAAAAAACTAAAATCAATTTAGTTTACGGTAATAAAACTCCAGGTGATATTTTGTTGAAAAAAGATATTGATTCAATCGCTGAGAAATATTCTGATAGAGTCAAAGTTCATTATTTCGTTGATAAAGCCGAAGGTGACTGGAAAGGTGAAACTGGATTCATTACTAAAGATTGGTTAAACAAAAATGTCCCACATCCAGATGCTTCTCACCAAGTCTTTGTCTGTGGTCCTCCACCATTATACGAAGCCATCTCTGGTAATAAGGTTTCTCCAAGTGATCAAGGTGAATTGACTGGTGCTTTGAAAGAATTGGGTTTCACCAAGCAAAATGTCTTTAAATTTTAAGAAGAATGGATTTCATAGAGTTTGATTTTAAGTCTGGTGTGTTTTTTTTGGTTGATTTTCTTGTGTTCCTTGATGGAGACTAACTATTAGACTGTCTATTTGCTCTTATTCATTTTATTTATCTATGACTTTAAACATACAAAATATACATATATTATATTCATTAATTGTCATTTGTAGTTGAATAATTGTTTTTGTAGTTGATGTTGGCCTGTTCATAGATCTATACCCCAAAAAAAAAAATAATCAAAATATGAAAAATTAACTATGTTTCCCAATATTCATCTCCAAATGACAGAATCAGTGCTAAGAATCGCAGTAGAAGGATGCTGTCATGGTGAACTAGACAAGATATATGCACATATAACAACTCAACCTTATGAAAAATGGCCAGAATTATTGATAATATGTGGTGATTTCCAATCAATACGAAATGAACAAGATCTTGATTCAATTGCAGTTCCTGATAAGTTTAAAAGAATCGGAGATTTCAAAGATTATTATGAAGGTTTGAAAAAAGCACCTATATTGACTATATTCATAGGTGGGAATCATGAAGCTTCAGCTTATTTACAAGAATTACCAAATGGTGGTTGGGTAGCTGAAAATATCTATTATATGGGATATTCAAATGTAATATGGTTTAAAGGTTTAAGAATTGGTGGTATTTCTGGTATTTATAAATTCTTTGATTTTTATAAAAATCATTATGAACAAGCTCCTTTTGATGATAAGTCTAAAAGATCGGTTTATCATGTTAGATTTGAAGATTTTTTAAAATTAAGTCTTGTACGAGACTTGAATTTAAATTGCATTTTAAGTCATGATTGGCCTGAAGGTATTGTGAAATATGGTAATATGAAATATTTATTACAGAAAAAGCCTTTCTTCAAGAAGGATATTGAAAATAATTGTCTTGGTTCAGTTCCTGCTAAATTGTTGTTACAAAGATTGATGCCTCATTATTGGTTTAGTGCTCATTTACATGTTAGATTTCAAGCTTTTGTTAAACATGCTCCAATCAAAAGAAAATTGAGTAATGATGTGGGAGTAGGAGACAAGAAACTGAAAGTTAATAACGATGAAATTGATTTAAATGAGGAGATTCCTGATACAAATGAGATTAAACTAGACCTGGGTGATGATGATAATAATAACGAAATAGAACTTGATCAAGATGATGATGATAAATCTCCACAACCAACATCCAAAACATTTGCAAAAGGATTCTCTCAAACTAATTTCTTAGCTTTAGATAAATGTCTCCCAAAACGTCAATTCATTGAAACTATTGAAATCCCAATAACAAATGAAGATCACGAATCCCATGATTCCAAAGAATTGTATTATGATTTAGAATATTTGAAAATTACAAAATGGTTTGAAAAATTTAGAGATTCAGAAGTTTTCAAAGATTTGAAAATGCATAACGTTGATGACCATTTAGTTGAAGAGTTATGGAGAGATATTGAAGAAGTTGAAATAGAGATGGATTTACGTATACCCAAGAACTTTGAACCTGTTTTACAGAATGCAAAGAAGCAAACAGACGAGTTTAAAGAAAAGTTATTTAGATAGTACAATGAATTAATTCGCAAGTATATGTTAATGAATATTGAATTTCTGATTTTTTTTTCAAAAGTATGTAAATTAAATATGTAAAAGGATGATGGGATAAAGGAAGAATGATGTGATTAGATTAAATAGTTAAATATGTGATGATGGTGAATAGGCTTAATAAGATCTGATGGCTGGTGGAACTGATTTACATTCATTTTCATCCAATGTTGTGGAAATGACAGGTCTGTAAGCCAAGGTGGTTTGGTCACCACCTTGTTTTTGCCATGAAAGGGAATGTTTCATCCAGTTTTCATCATCTCTTGTTGGGTAATCTTCTCTAGCATGAGCACCTCTTGATTCTTTTCTAACAACAGCAGATTCAGCAGTTTGAACAGCACAAGTTAACAAGTTTTGTAATTCTAAAGTTTCCACTAAATCAGAGTTCCAAATCATAGATCTATCTGTAGTACCAACTTGTTCAAAACTCTTATCAACTCTATTGATACCTTTAACACCATCTTCTAAGGATTCTTGAGTTCTGAAAACTGAAACATCACGTTGCATAGTCTTTTGCATATCTAATCTGATAGAAGCTGTTGATTTTGGACCAGTAGCAGTTCTTAATTTATCCAAGTTAGCAATTGATTCTTTACCTAAATCAGCTGGTAATTGTTTATGTGGTAAACCTGGCTTCAAAGAATCAGCAATAGTTAATGAAACAGCTCTACCGAAAACAACTAAATCTAATAATGAGTTTGCACCTAATCTGTTAGCACCATGGACAGAAACACAAGCAGCTTCACCACAGGCCAATAAACCTGGAACAACTTTATCTTTACCTTCTTCATCAATAGTTAAAACTTCACCACTCCATTTAGTTGGGATACCACCCATATTATAATGAACAGTTGGTAAAATTGGAATTGGTTCTTTTGTAACATCAACACCTGCGAAAATTGCAGCGGTTTCAGAAATACCTGGTAATCTTTCTTTCAAGACTGGAGCTGGAATATGTGATAATTGTAAAAACATATGATCTTTTTCTGGACCAACACCTCTACCAGCTCTAATTTCCATAGTGATGGCTCTTGAAACAACATCTCTTGAAGCCAAATCTTTAGCATGTGGAGCATAACGTTCCATGAAACGTTCACCTTCAGAGTTAATCAAATAACCACCTTCACCACGAGCACCTTCTGTAATCAAACAACCTGAACCATAAATACCTGATGGATGGAATTGAATGAATTCCAAGTCTTGTAATGGAAGACCGGCTCTTGAAACCATAGCATAACCATCACCGGTACATGTATGAGCAGAAGTACAACTGAAATAAGCTCTACCATAACCACCAGTAGCGATAACGGTCTTGTGAGCTCTAAATCTATGTAAAGTACCATCTTCTTCATTATAAGCCATAACACCAACACATTCACCATTATCCATTAAAAGATCCATGGCAAAGAATTCAATAAAGAAATGTGTGTTATGTCTTAAAGCTTGACCATAAAGGGAATGTAAAAGGGCATGACCAGTTCTATCAGCAACGGCACAAGTTCTATAAGCTTGACCACCTTTACCGTATTCTTTTGATTGACCACCAAAAGCTCTTTGATAAATTCTACCTTCTTCAGTTCTTGAAAATGGAACACCATAATGTTCCAATTCAATAATGGATTGAGGAGCTTCTCTAGTCATATAATGAATAGCATCTTGATCACCTAACCAATCTGAACCTTTAACGGTATCATACATATGCCAGTGCCAGTCATCTTTATGCATATTACCAAGAGCAGCATTGATACCACCTTGAGCAGCAACAGTATGAGATCTAGTTGGGAATAATTTAGAAATACAAGCAGTTTTATAACCAGCATTTGCTAAACCGAAAGCAGCTCTTAAACCAGCACCACCGGCACCAACAACAATACAGTCATATTCATGATCAATGATGTGATATTTATCAGCAACACCAGAAGCAGCATTTTCACCACTTATATCATCATTAACACTATAAGCGTGTCTTTTGACAATAGAAGTTGAGAATTGTGCTCTTCTGTTTAGTTGGAAAAGTTTTTTAGTAGATTGACGTAGTGAAAGCATTCTATCTCTCTTTTATTTCTTTGGTCAACAAAGATTGAATCAATTGATCAATAAGATGTTTTATATATGGGGAAAGACTTGATGAATGAAAAAAAAACACCACTTTTTGGAAGGAAAATACCTAAGCAATAATGTAGCGGTATGTGATAGTGATGAGGATCAGTCAATGGCCAATATACAAGAGAGATTCTTGATTGTTCAGGTGAAGATTGGGAAGAAAAGAATCAAATTGGAACAGTATTCTTCACCAATTCTTCATCACACCAAAAACAAGAAAAAAAAACCATCACAGCGCGACACTCGCATTTCCAGCATGGTAGCGGCACGCCAGAGCCCAAAGAGTCGGTTCCTTGGTGGGCCCGGGACCAATCAGAGCTCGCGAATTAGCAAGAGCGAGTCATGGGCCCCGGGGGATGAAGGAACAGGCAGAGAGTGTACAAGGCTAGAGGCTGGAAGACCGAGAGCCAGGCCGAGAGCTAGGCAGAGGTCGTTGGGCAGACAGGCAGGACAGACAGAGCTTGATCTGAGCTTAAAGGGACAGCTTTAAACGAGTGTAGCTCATCAGGTGAAGAACACATAACTTTAAATGAACAAGAACAGCTAATACTGTACCCATCAGGATTCAATATTCAGCCATTCTATCTAATGTCATTTAAATTGATCGAATTGATTAGATCAGTGTGTGATTCCTTCCCTTCCCAATTATCCGGATCAGAATTCATCAGCCAGATGCTCAACTGTTAGATCCCGTTTCGCCTGACAAAATGTGATTTCGCGAAGGTTTAAGAAGAGTTACGGCAGAAGATCATGTGATTGTTGGACCGAGGGTTGAAATTACGGAATTAGGAGATTAACAAATTAGGAAAGTGAAATGTTCTGGTTTGGCACCCTGGCCTCCTGTTGTTTTCGTAGTGTAAATTTTTTTTTCCTATACGTCAAAATTAAACACTAGATCAAAAAGAATAACAAGCTTCACCACTTCAAATCCATGTTTATCCTGTCAAGAATATCAGATCTAATACGGATCCCACCTGATCAATTCAATAAAGATGCTCGTAAGGCAATTCTATTTGAACTAAACAAAAAATATTCAAATAAAATCATTCAAAATTTAGGTCTAGTTATATCTGTTTGGGATCTAATAAAAGTTGATGATGGTTTATTGAAACCTGGTGATGGGGCAAGTTTCATCAAGATAGAGGCTCGTGTTGTTGTATTCAGACCTTTTGTCGGTGAAGTCTTGACAGGTTGGATAGAAAAATGTACATCTGAAGGTATACAAGTTAAAATGGAGTTTTTCAATGAAGTTTTCATACCGAAGAATTTATTATTTGAAGGTAGTGAATATTCAATTAATGAAAATGCTTGGATTTGGAATGCTGATGATACAAAATTATACCTTGATGTTAATGAAAAAATAAGGTTTAGAGTGGAGGAAGAAATTTTTGTAAATGTTAAACCGACTGGTCCAATTTCAATTGATGGTACTCCAATAAATAATAATGATAATGATGATGAAAATCAAGAAAAAGAGAATAAACCAAGTTATGCTATCTTAGGAAGTTGTCAAACTGATGGTATGGGTGTTGCTAGTTGGTGGGATTAATCTAACTACAAAAAAAAAGAATCCTTTCATAATAATGTACATTAATTTTAAAGCAATAAGTATCAATTATATTGCATGTAACGACTTGTTGAACTAAATTTCAAATTACCTTTAATAACTTTATCAACAGCTTTCAAAAAATCCTTTTCAGTGGCAACTTTTCTTCTTTCTCTAATTGCGAACATACCAGCTTCTGTACAAACTGATCTTAATTCAGCACCAGTTGAATTTGGGCATAATCTTGAAATTAATTCCCATCTTATATCTCTTTCCACACTCATTGCTTTTGAATGAATTCTGAAAATATTGGCACGGCCTTCTAAATCTGGTAGAGAAAATTCAACTTTTCTATCAATTCTTCCAGGTCTTAATAATGCAGGGTCTAATGTATTTGGTCTATTTGTGGCAAACATAACTTTAATATTACCTCTTGGATCAAAACCATCCAATTGAGTAATCAATTCCAACATGGTTCTTTGAACTTCATTATCACCTCCAGCACCATCATCAACTCTTGCACCACCTATAGCATCAACTTCATCGAAAAATATAATACATGCTTTCTTAGTTCTAGCCATTTCAAATAATTCTCTAACCATTCTAGCACCTTCACCAACATATTTTTGCACCAATTCTGAACCAATAACTCTAATAAAAGTGGCATCTGTTCTATTAGCAACTGCTCTTGCACATAATGTTTTACCTGTACCTGGTGGCCCATACAATAATATACCTTTTGGAGGATCAATACCTAATTTAACAAATCTTTCTGGTGATAATAGTGGTAATTCCACAACTTCTCTTAATTTATCAATTTGTTCTTTACAACCACCAACATCACTATATGTGACATCTGGTTTTTCTTCAACTGTCATCATTGTCACTGAAGGATCAATCTTTGGAGGTAATGGTAATTGAATCTCATATTTAGTACGATCAACACCAACTCTCATAGCTTCTTCAATATCAGTTGGTGAAACTTTTTCACCTAATGCAACAACAAATTTGGCAATTTGTTTAATATTAATAACATATTTACTTTTATCTTCACCTTCGTCACTCTTAATAATCTTGGTACATCTAGCAACTTGTAATGGTTGTTCTTCTTCCATTCTTTGTTTATCTGCTAAAACATCCCATAAATGTGGTGGTGCTAAACCTGTATTACTTTCTTTGACACCAATTTTTTCTTTAATTTTGCCTTCTAAAGTTTTGATATCTTCTTCAACTTCTTTAATCTTTTTAGCATATGGAGCAACACCCTATACAAATTTGTTAGTTCAATTCAATTCTCAACTACTGTTTTGGTTGTTATCAATTGACACATTTTGATAATGTTCAATTGCCACCAGATCTATACTTACATAAGTTCTTAAAACTTGGATATCTCCTTCACTTAAAGGAACGATTTTTTCTTCTGGTTTGTTCTCTTCTTCCTCTACCGGAGCAGTGTACTTCTCCCAATCAGCTTTTGGAGGCATTGTTTTCCCTTATATGTGTTGTAATTGATTTATCTTTTGTTGATTGTACAATTGATTTTTGATCTTGTTGATAGTTTTCGAAGAAATACCACATTAAAAAATTCGACAGGGCACTTCCAAATTTTCGCGATTTTCTGGCGCGGTACTTTCGCGAATTTGATACCCGGATATCAAAAAGTATATGAATCGAGCTCAGTTTAAATTGGAATTCAAGTGTTTATTTTGAGTTAAAAATCGATTTGAAATCTCAAAATCTTATTATGAATAGCCCAATCAAGGAAATAATGTATCTACAGCACTAAAATAGCTGAAAAATCTAACAAGACTTTCAAATTACCTAACTAATCCAATCTAAAATAGTTTGACCTGAAGTATAAATCATCATTGAGAACCCTAGTGCAGTAACAGCAATATCTGCAGCTTTAGACCAGAAAGTATTTGCAGATAGTTTGTAATGTAGCAATGGAGGATAAACATAAATCAATGGGATACATGCAAAACTACCAACAATTGCAACAAATCTATCTAAATCACTAGCACCACCCCATGCAATGAATGCAGTTGAGAGCACAACCCCGACTCTGAAATAATTTTTGTGCCATTTAACTTTATTATCATATTTACCTGATTTAACAAATATTCCATTTTCTAAGATTCTAATTGCTGGAAATAATTGTAGAGGTGTTGATAATAAAATAGCCATTGCATATAAGAATTGAACAATGCTAACATATAAACTATCTTGAGGGAAATTTAGCAATATAACAGTTTCAGTATCACTACCAAATGCTAAATAACCAATACCACCAGCAGAAACGAAAACAAAAGTAACTGTTAACATAACCCATCCTAATATTTTTGGAAATTGTGATGGTTTTTGCATTGATTCTTGAATTGGAATCAATAATCCAATACCTTCATATGTGAAAATTGCAGTACCGATGAAAACTGTCCAATCTTTATTGAAAGGTTTGATGGAGCCAACACCTTCTGTGATGACAACAAAACTGCAATAGTAATAAACATACACCAATCCTAACAATATAAACAAATCAGCAATTAAAGCAGTACCTGACAACTTGGCAATTTTTCTTGTGAGAGACAATGGGATAAATACTAATAGTTGAACAAAAATGAAAAATTCAATCGAATAATGTTTTGATGCAATTGAGATGAAGAAAGCTTGTAAATTAGTCGCGGTAAAGACAATATAAGCAGCTGCAAACCCAATTTGTGAAAGAACAATTGATGACAAGATTGAATATCTCATATATGGACCAAACAGTTTCCCACCAATATCACCATAACTATTAATATTTAGCTTGATTTTGACATTAATCAATGACATGAAACACCAATAAGACAATATGGAAAAGAATATCAAAGCTGACGAGGAGAATAACCAACCAGCATTGTGATAGCCTCTTGGTAAGAATAACACACCTGTACCAATAAAAGCTTTGAGTAATAAAAGAATTGCCTTGGTGGTTGTAGCTTTATGAGGTTCATGCTTTCTCTGTCTATCAGCTTCCAGCAATAAACTTTCCTCATCAACAGCTTCTTCACCTTCTTCTTCTTCATCTTCGTCTTCATCATCTTCATCCCTCAATTCTTCACCTGCGAAATGACCATATAATGTTAAAAATTCAATAAAGTTTCTAGTAAAGAAAGTTGGAGTTTGAGGTCTTCCATTGATTTTTTGCTTTGTGGCTTTTTGAACCAAGAAACTTCTTCTAAACCCACCAGGAACTCTAATATCATGAACTTGGAAATCAGGATCCAATAGTGAGCCAGAAATTGAGCCTGAAAACGATTGTGATCTTCTTCTCATTCTCGGTTCTTGAGAATGCTCTCTTTGCCAGTTATAAACTTCACGACTTATATCACCACCTTGTAATTGCAATGAATCAAATTCTTCAGTTAATGCATCTTTATTATTTGTGTTTGATGTTTCTCTGGTATGGATTGAACTGGCTGCATCTGTGTCATTGACCAAATGACGGCCAACTGCTTCGACTGTTGATGGGTCTGGGTTTTGAACATCAATTTCTGGTGCATTGACAGCAGGTTTCCCTGAATTTGGAGAATCTGTACTTAGTCTAATTTCAGGAGTACCTGGTCTTTGTGGAGCTGGTGAGATGTCTCTGTTCAAAGTTGTTGATGATGGTTTTGAACTCATGAAGCTGTCTTTTTTGATTGATGATGAAATAAGATTTCCTAATGCACTTGGTGATTTATTCTGGTTAAAATTATTTGTAGCTGATTTATAGCTTCTTTCAGATTGACTTAGGTCCAATGAAGAGTCCAATGGGGTAGCTGTACCTTTATCTTCAAACCCACCTTCAATCTTTTTAGTATTTGGAGATTCAACTGGATCTGGATTACCCAAACTATGATTCGTGAAAACGGAACTCTTTCTTGTGAAATGCTTTGAGCTAAAATCACCAATCCTAAAGCTTTCATCTATATCAGATTCACCATTTTTTTTCAAAGAAGCTGACAATGAACCGGATATTTTGTGTGGCTTTGAGGTTTGATCTTTTGATGACATTGTTGAAAGTATCTGGACGTACCTATATGTCCTTCAATGTTGAGAGCAAATTCAACAGACCTTCAGTAATCAGCAAGATATGAGCAGTTATACTAACAAGCAGCAGACAATAAAGCTAAAAATAACCAAAAAAGAGGTTGAATAATTATATGAAAAGGTGATTGACGTTTCTTAAAATTTGTTTACAGAATCGATAAAGCGGTCAAGGAAATCCAAAAAAAAATAAAAAAAAAAAATAGAACAGTATTAAAATTGGATTGAACAGGACGAAATGTTCAAAAATTCCAACAATTTTGGACAAATAATAGATTACTCATAGCCTACAAGTAATGACCCAGATCAGTACTCAATAGGTCTAAAGCAATTGGATAGCTATGGCCATTGTCCTACAACAAAACCACCATTCTCTTCTCAATTACGTACTATTACTGATCAATAATTCGCGGACAGTGCTTCAAACCAGATGAGCTTGAAAAAAAAAATTTAAACCAACTAGATTTGATGAGGTTAAAACATAATCACCAAGCAGAACCATGTCTACCAGAAAGTGGATTGATAAGAAACAGGGGAAGACCTACAAAGTGGTGCACAGGGCCCATGATGATCCTTTATACCACGATGAGGATGCATCAGAACATGTTTTAGTTGAGGTTCAAAACCCAAATAATAGAAAGATCAAAACTAAAGCTCAATTAGAAGAAGAATTTAAAGAAGAATTGGAAGATATGAGAGAAAATGAAGGTGAAGCAGCATTGTATGGTATTACATATGATGATTCCAAGTACGATTATATGCAACATTTGAAACCAATAGGGAAAAGTGATGGTGTGTTTGTTGAAAAGGATGGTAAAGTACAAAAAAAGAAAGGTATAGTGTTTAAAGATGGGTTTGAATTACCTGAAGATGTTTTACCTTCAAAGAAGACTGTTACACAAACTTATCAAGATCAGCAAAATATTCCAGATGAAATTGCAGGTTTCAAACCTGATATGAATCCTGCCTTGAGAGAAGTTTTAGAAGCTTTAAATGATGAAGCATACGTTGAAGAAGGTGATGATATTTTCCAAGATTTACTACAAGGTGGTGCTGAAGAAGTTGATGAAGAAGATTTTGAAGATCAATTTGACGAATGGGATCTTGATAATTATGAAGATGAAATGGCTCAATATGATGAGAAGGCTTTTGAAAAAGAAGGTGATGAGGGTTGGGAAGCTGATTTTAGAAAATATAAAGCTGTTAGTAAAAACAAAAAGAATGATTGGGATAGTGATGATGAATTTGAAGATGAAGAAGATGTTGTTCCAGATTTACCTTCATTTGATGCTAATTCTAAAAGTAAATCAGGTAAAGGTTCAAAGAGAAAGCAACGTCAAAAGAAAGGTGCCATGACTGATACTTCAAGTTTTTCCATGTCAAGTTCAGCAAATTTCAGAAATGAAGGGTTGACATTATTAGATGATAGATTTGAAAAAGTTATGAAAGATTTTGAAGATGAGTTTTTCGAAGAAGAAGATGAGGAAGAACCTAAAGAATTCGATATGAAGAACGAAAGAGCAGACTTTGAAGGAATGTTGGATGATTTCTTGGATAATTATGAAATTGAAGGTAAACGTAGAATTGTCAAGAAGAATCCAGAATTGGATAAATTGAAAAAAGCTGCTGATAGTGCTTCAAAGGGTAAATTAGCTCAAAGAAGAAGAAAAGAAAATGATGATGGAGCTGACCCTTTGAAAGGAAAACTTGGTAATCTAAGAATATAGAAACACTATAGCATAAAATTTGTATATTAATGGGATATTTGGGTAATAATTTTAAATATATTTGTACACTGTATTTTTATGTATAGTGACTATGTTGATGTTATGTAAGCTTAAGGCCTTACCCTATGAGCATTTCGCGAATAATTACATAATATTATGCTGCCCGAATCATCTCATCTCCAACTAAAAATTTATTTTTCCTTTTGGTATACTAGAGGAAAATATTTCAGTTCATTATAAAGCTATTGATTGAACAATAAACATACACTAGGAAATCGTTGATAATGGCTAAAAAATCACTTGCTGAACAAATTGCAGAGCTTCAAAAGCCAGAAGTTGAAGATTATGATATTGAAGATGCTGAAAGGGATGTTTTCAACCATGATGATGAAGAAAATGCAAGTTTAGGTGAAGACGAAGAAGATGAAGTGAAAAGAACTGAACATTATGTTAATGTTGGTAAAAGTAAATTACGTGACCATTCAGTGAATTTGAAAGATCCAAAATATACTGGTAAGACTAGTAGCAGAAAGGATATTTTTGAAAATAGTGATGAAGAAGATGTTGATGATGAAGAATCTGAAGACGTATCCGAACAAGAATCAAATGAAGAAGAATCTGAAGATGAATTACAATCTGAAAATGAAGAAGAGGAAGGAGATGAAAGTGATAGTGGAATCTCATTAAGAGCAGATTCCGAGGATGAAGAACAATCAGAATCAGAATCAGAACCATCTACAGATGAAGAAACTGTTACATCTAAAAGAGATAAATTGAAACAAATGATGGCAACTGAGCGTAAAACGATACTGAATAGACTATCCACCTCGGCTCAAAATGATGCATTGAAAGGTTATGCTGTCATTTCCCAACAAAGATTATTTGATAATATTTTAGATTCAAGAATCAAATTACAAAAAGGTCTAACAAACTCAAATTTATTGCCTTTAAACAATGAATCATTTGAAGAGTTTCAAGAAGAGTCCACACAAGAAGATTTGGGGAATGTTGAAAACTCGTTGCATTCCTTATTAGACAATATAATATCATTGAGAACAAAAATATGCAATAAAGAAAAGATAACAAAAGATCAATTGAAATTCAACACAGGAAAGAAGAGATCATTTGGTGAATATGTTGAAGAAACTGAAAAACTCGATAATGTCTTGAATAAATACAGAGGGTCTGTTTTAACAAAATGGTCTCATAAAGTTCAATCAGCTTCTGGTGCTACTGCATTAAATGCTTCCAAATTCAAAACAATCAACCAAACACCTGCACAACAAGTTGATTTAAACTTGATGGATATGGATAGATTGTTGAAAAGAACTCGTTTGAATAGAAGAAATGTTAAACCATTAGGGTATGCTGATGAGGAAGATGGTGAAGAAAACACAAAAAAAGTTGATAGGTCATTACAAGAAGATGAAAATATCTTTGATGATGAAGATTTTTACAGAGTTTTGTTGAATGATTTAATTGATAAAAAAATTTCAGATTCAAATCCAACTAATGGATTAACAATTCAATTAACAAAAGCTAAAGTGAAGAAAAATGTCGATACTAAAGCTTCAAAGGGAAGAAAATTGAAATATACCGTTCAAGAACCTCTTCAGAATTTTGAAGCTCCAAAATCTAAATTTAAATGGAGTGATGAGCAAATTGATGAATTTTTTGCTGGATTATTGGGTCAAAGAGTTAATTTTGATGAAGCTGATGAAAATGGGGATAACGAGGAAGATGAAGATGATGAATCCTTACTACAAGATGATATCAAGATTTTCGGTTAAACTACATGTATAGAATGATAAAAAAGGCATGCAAAATTTATTCAAAACTCTATTCGTAAGATGTGACAAATGATGAAACCGTACTATCATCATCGATGATGACTTCATATTCTTCTTCATTTCTCTCTAATGCTTCTTTTATAATTTGGTTCCAATTTGACTTTATAACACAGATGGTTTCACTTATACCCAAGATTGTAACACCAACAGTCAAACCTAACCATAAACCTGTAATCTCAAATTTGTAATGGAAAGCTAACAAGTAAGAAACAGGTAATGCAACAACATAATATGCAAAAACGTTCAAATAAGAACCAATGGTTTGTCTACCTTGACTTCTTAAAATTCCTGCTGAAATAATATTGAACGTATCACCCAATTGATTTATAGCTAGAATTGGCATAGATTTCACTGAAAGTTCAACAACATGTGGATCAGATGTGAACATTAATGTTAATGGACGTTTAAAGAAGATCAACAACAAGAAAGAGAACAAAGAGGTGAATGCAGCAACTGCAAATGCAATTCTAACACTAACTCTTGAAGATCTTTGTGAGCCACTACCAACATAAATAGCCACTCTTGTTGAGATAGCACAACCAATAGCAAATGGAAATTGATACCAAAGAGAACCAATGTTGGAAATGATAGATTGTGCAGCTAATGAATCAGTACCAAAATAACTAGCCATTATAGTTAAGATTTCAAATGATAAATATTCAGATTCAATCATGACCAAACCTGGGAGAGCAAGTTTTAACATTGGTTTCCAATGTCTTAATGCTCTTTTCGATAACCCATTCCAACATTGTTGTCCGTCGACAAATACAACATAGCCTAATAATAATACAGCCATTAACCAATAAGTAACCACAATTGCAATTGGCGCACCAATGAATCCCCAAAGTTTGATAAAGAAATAGTTCATGACAATATTTAAAGGTAAGCAAATAAATAAAACATAAGTTGAAGCATGGAAAATTCGTTGAGCTTGTAAAAATCTTTTCCCAGTTTCAAATGCAATTAAACCTGGTGCACCAAAACACAAAATTCTAAGATAAATCTGAGTAAGATCTAATAACTCCTCCTCCTTAACAACATAGCTCAGAATTGGTTTAGACCACCACCAAATCATTAAAATTGGGATTGACAAGGTGAAAATCATAACAGAACATCTCTGGAAATATAAACCGACTTTATAATATTTTCTAGCTCCAAAAGCCTGCGAGCAGAATGTGTCTAGTGAGGTAGCCATACCTTCAAAGACAGCCATACCTGTAATGTTAAAAGTAACAACAGCTAAACTTGCAGAACCCAATTCTTTACTACCCAAATGACCGATAAGAAATAATGAATTGACAGCCAACAAGTATTCAAAGAAGAAAGTTATTGATAAAGGTAATGCAGAACGAGCTATATTCAAGACTTCATCCTTAACCGCAACCGTTTGTTCCTCCTCTTCACTGAAAATGCTTCGTGTATATGAACTCGGGATGGAAGCTGAACGACCATCAGATTCGTATGGGTCCTCATCTTCTTCCTCACCATCCCTTGAGAAATTACTCTCTTGGTCTGAGGCAGCTATGGTTTGTAAAGTTGGTCTGTGGCGACCTTTTGGTTTGACATTTCTTATAGCACCATACGAGGTTGGGTCTTCTTGGTCTGTATTTAGTGGTGTTGTACTTGAAGCAGTTGTGGCAGCAGCAGATGAGGCAGCAGCAGCCTCTTGCTGTGAGCGTAAAAGCCTAGCTTGGTGTTCTATTGACGAATTGCTATTTCTCCTTTGTAGCACCATCCTGGATATGATACTGAATTGCGAGTAGTGGGTAAAGCTCGTGTACTGGTTTGTAAAAGGTCTTTATCTTTGTTGAAACTTCCCTTTGAAAATTTGGCTAATCGCTGGCGACACGCTGTGGAATGGCAGATCCGCGAAATTCACAGAGCACAAGTCTCCGTAATGACATGGCCCAAAAAGAATTATAAAAGTCTATCTCGTTATTCAACTTTCTGAATAATTGGATATATCACCCGAATAATCAGAAAAAATTGCATATAAATCATCTTTTTAGCACCCTAGTTTTGTCGAATTTGCCCTCACTTTTAGAAGATTCGCGAAACTTCATTTCGATCCTAACAAAATTTCAACCAGCTCTTTTTACCAATAATTGAAAGAACAAGAATCATCAGTCAATTCAATATAGACAGTGAAAAAAGATGCTAGAAAAGGTTCCATCCAAAGAAGATGAGCTCTTATTGAGGCCAAAACCATCGTTTGTTATCAAGACCAAACTGGATGTCTCCACTCAAAAGCCTAAACGTGAAAAGGGAACAAAAGTGTTTTTGAACATTTGTTCAGATGATAATGTTCCATTACCTGAAGTTGGCTATGATCCTAGTATCATATACCCTTTGATTATGGATAACAAATGGGAAATACCCATTGTTACATCACAAGAAAGGGTTGATAAGGATAAAAAAGGACAATTGGCGTATGTTTATGATTGTATCATCAATACTAAAGCGATGAGGTGGGTCCAGAGAGATAAAGAATTACGTGAAATATTGGTAGAGTGGAGTTTGGAGAGTGCTGAATTGAGATCAGGTATTCAATTATCAAGAGAAAGTATAGCCACTCCAAAAATGGTATCTAAAGGTGAAGTTCAAGAATTGACAATATTGAAATCGGAATTGGATATTAATAGGTTAAACAAAGAATTTGAAAGGATAAATAATATGCAAAATGAACCACAATCAATATTGGAAGCACAAAAAATAGATGATGAAGAAATGGAAGAAGAGCAAAACAGTATTGACATTTTCAATGTTAATGCTTCAGCAGATCAATCTGATAGCTCAATAACTAAACCTTTGATTCAAGAAATCACCAACATGTCAATAAACCCACCGCCTTCAAAAACTAAAAGCCAACCACAAGTAATAACCAAAGAGAAACTGAAATACTCGACAACTTTCAGTAAGATTGATACAAATGGCTACAAGCTGAAAATTGAGATCAAATCACAAAATGACTCTTCATTGGACTATGATATGCATTTGGATAAAAGTAACAATACAATTATTTTGAAAAACTTGAATCCAAAATATTCAACAACAAAAGATTTCGAACTACCACTTCCAACAGTTTTCCAAAATCCCTCAATAAAGTCATTTTTCGTACATGATCAATCTACATTGGTAATATTTGTCAAATAGGCTATAATATAAGACTTTGCATAATCTATCTGAGATTTGGAACCATATGTTCATGTGATTGTGTACTCTCTAAGACGCTTGGTGGGAATGCTAAATTATCTCTATGTGCAACGTATTCGGAATCAGCATAACCTAAAATTTCTTCAATTTGTTGACTGTGAGCACCTTTTATCTTTTCAATTTCAGTGGATGAATAATTCACTCTTGCTCTACCGATTTCTAGTAATGGTTCTTTAGTATCCAATTCTCCATTAGGTAACCTTGAACCAACTTTAATGGATACACATTCATGATCATGGAATGTACCAACAACGTCTATGATTCCCACTGGTAATAAACCAGCTTTATTACTTCTTGTTAGAGCACTATGCGCACCTTTATCTATTATTATTGTACCATGAGTCTGTAAACCATGCAACATCCAAAATTCTCTATTTTTGACGTGTTTATCCTTACCGATAAATCTTGTATGTAATGGGACATCATTCAATTTCAATTCTTTTAATTCTCCCGTTTGAACATCATCCAATTCTAAAGCATTCCCATCCTCATCTTTATAATCCACATCATGATCTTGAATGTGTTGTACAATCTTCCACATGTTTTCAGGTTGACTGGACTTCATAATGATTGTAGTAGTACCTGCTTCTGTAGCCAATTCTGCAGCGATCAATTTGGTAGTCATACCACCAGTACCAACATCGCTACCACCACTTGAAGTATTCACTTTCAATTCATTAATATCCTCCACCACGAGGATTGGCTTAGCTTCTGGATTAGATCTTGGATTATCCGTATATAAACAATCAACATCAGTCATTAGTATCAAATAATCAGCATTGATTAAAGCAGCTGTAATTGCAGATAATGTATCATTATCACCAAATTTAATTTCTGCAACGGACAAAGTGTCATTTTCATTAACAATTGGAACAACACCCATACTTAACAATTCATTCATTGTGTTTTGTGCATTTTTATATTGGGTCCAGTCAGATATATCATTTCTTGTGATTAAAATTTGTGCAATTCTTTGATTCAACTGACCAAATAAGGAGTCCCATCTCCCTATAAGTTTACTTTGACCAATAGCTGCCAACGCTTGCACTTGGGAAAGCTTTTTTGGTCTCTTATCCAATCCCATAGTTTTCAAACCAACTGCAATACCACCAGATGATACAATAACCACTTTATGTCCAGCTCTTCTCAATTTGACCACTGTTTCCACTATGAGGGACATTGTGGAGAGTCTTGGTTCTTTGGTTTTCTCATCCACTAGGGATGAGGTCCCTAGCTTGATGACTATAGTATATGACTTGGATTTGGCCATTTTTGTGAGTTGAAGGGTATCTAATCCTGGTGATCAGTTGGAGGTCTAATGATGTCTCGAGGTTTTAATTTTTTTTCTTGACTCAACCCAAAGATTTTTTATCTACGTTTGGCTAAATTAAACAGCGATGAAAGACTTCGGATTGAACTATTTTGAATGACAAACTTGGTGTTTCGCTTATATATTCCAATATGGCCTCAATTACCATATATCATCAAGATTGGAAACCTGATCAACTGGTTATCTGAACCCTTTAAAAGCATCAGTCATCGCTTCGCGAACTCGTTCTGTGGACTTCTATCGCGAATTCATTCAAAACTTTTGATGAAGGATTGATTTAGACTATAACCATCAACTGATCGATTAAGGAACAGCCGTAACAATGGGCCATTTAATCACAGTTGCCACCTGTAACTTGAACCAATGGGCATTGGACTTTGAAGGAAACAGAGACAGAATTGTCGAAAGTATCAGAATCGCAAAAGAGAGAGGTGCAACGCTAAGAGTTGGTCCTGAATTAGAAATCACTGGTTATGGTTGTTTAGACCATTTTTTGGAAAATGATTTATATTTACATTCATGGGAAATGTATGCATCAATTTTGACGAACAAGTCTACTCATGGTATACTATTGGATATTGGTATGCCTGTTGTTCATAAAAATGTTAAATATAATTGTCGTATCTTATCTTATGACGGGAAAATATTATTCATAAGACCAAAGATTTGGTTAGCAAATGATGGTAATTACAGAGAAATGAGATTCTTCACTCCATGGCAACGCCCAAGACATGTTGAAAATTATGTTTTACCAAGAATGATTCAAAAAATTACCGGTCAAGAATCTGTTGATTTTGGTGATGCTGTTATTTCTACTCTAGATACTGTTATTGGAGCAGAAACTTGTGAAGAATTATTCACTCCGAATGCTCCACACGTTGGTATGTCATTAGATGGTGTTGAAATCATTACAAACTCCTCAGGTTCTCACCATGAATTACGTAAATTAAACACAAGAATGAATTTGATCAAAGAAGCAACTACCAAATGTGGTGGTGTTTATTTATATGCCAATCAGAAAGGTTGTGATGGTGATAGATTATATTATGATGGTTGTGCCTTAATTGCCGTTAATGGTGAAGTTGTTGCTCAAGGGAGCCAATTTTCCCTAGAGGATGTTGAAGTTGTTTCAGCCACTATAGACTTGGAAGATGTTCGTAGTTATAGATCATCAATCTCTCGCGGGTTACAAGCTACTTCAAATCAAGCTTACAAGAGAATAAAGGTACCAATTGAATTATCACCAACTTCAATGGCCTTTGATCCTAAAATTGCTCCAACAAAAGCCCAAGAGATTTTTTATCATACACCAGAGGAGGAAATTGCATTAGGTCCAGCATGTTGGTTATGGGATTACGTTAGAAGATGTAACGGTGCTGGATTCTTCTTACCATTAAGTGGTGGTATTGATTCTTGTGCTACTGCTGTTATTGTTCATTCAATGTGTAGATTAGTTGCACAAGCTGCGGAAAGTGGGAACGAACAAGTCATTTCAGATGCTAAAAAGGTAGCAAATGTTAAAGATGAAGAGGCTAAAGATTGGAAACCTACTGATCCTGTGGATTTTGCTTCAAGAATTTTCCATACAAGTTATATGGGTACTGTTAATTCATCTAAAGAGACCAGATCAAGAGCCAAAGAACTCAGCGAAAAGATTGGTTCGTATCATGTTGATCTGAATATGGATACTCTAGTTGCTGCTGTTGTTAATGTCTTTGAAGTTGCAACTGGTAAAAAACCAATCTTCAAGATTTTGGGTGGATCTCAAACTGAAAATTTAGCATTACAAAATATTCAAGCTAGGTTACGTATGGTTTTAGCTTATTTATTTGCTCAATTGTTACCATGGGTTAGAGGTCGTCAAACTGGTGGCTTATTAGTTTTGGGTAGTGCAAATGTTGATGAATGTTTAAGAGGTTATTTAACAAAATATGATTGTTCAAGTGCTGATATTAACCCAATTGGTGGTATTTCGAAAACTGATTTGAAAAAATTTATTGCCTATGCAAGAGATGAATTTGGATTACCGGTACTACAAGAATTTTTGGAAGCAACACCAACTGCTGAATTAGAACCTATAACTAAAGACTATGTTCAATCAGATGAAGCTGATATGGGTATGACGTATGAAGAATTATCAGTATTTGGTCGCTTAAGAAAAGTCCAAAAATGTGGACCATATTCAATGTTTTTGAAATTGTATCATGAATGGACACCAAGATTGACACCAAGTCAAGTGGCTGAAAAAGTAAAAAAATTCTTCTTTTTCTATGCAATTAATAGACACAAGCAAACAGTTCTAACACCAAGTTATCATGCTGAACAATATTCACCAGATGATAATAGATTTGATTTACGCCCATTTTTGATTAATCCAAGATTTGCTTGGGCTTCCAAGAAAATTGATGAAATTGTAAAACAATCAGAAAAAGGCCAAACTGAAGATTTAGAAGAATTAACAGTTGAATAAATATTATATTTTTACTTTTTGGTACCCCATGTACTTTTTATAACCACTTGTTTCCGATCGTTTCTTTTCCAGAAATCAATAATTGTGATGGCAGTCTTTGTAGGTGCATCTTCTTGTATAAAATGTCCCGAGTCTTGGAACACAACCAATTGGTATTTCCCTTGCATTTGACCAATCATTAACTCTTTATCCAAATTATCAGTACCAGCAAGGATCAATAACTTAGAAGTTGGTGCATTCACAAAGTTTTTAGAAAGTCCAATGAACCAATCATGCCAAAAGTTTGAGGTCTTGTTTAAATCAGCTATCCATTTATAAGTACCACTTTCAGAATCCTTGTAAAAATAGGAAGGAACTGAGATCAAAGCAGACTCCTTGTTTCTAACATGCCCACTTTTCATATGCCAATCAATAGCGTCAGAGATAGTATCAAAATTCCGTGGAAGATTTTGTAAATATATACCCATACTATCAAGTGCATGGATTGCAGTATCCTCAACGATGTCAAACATCCCCAAACCTTTAATATCCAAGTCTCTTATTTGAGTAATTGCATTTGTCAAAATTGCTCCACCTAAACTATGACCAAACATCAGAAGTGAATTTTTCAAGTCATTCCTCTTGACGAGCTCCCTTATAACAAATATTAAGTCATTAGTGAACGATTTCAAAGAAAAATCGTTTGGGTTTGATTTGATTTTTGTTTGGCCATGCCCTCTAATGTCAAATGCAAACACACCAGCAACTTTTGAGCAATCATCAGCTTTTGACATTTCTTCCCTGATAGATTTACATAGTAGTGCAAAAGTTAAGCTTGAAGACCCAGCGCCATGGTGAAATACGAAAACTGGAGATTCTGTGTCTTTAGGTGGTGTATAATAAGTGTTGAATTCATCGCCAACTTCATTTGTAAATATCTCGTTCAGTTCAAAATAATCACTCCATGAGGGTAACTCTATTCTTCAAAAGGTTAGTATCATGTAATTGGGACCAACAGCTTCGACTTACTCATTTCTGTATATATGCTTTTCTTTACTTTTAGGTAAGGCAGGTTGTGGATTTGTTGGTTGACCTTCTTCAGCTTCTTCGCTGAAATCAAACCCCAATGCTGACTCTGCGATCTTGAGCTTCTTTTGGAACAGGTTACGCTGGATATTGCTCATTTCAACCAGCTTTAACTTTTACTTCACAAGGTTCATAAAATGAAGGGAAATGGGATATTTTGGAACTGACAGGTCATATTTTGGTGATTTGTCACGTGATGTTGATCTGTGCCTCAAACCAAAAGCTTCATTTTTTTCGCCTGGATCAAAACGTAAACAGTAGAGAGCGTGTAAACAAGTTTGGCGTTTTGCCTCTTTAAACAAGGAAACTTATCCAATCAGAAGAAAAGTAAATTGAGAACGCCTATAGACGTGTAAGTTGACTGTTTCTGTCAGTAGAATTGAGCTCAAGCTGACTAACTTCAGCAGACCAATTTAAGCAAGTGATGAACCAAGCTTCAGAAGATGTTCACGTACAAGTGAACGATTTGGTGGAGCACATCTTCAGTATATCGAAGGCTCTACAGGGAGCTCAGACTGACGATGTTATACATTTCAGAGGAGAGAAGCCAAAAGAAGCTGCTGAAAGTTTCATCAACGATTCACTTCCCAGTTCCTTATTCATTTTAAAGTTCACAGATTCATGGAAACTATCCAGATCTTTGGATCATTTGTCAACGCCAGTATCAGTGGTGGTAATCATTAAAGAAATTGGACCAATTCTACAAAAAACCACACTTGAAAATCAACTACAAGTCATCAATCTTCCTAATATGAACTCTTCATTTGAAACCTTAAGGTCACTAGTGAGGTTTGGGGTTGGTTCTTATTTTGATGCAATCACTTCAAACAATAAAAGTGAAACAATCAGCTCTACCAAGAAAAAAATCAATGAACTTGTTTTGTCTTTGAAAAACCTAGATCAAGCTATTCAAATCCCTGATCTTTCTGTCACTTTACATCCAGTCCTAAAAGATGCCATCGCAAAAGGTGCTAATCTCCAAAACTATACAGATTTCATATCTGATGAGACCCTCAATGATTCAACATTTTTGAACAACATCCAGACTATTGTTAATGAATGGGTAAGATCAATTCAAGCAGTAACGAAAATGAATCGAGAAGTATCAGAGGGTTCAGCGGCTGATGAGATCAACTTTTGGACATCTATGGAAAACACACTCACGGCCATTCAAACTCAACTGGATTCGGATGGTGTCCAGTTATCATTAGAGGTTTTGAAATATGCAAAGAGATATCATGCGACAGTCAGTTTTTTCTCAGATATTGAGATCAAAGAAGCTATGGCTACAGCTGCTGATTACAACAAATTAATGAAAGATTTCCCGCTTAATGAATTATTAGTTGCTGAAGACTTGGTGAGAGTTGAAGATGCCATTGTGTTGATTTTGAATCACTTGAAGAGACTAAAACTCACATCATATCCTATTAGTCGGTCATTACCTTTTCTTGAAGCTATTTCCTCTGATCTTGAAAGAAAACTTAAACCAATGGTTTACAACCTCATGTCGTTAGATTTTGAACAATTTATTATTGAAGTTCAAGAACTCAACTCTATATTTGACACATGGGATAGACAAGCTAAAGAGTTTACAAACGTTGCCAGAGAACTTCTAAGGAAAAGAGGTGAAAAGTTTTTATTTGTTAGAATCAATTCAAAAACTATACATATGAAGGAGCGCATTCAAGAAGCATTGTCATTCAGATCAAGTCACAACGAGCTAGTTGATACACTCTCAAGAGTCAGAATGGATCAAAAAGAATTAGATTATGCATATAACGCCATTAGAGATGTCGATGTTTTCAGTGGCGACGTTGAATGGTCCAACGCTAAAAAGTCCTATAACAGAAGAATTCATGATATTGAAAACCAAATTGTTGAAGGTATGAGGTCCACGTTAGACAAATCCAGAAATTCCAATGAGATGTTTCAGGTTTTTGAAAATTATAGATTTTTACTTGAACGCCCAAGAATCAGAGCTGCTACACAAGAATACCAATCTCAACTTTTAACGATAGTTAAGGGGGAAATATCTGAATTACAAGAAAGTTTTACAAAGAAATCGGACGAATCTTCACTGGCTGCCCTTTATGATTATCCCTCAATTGCATTCACGTTGCTTTGGGCTAAACAAGTTGAAGCGAAGCTAGCATTCTTGATGGATAGACTTGAATTAGTCTTAGGCAAAGACTGGAACTTATTTGCAGAAGGTCAAAAAATTTATGCTGAAGTCACTGTTTTTAAGAAAAAGTTGAATACCAAACCAATTTTTGATGACTGGTTAAGTTTTGCAAGTGAGAGAAAGATTGATGGTAATATTTTGAAGCTATCCAAAGACAAAGAAATTAGATTAGAAGTCAATTTTGATGAAAACCTTATGCAGCTGTTCAAAGAAGTACGTGCTTTGAGTTATCAAGGATTTCAAATCCCCCATAATGTGGTATTATCATCTAGGCAAGTGAGAAAAGTCTATCCACATGCTGTCATTTTGACTGAATCCATTGCTGATTTCCCTGCACTTTTACAATCCATTGAATCGCTTCAAGAATTTAAAGTTTTGCTTGTGTCTGAAAGAAATAAAATATATCATCTTATTGAACAATGCTTATCAATAAAATGGGAAACAATCACCAAAGCTCATGACTTAAAACATATAGAGATCCAGACCACTGAACATCAACAAGAGCAACTGATATCTCAGTTAGAGAACTCAATTTCTGATCTCCAACGAAAGCTTGAAGTTGCTGCTAAATACAAATTTCAGATGAATGAAGACTTCCAGCTGTTACAAACATGTCAATACGATTATGATAACTTCAAAGATATAATTTCTGATGTCCAAAAACTTATTGATCAACTCAATTTTGAAGGGTTTACAAATGTTGATATATTTGTGTCAAACTTGAACACCAAACTAAGGAAAGCACTTGTTGATCGTTGTCTTGAAGAAGACTTAACTCCGGAAAAGTCCGTCCATCAGATTGTTTTAGGCTCAAGGGTTTCAATATCACCAGCATTAGAACGTTCAAAAGTCAACTGGCTAAGTGTGTTTCAAAATAAAATTGAAACAATCAGAAACCAATCCAAGATTTTCGATCGTGTATTACAAAATGAAGACACTAATACCTCTTTGATGAATGATGAGTCTTTGGAACAACTACATTTCCATTCAAGTAAATTCATCAAACTGATTGATGAATATTATGATGATGCTTACGCTTTTTTGAAGGTTTGGTCCCAATTTGAAGCTTTGTGGAACTTTCAATCAGATGAAATCTATAAAGATCTAGACCTTGACGGATGGCTTGAAGTACTCGATGAAGTTAAAAAATCAAGAAATACTTTTGACACCAATGAAACCGTTAAAGTTTGTGGCTCCTTCATCATTGATTATAATGATGCAAGAGAGAAAGTACGTTCTAGATTTCTGTCTTGGAACAGGGACTTACTAGGAAAATTTTCATTATCTTTGTCTGGAATCATCAAAGTCACACATGACTCCATTATCAAGGGAAAGAAATTTTTGGAAAATACAACTCTGAACTTGTCGTCGGTTAAAGAAACCATTGAAGTTGTTACAAAAGTTCAGGAGTTTAAGGATCTTTTGAAAATGGTTGATTGCCAGATCTCGAAACTCAAGTTAGGACAAAGCACTTTGACAAGACAGAGGTTCAAGTTTCCTTCAGATTTTGTTTATTGCGAACAGATTGAAAATGATTACGAAGCGCTATCAGAATTGGTTTCCAAAAGAGCTGCTGCTATTGACTCCCAAATGGACGTTATAATGAAGAGTATTGAATCAGAAGCACAGCGCTTAGAAAGTTCAATTTTACAAGTCCAACAAGATTGGGCTCAGTCAAAACCTACATCCTCATCAAACTCTCCAACAAAATCACTAGAAGTACTAGCACAATTTGAGAAAAGCTTCACTAACTTGAGTGAACGAAAATTGTTAGTGACCAGAGCTGCCTTTCTTCTCTCATTACCAGTCAAAATACCTGTTGATATTTCATCAAACCTAGAAGAATTGAGAGATTTAAAATCAGTTTGGATTTCTATTCAAGGATTATGGACAACATTAGATGACTTGAAGGCTATGACATGGTATGATGTGAAACCTAGACAATTACGTAAAGAGCTTGAACAGCTTTTGGTCAATACTAGGTCCATGCCTGTAAGAGTTCGTCAACACGAGCCCTTTCAAATATTTTTGAAGAATGTCACAGACTTATCCAACTCTCAGAAGTCCATCATTTCATTGAAAGAGGATCATGTCAAGGAGAGACATTTGAAATCATTATTCAAAAAATTGAACAAAACTTACAAAAGTACGTTGACAATTGGAGATATTTGGTCTTTAAATTTGGTACTCAACGAAGGTGCTGTCAAGGAAACAATGGAGCAGGCAGGTGCTGAGAAAGTTTTAGAAGATGTCTTGGAAGGAATTCGTGACTATTGGGAACAAGCGTCGTTTGAGACCTTCAATTTTCACGGTCAAAACTTGGTGAAGAATATGGCAGCTCTACTTGAACAATCTTTCAATGATTCTCAAAGTCTCGAGTCTATGAGAAACTCCCCATATTTCAGAGTTTTTGAAGATGAGGCTGTCCAATGGGAGTCCAAGTTAAACAACGTACACCAAATTGTTGATCTATGGGTGGAAGTTCAGAGACAGTGGATAGACCTTGATGGTGTATTTGACTCCAAGTCTGGTATTAGAAAGTTACTTCAAAGTGAAGCTTCCAGATTCCAGATGGTTTCAAATGAATTTATCTCAGTGCTGAAAAGGGTGTTCAAGCACAATTTTGTAATAGAGATTTTGGGAATTCCAGACCTTCAGGGTATAATGCAAAGGATTTCGGAATCTTTGTCAAGGATTGCCAAAGCATTAGGTGAATTTTTGGAAAAGCAGAGAGATTTGTTCCCAAGATTCTATTTTGTCGGTAATGAAGACCTTTTGGAGATCATTGGTAATATGGGTGATTTCAGTAAAATATCAAAGCACTTGAAAAAAATGTTTGCCGGTGTCAATGATTTGAAAGTTGAAAATGATTCCATAACACATGTGTCATCACCAGAGGGAGAGGTTTTGAAGTTGGTTGATGCAATTTCGTTATTGAAATATTCACGAGTTGATGAATGGTTGACCCAACTTGATTACGAAATTAAACACACATTGTCCGTCATGGTTGCTGATTCTCTAGAAGGCTTCACAGATAATAAATTTGAAGCTTGGATTGGTACATATCCAGCTCAGGTTACACTTCTTACCCTACAGATAAGTTGGACTAAACTGATTGAAGAGTCGATCACTACAAAGAACTTTGATGGAATCTTACAAGATCTAGAGTCTTATTTAGATATCCTTTCTGGAATAGGTAAAGGGAAAAACAAAGCTGTTGAATCGTTTATCATTGAAATTCTTCACCAGAAAAATACAACTGAACATCTCAAAGCTCAAAATATAGATAATATTCATGATTTCAGGTGGGTTTCTCAGCAAAGATTTTACTATGCTTTTGAAGAAAGTGATTACCTTAAAAGATTAGAGGTCAGACAAGCTACAAAATCATTTGTTTACGGATTTGAATACTTTGGTGTTATGGAAAGACTCGTTTCCACACCACTTTTACAAAAAGGCTTTTTAGCAATGACTGGAGCGTTGGATCAAGGATTGGGTGGTTCACCATTTGGGCCTGCTGGTACAGGTAAAACAGAAACTATCAAATCACTTGGTCAAAACCTTGGTAAAATGGTTCTAGTGTTCAATTGTGATGAATCTTTTGATTTCCAAGCAATGGGTAGATTACTACTGGGTATTTGTCAGGTTGGTGTTTGGGGTTGTTTTGATGAATTCAACAGGTTGAATAAAAACATTTTGAGTGCGGTTTCATCTCAAATTGAGCAAATAGAGATGGGTTTAAAATCTAAAAGTTGTGACATCGAACTTTTGAGTAGAAAGACACCACTCAAAGACGGTACTGGTATATTCATCACAATGAATCCAAGTTATTCTGGAAGAGCCAATCTCCCAGACAATTTGAAGAAGCTTTTCAGAAGTTTTTCCATGAAGTCGCCTGATAGCGAAATTATTGGCGAGGTGCTTTTAAGCTCATGGGGCTTTAAGTCATCAAAAGCCCTTTCAGAGAAAGTTGTTCGGTTTTTTGAACTTTTATCATCAAGAAGCTCAAATCAACCACATTATGACTTTGGACTCAGAGCTTTCAAAGTGGTGCTTTCAAATGCCGGCAAAAAACTTCTGGCCTTAAGCGAGTCTGATGATTCTGAACTTCTGGCTATTGTGAGGAGTATCAACGAGACTATTAGTCCAAGACTTCTTGATCAAGATACCAAAATTTTTGAAGATGTGAGAAATGAAGTTTTTGGTCCTATAGTGGATAAAATTGAAGAGATAGAACTAGTGTCAATTATCAAGGAATATATTAAAGGAAAGGGGCTTATTTGTTCAGATAAATGGATTATGAAGTTGATTCAGTTTTATAATATTCAAGAAAGCCAACAAGGTGTCATCGTCGTTGGTAAGGCCGGAAGAGGAAAATCAACTTTATGGTCCTCCTTACTTGAAGTTTTGTCAAAAGTTGATGGTAAAGATGCTTTACACTACATCATTGATCCTAAAGTGTTATCTAAGAATGAGCTATTTGGGTTTCTTGATCCAGTTACCAGGGACTGGAGCGATGGTTTATTGACATCCATTATTAGAAAAGTTCTAGAAAATCTAAGGGGTGAACTTACAAAAAGAGTTTGGGTTGTTTTTGATGGTGATATTGATCCTATTTGGGTAGAGAGTTTGAACAGTGTTTTGGACGACAACAAAACTTTGACACTTCCAAATGGTGAACGACTTCAAATTCCCCAAAACATCAGATTTATCTTTGAAGTGGATGGATTAGACTTTGCTACACCTGCAACTGTCAGTAGATGTGGTATGGTTTGGGTTGAAGAAGCTACGATAACTTTGAATGATGTGTTAGGTCATGAATTATGGTGCTTAAATAATGTCCCAATAAGTGATATAGAAGAGGTGGATCCTTCTAAGCTTTTGATCTTACAACAGCAAGTGAGCTCTGTTTTGAAAACTGTCCTTGATGGCCACATGGATGAGATATCAACTTTTGCCGTGAATAATTTAGATCACGTGATGGATGTTGATGTTATGACAATGGTGAAGCAGATATTTGTTTTTATCAAGTGCTATATGAGGAAGGTAATCAGTGGCCAGTTTGAGCAAGGCGGTTCTGGACTAGATATAGATGAACGATATGTCAAGAAAGCTTTAATTTTGTCAATATTGTGGTCGTTTAGTGGTAGTGCTCCTCTAGTTGAAAGACAAAAATTTTCAAGCTATGTCTCTTCTTTTTTTGAGTTCAAGGACTTAGTTCCCAATGAAGATGATTTGGATGTGCTTGATTATGAGATCGATAATCAAGGTAATTGGATTAACCTGGAGCATTTGTTGGAAGTTCCAAATCTTGGTCCCGAATCTGTTATTGATCCAAATACTGTCATACAAACTATTGACACATTGAGACATGAAAATTTAATCTTTGCACTACTTCAAGAAAAGAGGTCGTTGATATTATGTGGTCCTCCAGGTTCTGGTAAAACGATGACTTTATATGCTGCTCTCTCCAGGTCACCAGATATTGATGTCTCCAATTTAAATTTTTCAAAAGAGACATCCCCAACAATCCTACTTAAAGCAATGGAGCAGCTCTGTGAGTACAAGAAGACTGTCGATGGCCTAATAATGCGTCCAAAGGTTACAGGAAAACGTGTTGTTTTCTTTTGTGATGAAATTAATTTGCCCAGATCAGACAAATTTGGTACACAACATGTTATCTCATTTATGCGTCAAATGATAGAAAGGAATGGTTTTTGGAGGCCATTTGATAAACAATGGGTTAACTTGGTAAATGTTCAATTTGTTGGAGCATGTAACCCACCCTCTGATGCTGGAAGAATCAAGTTGTCTCCAAGGTTTTTGTCACATTTAACGTTAATAATGGTCGATTACCCTGGTTCATCATCACTTCAACACATTTATAACACTTTTGTTCGTGCTACTTTGAAGAAGGTCCCCCATTTGAGTGGTTATGCAAAGGACATCACCAATGCAATGCTCGATGTTTATTCAAGATCAATTTCTAAATTTACTCACAATACTCAAGCTCATTACATTTACAGTCCTCGTGAGCTCACTCGTTGGGTTCGGGGTATGCTTTATTCAATTCAACCTCTATCCAGTCTTGATATAAGTGATATTATAAGAGTATGGGCCCATGAGGCAACAAGATTATTCTGTGATCGGTTGGTATTGGAAGATGAGCGTACTTGGACCTTAGACCTTATTGACACCGTTGCGATTGACAGATTCCCAAATATAAATCGTGAGAAAGCACTCCAAAAACCCATCTTTTTTAGTAACTGGCTTTCGCTATATTATGAACCTGCTGACAAAAAGGAGCTCAAGTCATTCATCGTGGAGAGATTGAAAGTGTTTTCGGACGAGGTTCTAGACATTGATTTTGTTCTTTATGACGATGCTATTGATCATATCCTTAGAATAGATCGTGTTTTGAAACAACCACAGGGTCATTTAATATTAGTCGGTCCAAGTGGCACTGGTAAAACAACATTAACCAAGTTTGTTGCATGGATTAATGGTTTGAAAATTGTCCAATTGGGTGTTACACGTAATTATTCACTTGGAGAGTTTGATGGTGTTTTGAAAGATTTGTTGAAACGGTCAGGTGTTCAAGGTGAATCGATTTGTTTTATTGTTGACGAATCAACCATCTTAGATGGTGCCTTTTTGGAAAGAATGAATTCACTACTCGCAAATTCACAAATCCAGGAAATTTTTGATCAGGATGAGTACAACATTCTCTTGAACTTGTGTAAGGAGCAGGTTCAGTCGCGTGGTTTGCTCTTAGATACAGCTGATGAACTTTTTGGCTGGTTCACGCAGCAGGTTGCAAATAACCTCCACATCGTGTTCACTATCAATGATCCAAATGACGCCAAATCGCCTCAAATTATAAGCTCACCTGCTTTATTCAATAGATGTGTTCTCAATTGGATGGGTGATTGGTCCTCGGAATCCTTAATTCAAATAAGCCAAAAACTTTTGGGATCAGTTCCAATTGATAAATCTGAATTTGAGATTCCTGTTATTCCATCAAATGAGCTATTTTTCAACATGAGGTCGTTCAGGGATGTCATTGGCCACTGTATTGTCACATTACACGCCAAAGAGAACTTTGAGAAGAGATCAGGCTCCTTGATTGACTTTATTAATAGCTTTGTGTCAGTTTTTGGTATGAAAGAAAGGGAACTTCAAAGTGGTCAAAGACATTTGAATTCGGGTCTTGACAAGCTAAAGGAAACTGTGATCAAGGTGAAATACTTGAAGGAAGAATTAACCACCAAGGAGCAAAATTTGACAATGAAGGAAAAAGAAGCTCGTGAGATGTTGAACAAGATTCTAGAGGAGCAAAATGAAGCTGAAAGAAAGCAGGAAGCATCAATACATCTTCAAGGTGCCTTAGAACGACAAAATGTTAAGATTGAGGATCACAGAAAACGTGTTTTGGAAGATCTAGCATTAGCTGAACCTGCTGTTTTAGAAGCTCAAAGAGGTGTTAAAAATATCAAAAAACAACACTTGACTGAATTAAGATCCATGTCAACGCCTCCAGCTACTGTTCAAATGACATTAGAATCTGTCTGTATTCTATTGGGCTATGATGTTTCAAGCTGGAGAGATGTGCAACTGATAATCCGTAAAGATGACTTCATTTTCAACATTGTCAATTTTGACTGTGAAAGGCAGGTTACTCTTGAGCTTCGTGAGTACATGGAAGAAACCTATTTAAGCAGACCAGATTACAACTTCAACTCTGCTGATCGTGCTAGTAAAGCTTGTGGTCCACTTTTACAATGGGTCCAGGCGCAGGTTCGTTATTCAATTGTGCTTGATCAGGTTGGTCCTCTACGTGAAGACATGTTGGTGTTGGAGGAAGAGTCTAGACAGAACCAGGCAAGATTACTGGCTATTGATGATATGATCACTGAACTTCAAGAAAGTATCGAAAACTATAAAAATGGGTATAGTGAACTGATTAGGGACACGGAAAAAATCAAATCTGAAATTTCTGAGGTACAAGTAAAAGTTCAACGTTCAATGAAATTGGTTGAGAGTTTAAGTGAAGAACGAATCAGATGGGCTGATAGCGTGAAGGGCTATAACGACAATTACTCTTGTTTACCAGGTGATTCTTTGTTGGTATCGGCCTTCCTTACCTATTCGTCATCTGTTGATCATCAAGAAAGAGTTGAAAAGTTCAATTCATGGAAACAATTGCTATCAAAGCACTCCATATCTTTCAATGCAAATCTCTCTTTCTTGGATTTCACTGGGTCATCTGCCAGATCGTTGGATTGGCAGCACAAGGGACTTACAAATGACGTCCTTTACTATGAAAATGTTGCAATTATTGAGAAAACTTCAAAACTTCCATTTATTGTGGATCCATTGGGTCAAATTGTTGAATTCATGAAGGTGCATTTACAGCCCAAGAAATTAGTGGTTACAAGTTTTCTTGATGATTCCTTTGTCAAAAGTTTAGAGAATACAATGAGATTTGGAGGTGCAATTCTGATTCAAGATGCTGAATATTTTGATCCAATAATTTCTAGATTATTGAATAAAGATTTTGAAAAAGTTGGGGGTCGAAGACTTATTAGACTAGGAAATAGAAATGTTGATTGCTCTCCTGACTTTAAATTATATTTGCATACAAGAAATCCATCCATTCATATCACACCATTTGTTAGATCTAGAACCACTGTGATTGATTTTACCTTAACGGAAAGCAGTATAGAAACACAGGTATTGAACATGACTCTATCTCACGAAAGACCGGATGTTGAGCAGCAAAGGTTAGATCTCGTCAAGCTTAACGGTGAATATAAGGACCGTTTGAAATCTCTAGAGGGTGATTTGTTGAGTGTATTGAGTGAGTCTAAAGGTAATCTCTTGGATAGTGAAGAGTTAGTTGAAACATTAGAAAGGTTGAAGGTTGAATCGGGTGAAATTAAGCAAAAAGTTGAGGAAACTACAGATGTTATGAGTAAAGTTGATGATATTTTGGAAACTTACTCGCCATTGGCTAAAAACTCATCGCTTATGTTTTCTTTACTCAAAAAGTTAAAAGATATTCATGCCTTCTATGAATTTCCACTATCTGCATTTATGTCAATTTTCACAGAAACTCTCACATCTTCCAAGGAATCTAACGGTGATCGTGTTGAGACATTGATAGTTGATCTTTATAAAGAGATATTTGCTAACATATCTCTTTCTTTGTTGCAACGTGATAAGGTTTTAATAGCTTTTGTGATGGGTTTGTTGTATTTGAAAGAAAAAGAAAGCTTTGCATTTATGAAGTTTGTTGTTTCTTTGCTAAAGTCGGTAGTTTTGGAAGGTGATTTTGGACATTTGATTCAAGAGGCTTTTGGTGTTTTATCAGTAAAAATAGATAGTGATGAGTTGGACAAGATTTTCAATGGGAATGTGAAGGCTGCTGATGTTGCTTCTGAGTTTAATATCAACATATCAAGTATACTCCCACTTCTAGATGGTGTATTGTCTCAAAGAACCAAACCATCAGATATAAGAGATGGATTCAAGTCAATTTCACAGTTTTTATTCACTGGTTTTGGTCAGTATACATCGAAATATGATTTGAGGGATGTTATTCTTAAAAATAAGCGTTCACCAATAATTTTGGCCTCCACTAGTGGATTTGATCCAACATACAAGGTTAGAAACATTTCAAGAGAGTTAAATCATGAAATCAAAATTGTTGCTATGGGTTCCACAGAAGCCAATAAGATCGCACATGTTCAAATGGAGGAAGCTGCGAAAAAGGGTGGTTGGTTAATCTTGCAAAATGTCCAAACATCTTCTGAATGGCTTGAGCTTTTACAAAAGAAGTTAGATGGTGTTTCCTTGAATGAGGATTTCAGATTATTCTTGACGTGTGAGGTCACTTCTGATATTCCTACAACATTATTAAGATCATCAGATGTTTTGGTTTTCCAAAATGCGCCTGGTTTGAAACCTTTGATGGTGGAATATCAAAAATCATTTGGCACCAAATGGGAAAGTGGCAAACCGGTTGAAAAGAGACACATTTACTTTTTACTTTGTTGGTTCCATTCGATATTACAAGAAAGGGTCAGATATGTTCCAATTGGATTTTCCAAGAATTATGATTTCAATGACTCAGATTTCGATACTGCTGTTTTTGCTATTGATAGGTGGTTTGACAAAATTAGTGGAGGAAGAGACAACATTTCACCTGAAGATATCCAATGGTGTGCTTTGCAAACACTTGTCGGTGACATTGTTTATGGTGGAAAAGTTGATGATGATTCTGATTCAAACATTTTGCATGAATTGAGTGATAGAATCTTCAGACTTGAATCATTTGAGCATGATTTCAATTTAATCAATAATGAAGTCTCACAAAGGTTAAATATTTCGTTGAATCCACCTGAAGGAAGATCTGTTGATGACTATATCTCATGGATTTATGCGCTTCCAGATGTTGAGCCACCATCTTGGATTGGATTGGAAGATGACGCGGATTTATTGATGAAGAGGAAAGAAGCATTCGAAATTTGTCAAAATGCAGCTGCTATTTTAGAAGATTTAGTCGTGATTGAGTGATAGCTATGATAATAGAGATTATGAATTTGTTGGTTTTTGTAGTTGAATCTGCCAATTTTCACGGGTCTGATGTGGTGGGCTGGTGCTCGTAACCGTGACGTATCGGGATTATGGGTACTTAATTTTGAAAGCTTCAAGTAACAACTGGCAATCCTACAACTTTTTATAACTATCCAAGGATATGCCGAGTCAAATTGATGTCTTCTATGATGAAGAGAGCCATTATGCTCAACTAACGGAGAAACTAAAGCAAGAATCAATCAATTTAATACCCTTGAGTGACCAATTATATACAACGAGGGATGTATCCAAAGTTCCATCAACTTATAAGCAACTAGCACCAGATGGAGATGTCATTGGGCTACGTACAAGATTTGATAACCAAGCAGCGATTGGGTCCTTTTCTGTTGATGATTTGACGGAGATTATGAAAATGGATATGGATACTGTCAAACACTCAAATTTTGATCAATTAACAAAGCAATACTCAGATGAAGTTCGACAATTTTGTGAAGATTTGATACAATGTATTAAGTTGAGAGAGAAGTATCAAGCACTTTCAAGTCAAAGGTCTTGTGATAATCCTTTATACGCTGATTCTTGGAAAAGTTATCCACCTCCACAACCCAAAGGATGGCATTTCGAAGATGAATTTGGTTCCGTTAACTATTATCATAGTGCGGAAAGTGTTCCTCATTATTCTGGTGAAAATTTTGATTTGAATGATTATACAGATAATGTTTTGAAACCACTTGTGAAAGGATTGAAAACCGAGATGAAACTTACTGTTGGGAAACATATAGAAATTGAAGGTTTCAATCAACCAGAATTACCATCTTTCAATGAGTTCTTGGATGATTTGAACTTTATCATAGATACAAGCATAGATAAAACAGGGGTTATGTTATCAATGAGAAGGCTTGAGTACTTGAAAGAAAAATTTGAATCATATATCTTGTTGAATGAACATCAAGAAACTCTCAAGACAAAACTCAATCCTCATCGAGATTTTTACAACTGTCGAAAGATTGACAACAATATTGGATTATCAATGTGTATGACCAAGAAACACTTACTTAATGTGATCAATTTGAAGCTTCGTGAAGAGCCAGATAGGATCGTTTATGATGATAAAAGAGGTAATAGATTCACATTGGAGCAGTTATTTCAACCATATTTTGATTCAAACAATTCAAGGAGGTTGAATGTTGATGATTTATTTGAGTTTGGATTGATTGATAGGAATTTTGGTAGTGTTGATGATAGCTCAGGTTTGAATATTGATAATGATACTGATTATGAAGCAATCATCAAGAATGAAATTTTGTCAAGAATCGAGCATACTTTTTTAAGAATTGAAAATTCTATTGGCGGTGAGTACCTAAGTACTATTTTGAAACAAGTTCTTAGTGACTATGAAAAATCAAAGTACCAGTTTGGTGAGATTGGTATAAATTTCAATCTTTTAGATACTTATAGAGAAGGTCAAGGCAAATGGGAATCATTAGCTGATTGGATCATTGATAATAGATTGGTGAGTTATAATGTGAAATGGATCATTAGAATTCCTCGAAATTATTCAATTTTGAAAGAACAAGGACAAGTTTCAAGTTTCCAAGACTTCCTAAACCAAATATTTAAGCCATTATTTGAAGTTTCAATCAATCCATTAAAGAACCCAAAATTACATTATTTCTTGACCAAAATCTCAGGGTTTGATTTATTATCAGTGGATAAAAGACATCGTGATGAGTCCTTATTCGATATCCCTAAATTACAATCACCAAGAAAATGGACATCTGATGAAAATCCCCCATACAGTTATTATTTGTACTACATCTTCAAAAACTTCAGCAAACTGAACAATTTTAGGAAATCAAGATCAATGTGTACATTCAATTTAAGACCTCATGTTGCATCACTCTCAGATCGTTCAGGATTAGGAATCATTACAGAGTCATTGTCATCATGTTTCCTCTTATCCAAGAACATCATCAATGGTGAAAAATTGGCAAATTATCCAGTTTTGCAATATTTATACTATTTGAAGCAAATTGGTATAACAATGTCACCTCTATGTTGGAATAAAACATTACAATTATCAAATGATGATGATAATCATATTGAATCAAATACGTTTGCTTATGAAAAGAACCCAGCTATTGAATTTTTCCAAATTGGGATGAGAGTTTCTTTAAGCACAAATAAACCATTATTTTCAAGTTTAACAAGAGAACCCTTGATTGAAGAATATAGTGTTGCTGGATCAATGCATAAACTGAGTGGTGTTGACTTGTGTGAATTGTGTCGTAATTCTGTTTTGATTAGTGAATTCAATGGTGATTTGAAAAGACATTGGATTGGTGTTAAATATGTGGATCATGATCAAGATTCAGAAAATAAACAAGATTGGGAATTTAGTGATGACTTTGGTATTCAGAGATGCAATGTGCCAAACATGAGATTGGACTATAGAATAGACTCTTTGAACTTAGAGCATAAGTTCATTGAACAGTTACAGTACAGAACGCAGGAATAGAAATAATTGAAGTAATGTTAGATCAAATTGTATCCACGTGTAGCTTTTGACGGGAGATCTAACAATTACTGTAAGAGTAGATTCCTGATCAATACTAATAATTGAACGCTATAGCAAATGTAGCAAATCAAGTAAATGTATAATAATTGAATAATTGAATAAGTATATAGTATAAAATAGAATAAAAGTAAAAGTAATAATAAAAGTATTGTTTTTATAGCATGATTTAATAAAGTAACCCGGAGTAGATAATTGGAATAGATGGTACAAACCACAAACATCTGTTCCTTCTTGAAAGTTTTGCACTAATCTCATTTGAAATGATTCAACTGGATGGATTTGATTCTACTTGATCTAAAATTTCTTGAGATTTTGATTGAATAAATTGATTAGCTGGAGGAGTCTTTGAGATTCTCATATCTAGAAAGAAAATCAGCAATAGTATTTGAAGAACCAGGAATATGTTTAAATTTAACATCATAAGCTGTGATATCTTGTAAAAATCGGATAATTCTGGACTGATTAGACACTGATTTCTTGGAATTGGATAAACTAAGAACTTGT